GATCAAACAAGATGTAGCTGGATCCGACCACTTCTAAAGACCACATCTGGTCGCAAAGTTGAAGCCAGGCCCCAACATGGCGCCCAGAAGCTTGTGCAAAGTCCACTGAAGCTGCTGACAAGAGATTGAGCAAAAAAAGCATCTGAAAATACCATAAATCAGCAAATCTGATATTATGTTTCGAATGGTCAATATTTGAAAACAATATCCATTGGTCAGCCTGAAAACAGAAAAACCGGAACACAAATAAACTTACTCATGTATTGTTAATAATCTAGTCATCTTCTTGTTAAGTATATCAGTTTACAGCCAAATCACAGATCTTCCGGCTTCTAACATGAACCAATATGAAGATCAACGCCACCGTCCAAAATTAATCGTTAACCGTGTTAACATCAAGTATTTCTTTGCTAAAACATTCAACACATTAATCGACATCTCTCAAATGCTTTGCAAGCTAATAATGCGCAAGGTAACATAAATTAACCTTATTTTAGTTCAATTAGTCATCAGATGTTTAGTGTAATATGGCAAAACTTTCATATCTCTAAAACCAAGCAATATAAACCTTCAACACTACAATAACGTCTAAAATATACTTTTTATCATAACTTGACTCTTCAAATAACCTTAGTATACCCTCAAATACAGCTCCAAACAAGAAAAGTCCTCCACTAAACATCTGATGCCTAGTATAAGATCCAAAACGTCTTTGTCTCGAAAACAACTTTAAAATGACAACAAAGCGTTATTTTACACCTAGCTCAGACTAAAAATCTTCTAATAAGAACACATTCTAAAAAATTCGATCAAAAATGACCTCACAACGATCAAATGTATCTTCCGCATCAAGTATAATACAATCCTTCCATAACTTCTCGAAACCCTAAAAAAAAAACAAGAACCAAAAATACATACCCTTTACCATTCTCCCAATCAATCATCGTTCGTTTGAGCATCTTTTCCTGCATTTCCCATCGATCTACATCTTTGGCAACGTTTGATCTCCTCGTTCAACATGATGAAAGTCTTAGAAAACAAAATTATTAATGAAAAACTGATTATAGTCAAGAATAGTGACTATCAGAAAATAAAAATTACGCGAAATTTCAACCCGCGCGACAAAAACGTCGAAAGTTCAGCAAATTAAATGATTTTTTCCGGCAACTTGTTGACAGACAGAAAGCCAATTCTGGTTTTCGTGGTGGGACCCGTTTAATGTAGATATGTTAAACTTGATTCGGAAAAAACTGGATGTAAATTTAAGCAACATCACAATTTTTAAATAAGTTAAGCAATCTTAACCAAATTATCACTTCTTTTTATAGTTTTAACTCAAAAATTTCAAAAATTAGCTTATTTCGCCTTTAAATCTTGATTTGGGCTTTTAAATAAAATAACTAATATTATGTTGTTTTAAAAACTGTCATTTTGCAATGCAAATTGTTTACATTTTCAGTACGAAAAGAACAACCAAATCCAAGTTTAAACTCTGTGTCTTCTCCAAAAATTTCGGATATTTCAAGGTTTATCAGTCGATTAGTAATATTCAAATCAAAAGTATAGTTGTAGTCGAAAAAATTGGCAGAACTGATTAAGAATTGGCTGAGTTTCTGCAATCCTTCTTTCCACCCTTATTAAAAAGAGGTATCAGTGGTGAGATGCCAAGGAGATACCTTCTATAGTCATTCTAAGTAGTATGTAGATAAGGAAAAGGGTCGAGTTGGTCAAGAACTAGCCGAGATACCGAAACCCTTCTCGGTAGCCTGCCCGAAATAGGAGTATTACTGCTGAGACGCCATCCGTAACAAGTGATGATTAGGACCAGCGACGTCGTTAAGATAGGAAGGAGGGAAAGTAAATAATAGTCATACGTTTTTACCTAGTATGAAGGGTATCATACTCGTTAAAAACTCAACTTTCATTCAGTGAACTTAATTGAAGCCCCTTCACCATGTCAGGTGTTCACTTTGAAGGGCGTGGTTTGGCCTTACGCCACTTTATTACAATGACAACAAAGTCAATTACAATTATATAATGAGATTGTAACACAATAGTTAATATAGTTGTTCAATTTGTCGATCGTTTGTAAATCTTTATTATCGTTGACGTCTTCAGTAGTATCTCTTCGACTTTGTATGAATAAATAAATTATAAAGTCATATGTAGTTAATTCTTAAGTTCTGACAATCCCATTCATCAGTTATAACATTGTTAGGTATTGAGTTCATTGGGGGTGTTGTTGTATTATGTATGTACAGAGCAAGCAACTCCACACACACACACACACACAAACTGATAGCCGCATATGTTCCCTGAAATTATAGCGCAACTTCTCAGCTGCTACAAAAGTTATAAATTGATATTCAAAATATTGTAATATACAAAACATTCAGGTAGACTTTTAAACTTACGTAAAAATCCGGCTCCGTACATTCTACTAATTACGTACTTTACCTCCTTTTTTTAAGAAGTTGAGAATGAAGTCGTTTAGCAAAAAAAACCATCATCACAAAAAGTATAATTAAAGCAGAAATCTTCATAACTGTTTTTGGTTGAATCTGTAAATTCATTAAATCTGTGAATTCATGTATACAAAACAATAAGTAAGGCTTTTAACTTACGTGAAAATCCGGCTCAGAACAACGACTAATTACGTACACAGACAAAAAATTGTTATTTAAGTCATTTGAGTTAGACTTGCAAACATCTATATTAAAATTACGTAAAGAAGTCATAAATTGTTATTTAAACATCTCTTGTTAAGGTAGACTTGCAAATTCCTACATTAAAATTACGTACAGAGGTTATGGATCGTTGTTTAATTTTTTTGTTAAAGTAGATATACGAATATTAATATTAAAACTACGTAAAGAACGCATATATTGTTATTTAAACATCTTTTGATAAGCTAGACTTACAAATTCCTATATTAAAATTACGTACAAAGGTTATAGATTGCTATTTAATTTTTTTGTTAAAGTAGACATACAAATATTAATATTAAAATTACGTACACAGACTAAAAATTGTTATTTAAAAATGAAAAAAATTTAAACTTGACGTTAGAATGTAAACTTTATATCTGTAGGTTTTATCAGCTAGTAAAACTTACAATAAGACAACTAAGGTTGACATAGAAAACTAAATTACGTTAAACTAAATTTTTGCAAAGTATAATTTTAAGTAGACAACATGTCGATAAGTTTGCAATTGAAATAAAATATTAAGGTGTCAATGAAGACTTTCAAGATAATTTACATCTATACGTACGTTAAACACGCGACATCACAATCTTTTTGACACATAATATTTTATTTGAGGTCTAAACCTTAAAGACGATTAACCGATATCAGATATATACCATAGAAAAGACAGACATATATATAATATAAGGTTATAGTTAATGTATAACTAACAATAATTTTTTACAGACCCTCAGCTTGTCAGTCTAAAACCAACATTCCTCTAAAGACGAAAAACTTATACACTGAATACGAGCAGCATTCGCGAGTTTGTTCGTTCCGATTTTGATGCAGAGACTATTGCGATTTTTCTGCGTTCGAAAAAAGAGTACGAAGTCCATCGTAATAATGTTAGATAAAAACGCGCAGAAAAAATCGTTAGTACTTCGATAGCTATAGATCAAGCCTCTATTTGGTTACGTAATCGCTGATATCGGCGGCAATGTCGCAGAGATTTTTCCTTACGGACTTGGCTTCTTAATTAAGTTTTAATAAGATAATAGGATTGCGCTTCATCTTACCTTTTGTATTCCGGAAATTAGTGCGTGTTTTTTGTAAAATGATTAGATCCTACAAACACTATAAATATGCGACTGAAAGTGTGTTAAGTCAGTTTAAATTATTAGATTGTTTTGGGATGGTGAACACGAACAATAAGCTCTGGGAATAAAAATATTATGATGAGTTTTCGTTTTTGGGTTTATTTATCTCTTGTTTTATATGAAATTGTTTAATATGCTATTATTGTTAGACTTTTAATTGTTGAATGTTAACTTAATTCTTGGTAGGTTATAGGGTTTTTTAGTATATTTTGCCGTCTTTTATAAATTATATTTCGTTTTACGCTGTATTTTTTTGCAAACAAACTTTTAAATAACAATTTATAATTTTTGTACGTAATTTAGTTCTAATGTTTCTTTTACTTTTTTATATTATCTTTAACACTTCCCTGTTTTGCTTCATTTATCATCTTTTAAATAACAAACTATAACATTTGTACGTAATTTTGCTTTCACAACCCTTTTTTGCTTCATCTATCATATTTTTTAATAACAAACTATAACTCGTGTACGTAATTTATCGTGTATTATACATATTGCCACTTTCTCGCGTTTAATTTTCGTCAAATGACAAACTCTAACCTGTGTACGTAAGTTGATCTTACTACTAGGGTTAAGTTTTGCGTTTGATTTCTGTGTGTTGTGTGTGTGTATGTGTGTGTAGTTTCAAAAGCCGAAATCGTTTTGGATGGCGAGGTGACCTGCTACCTCGCCATCCCTTGATCAGGCCCGGACACGTATGGAGATGGACCAGGACAAGGGAGAACAAGGACAATGCGCCGTGGATGAACCGATGGAAGGGTTTTGAGGAACAACTATCAATGGCTCCTGAAGGACAACGCCGCTAACCAGACTTCAAAAAAGAATCGCCAGGCCGACTCAGAATAAAATACAGAACTCCTGTATAACGAAGCGAAAAAAAGGCCCAAAAGCTGTTCATTATACAGAAATTCCAATTTAATAACCAGTACTAAAACAAGAACATCCTATTAATCAGCCCATAACAAAACAATACTTTGCTAAACCAAATTTTTTTTTCCAAAAACAGTCGAATAAATTTTTAATTTAAAAATGCTTTATCTAAATTTAATCGAAATATATTACCAACAATATAAACCAAGCGTAAATCAACCGAATGTTTCACTAGTTCAGATGTATGTAGCTACAGGAATTTTCATGATCGAAAGGCTTACTTTTACAGAACGTTCAGCATCTTCTTCAGGCGAACGATCAGCGTCCAGTCGGCGTTGCTCATTTCGTCGCGGAAGTGGGTCTTGCACACGTCGATGCTTTGGCGATGAATCTGAAAATGAGGCTTGTAAAAGATTGTAAACATCAAATACATTTATAACATTCTAAAGAAATTTTTTTTAAATTTGTTCTCAATATTCGGTATTCATCCAATATGACACTTTATATTAAAATATCACTTACTCTGCTGACAAGTGGATCCGTGTGAGTGAAGTGACGACCATAAAGTTTCGGCGCATCTCCGGTCGTGTTTTCAATTTTAATGGCCAATTCGTCGCCAGTGTGGGCAACATCAACCTGTTCATGGTTCTGTTCGATCGAAGTTACCGTGCCCAACAAGACAATCTGAAAACAGTAGCATTAAGTAAGTTGTATAGCTAAAAAATCTTACAAATTGTGATAGCTTTGGGTCATTTAAAAAAATTTTTAGGTAATCCAAAAGTAAATTGAAATGATCATAATTTGATAAAATAAACACAGTTATGCCTATTATTTTTCCAATTACATTACTGTATGAAACTAAAAACTTTAGTCATTATGAACCTTTTTATCAAGGTTAACCAAGCTAAAAAAATATAAATCTTTTTAAAAAACTGAAAAAATCCTATGTTAATATAAGTTTTAAATCTCTTTCTTCATTTACAATCACTTTTTAAACCAACAAAAGTAAAATATTAACAAAACACAAACTTTCCCAAACCTAACTACCATATTCACTATCTTAAACCAATCCAAACACCTTATAAACCAATAAGAAACTCACCTCATCCGCAGTTTTGGCACAAATCGGAGTTCCCTTCTTCAACTTGCCGGCTTCTACCACCACACCCAACACAATTGGGTTTCTGGCATTGAATATATGTTGTGGCATGATTCTCAAGATACAGGGGAAGATAGCCAAGTGTTCGTTGGCCTTTTTCCTCTGTAGTCTCAGTTGTTCGCGGTGATTCAAGAAGGCATCCTCCAAATGATAGATAATATCGGCTTGGAAGATGCGGACTCGTTCCTTATCAGCCAACGCTTGGGCTTCTCGATCCACCGGGACGTCAAAGGCCAAGATGACAGCGTAGTCTTCGTTGTGTTGATGCATAGTCGATGCCTTTTGGACGTCTTTTCGATGGACTGGGCCAATGTTGACTCCGGAATAGGGGATTTTCTGATGTTTTAGGAAGTCGAGCAAAGCTTCCAGGGATCCTAGAGTTGAGGCTTGAACATATACACCTTCTGGTTTCTTTTTGATGGCCATAAGGGCGTTTTCTAGTTGATTCTTGGCGTCTTCCCTAAAAAAATTGCTCTTGTTTAAAGGGTTGGACCAATAAACGTAAAGTTAAGGTAAAACAACATAAAATTACCAAAAAATTTACCTGCTTTAGGATCATAATGATACTTTTTTTCCAAAAAATAGTTAATTTAGGTCAATATTTTGTTATTGTTCAGTTAAAACCTAACGCTTATTGAAAAGTTATGGCTAAAAACAGTCATTTCTCTTTAAGAAAACTCCTTCCAGCCATAACTCACTCAAAAACCATGTTCCTCTGACTAAACCTCAACTTACATATAAACATCAACCTCATCAGGTCTCTGTGCAACATATATTGGCAAACCAGGCAGAGCTTTCTCCAAATTCTTGGCCAGAATCTTGACTCCTTGTGCTCCCTTGATCTCTTTGTAATGTTCGTAATCCGTCTTTACCCGAATTTCTCGTAGCGGTGCTGGCATCAATAAGTCTCTCACAGTCGTACCGATAGGTCCATCCACACCAGACAATATTATGATATCATTGATCTTTAGAGTACCGTTAACAAGAATGACATCGATTGTCATGCCGAGACCGGGTAGAGATCGTACTTCCATTACCGTGCAGTCGAGTTCCTCGGAGAAGGCTAGTCGTTTGGCTAGGAATCCTTGACTTTGGTTCACGATGAAAGCCATGATATTGCCTATACCGTCGCCCAAGAAGGCCGAAGTTGGGACGATGGAGACGTATTCATCAGGGTTTTTGTTGTCTTTGGCTAGGGCTACGTTTACACCTGAAAATAATGATTAGAAATGGCATAGGTAAAACCGACAGGGCCTTTACAAGTCTAAAATAAAGTGGCAACAGACACTTGCACTATAAAATTTCATAAAATTTTTTTTCTTTAAAATCTCATTTTTCAAGCCTTCTGCCACTATTCCCTTACCCTGTTCAGCAAACTCCACGACAATCTTTTCAAAGCGTTCCTTGAACTCTAGCTGAACGTTTTGAGCTTGAGACTTCAAATGTTGCCAGATATCCTTCCTTGGATTACTTTCGTATCCGTACAAACGATCCACCTTGTTCAATGCGATTACAAACGGCGTTTTTCGCTTCAACAACAACTTTAGGGATTCAATGGTTTGAGGTTCGAGACCGTGCATAACATCGACTACGAGAATAGCAAAGTCACATAAGGATGAGCCACGAGTTCGGAGGTTTCTGAAAATATTTTTTAAGTTATCTTTTCGATTTAGAATTTTTTTTTTGAAATTTTATGTTTTTTAAAGAAAGTTCTTGCTATTTTATGTCTTGTAAAGAAAGTTTTTGCCATTTTATGTTTTGTAAACAAAGTTCTTGCTATTTTAAGTAGTAATTGCCATTTAGAGCTTTGTAAAGAAAGTTCTTGCCGTTTTATAATTTGTAAACAAAGTTCTTGCCATTTAGAGCTTTGTAAAGAAAGTTATTGTCATTTTTCATTTTGTAAAAAAAGTTATTGCCATTTCCCCTTCTTTCTCCCAAAATCTCTCAATTTTCCTTGTAAACAAATTGTTTTCCATATCAAACCCAAAAACTTACGCGAAACTTTCGTGACCAGGTGTGTCGATGATCAAAAAGCCAGGAATCTTAATCTCGTCGGGTTTAAAGTCTCTGACCATCTTGCATCGCTCCTTGATGGCTTCGGTTGGTACTCTTGTAGCTCCGATTTGTTGTGTAATACCACCAGCTTCGCCGTCCTGAACATTGGTACGACGGATCGTGTCCAACATTTTGGTTTTACCCGTATCGACGTGACCTAACACACAGATTACCGGCGAACGGAGGTTGTCTGTGGTCCTGAAATTTGAATATTTAGAATATATTAAGTTTTTGACGTTAATATCGATAAAATGTTTTTCTAGAAGCCATAAATTTTTTTGAATATAATTAATTAAGTCGTCCAAAAAGTGAGTCAAACCGCTTTTTTACCTTTTAGCCTCATTCTCTTGCGCCCTCTTCTCCAGCCTTTCCCTAACTTTAGCCTTGTTTTCTTTGGAATCCTCCTCTTCTTCCTCACTCTCTCCTTCGCTGGAATCTTCGTCAGATTCTGAATCTGATTCTTCTTCAGAACTGCTCTCGGCCTTCTCCTTTTGTTTACTAGCCGATGCTTTAGGCTTATCCGCCTTTTCAGCCTTGAGTTCTTTTGGCTTCACTTCCACTTCTATCTGTTCCCAATCATCCACAACATCCTCATCCTCGACTTCTGGAGACTCGGGCTTTTCCGGCTCGGGTGTTGGTTCAGGCTTCGGTTCTGGTTCTGGTGTGGGACTGGGTTCCTCCACCTTTTTCGCTTCTTCGGCCGGTTTTGGTTTGCGTTTTCTTTGGCCATAAACTGGAGGCTTTTTAGGTTTTCCTTCGTCTGGTGTTTCACCACGCAGTCCTGGAGGTAGAACAATATCTGAAAAAGTCAAAACGCAATTTTAATTCTTGCAAATGTAAAATATTAGTTATAATACCAAAATCATTTAAAATTAAATAATTTGCATCAAATCCATAAACTTCTACATCGTTTTAACCTTATAAAACAAATTTCAAACCTTTTGTTAATCTTATACAATAACTTTAACCTACCATTGTTCTGCAGCAATCTAGCTTGGGCCTGGGCTTGTTGTTGACGTTGCTTTTTTGTCAAGAACGTTCCCTCCTTCTTCTGAAGAGCAATCAATTCTTCCTTCTGCTTCCGTTGTTCTTCTTTCTTTAGTTTCTCGGCTGCTTCCTAAATTTTGAATACAAATATAACATAATTAAACATACCGCTTCTTTACGAAGCTTTTCCTCTTCTTCAGCAAGACGTTTAGCTTCTTCTTCGGCTTGTCGTTGTCGTTCTTCTTCCTCTTGTCTCAATTTGAGCATCTCCTTGAGGAGAGAACTTGCTCCTCCCTATAAACATATCTTTAGATCAAATATAGCTTAAACACATTGATAATCATTCGTTGTAAGTCCGTTTTAATTAAAAACATTACCTTTTATCCATATTTGTTTTTAACTTTAAGAATTTAAAAAAAGTTAATTATAGAATAGCAGAAAGTAAGTCATAGTAAAATGACAGTAGCTCAAACAGTTTCGCAAAGTTTAGAATTACTTTTGTTGCGTTAACTAGCCAAAACAATTCTCTTAAATCACCTCAAATTTCTAGCCCATTCGAGATATTTGAGCAAGTTTATAACAAAAACCATGTCAGCTGCCTTATAAGGTTGTGTTGCCTAAATTCAGAAAATATGACATGAAATATTACCTTTTTCTTCTTCTTGCCATCATCCTCAGTTTCCTTCTTCTTCTTATCCTTTTCTTTCTCCTTCTTCTTCTTTTTCTTCTCCTTCTCTTTGCGCTTCTTGCGTTCTTCTGGAGTTTCGTTGGGGTGTTCGTTGTCACTCAAGTTCCCGTCCTTTTTCTCCTCAACATTCTCGTCGTCACTCATCTTGATACTGAAAATAAACTGAATTTACCTTATAATCACGAAAAATTAAAAAAATTAATTAAAAAGCAAAAAAATAGGTAAAAAACGTAAAAAATAACATAAATTACTACGTAAAACAATATAATTTGATGCAAAAGATAAAGTAAAAATTATTATTACACATTACATTGTTTGAACAGTGTGTTGTAGGTTATTACATCACTCAATTAGTAGAATAAAAATATTATTATTCTAGGCTTTTGGCATTCCGCATTAGCCTTCGTTGGTTGTTTTCGTGACGGGACTCAGCTTTTAACAGTATTTTCAGTACGCAGTAAGGCTTTCTTGAAATCATATGTCCAATAACAAAGATAATGCTTTCTCTTTAAGTTTTGCGTCAATATGTTTAAAATCAGTTGTAAAATTTTAAAATTTTTTCGGCTTTTGCCATTTTCATTACCAACTTCATTCTAATATTCATTATTTATTCAAAATACACAAGTTTGGCACTAATATAACATACATTGATTACATTTTTCACATAGAAAACAGCGTCCAATAAGTTACTATGTTTGTGATTACTACCTATTTGACCTGAACAAACGCGAGGCAGAGTTGAAAGGAAGGGGTGTCGGTGGAATACAAACGTTAAACCGGACTGTAAGAAAAGAGGAAACAAGATACAAAAATATGGTTGCAACGTAATTAGGTGGAAGAATAAACAGCATTAGGTACAATGATAAAAAACAATAGAGAAGGAACATCATATTTTAGGCCCCGAACACACAACAAATCATTGAATTCTGAGATCAAGTTCTTTTGGGCTTTTGCAAGGTAGGTAATATTTAAATCACTAACTATGTCCAGGACTATACGGTCGGTAATGACAAATACAGGTAAAGGAGTTTTCCCTACCTTTAGCCCTGCCACGATCACCTTATACAAAATAAACCCAAACAAGACTGTTAAACGAGCTATTTATGAATCCAAGTTAAAAAAATGCTTAATTCAAAGACCCTCGACAATTGTCTGCTCCACAGAAGCAGACGATCTTCTCCTCTTCGAATGGGAACTTATAGTCATAGGTTATTTCCTCGCCCTTGCTTATGAACCGCTTCCCGTAGATGCAAATCTTCTTCTGCGTGCCTACGTTGAGGATTTTGGCATAGCAGTTGGGTGAGCACGAGTGGTTGATGAAGCGAGCGACATTGCCGGATTTCGTGGCGTCAATGACCTGAAAATAAATTTTTAATATCAAAATATTACCTTTTTTAAAAAACGAACATCATTTCAAATACCTTGTCAGTAAAATTTAAGTAGTAAAAATCCAAAATTCAATTTTTGTTATCCAAAAACCACAAAACATCGTCCAAAACCCTCAAACTTCCATAAAAACTTACAAAATCAGAATCCAATCTGAAAAGATACGACGATCCGATGCCTCGTTTTGTGTAGCCAACTTCTCGAGCGTCCGCGACGGTTGACCTGACCATTTCTCCCACGTATTCGATAATAAGTTCGTGAGGTTGAACATCCTCCACCGCGAACAATCCCCATCCGTGGATTCTGGAGCGGGCGAATTTGAGCTGTTTGTGGCGGAACTAAAACAAAAAATTTTAAAATTGCAAACCAAAATTTAAGATGCGCCATTCTTTTTGCATCAAGATACCAAAAACGGCATTCTTTCTGCATCAAAAAATCAAAAGTGCCATTCTTTTTACATTAAAACACCGAAAGCGCCATTCTTTTTGCATCAAGGCACCAAAAGTTCCATTCTTTTTACATCAAAACAACAAAAGCGCCATTCTTTTTGCATCAAAACAGCAGAAGCGCCATTCTTTTTGCAACAAAACAACAAAAACGCCATTCTTTTTGCATCAAAACACAAAAATTACCATTCTTTTTGCATCAAAACAACAAAAGCGCCATTCTTTTTGCATCAAAACAACAAAAGTGCCATTCTTTTTGCATCAAAACGCTTTTAAAAACTTACAAACATGTTATTCGACCTGACCAAACTCCTATCGCCAATACTCGAGTACAATCCTCTTTGTAGCAACTTCAGTTCCCTCGAGCGTTCCTGCCGATTTCTGGCCGCTCGTTCGTCTCGTTCCGTTATCTCCAGTGCGCCTTGTTCCCGGGCCGGTAGCACGTGTTTCTTGGCTTGACCGCGGACATAGGCGCGGATTCTGGCACAGGTTAGTTCCTCTTTTCTTCTCGGCTTCTTTTTTTCGGATTCCGATTCGTCGTCGACGCGGTTGTAGGTGAAGGGATTGGCGAAGAAGAGCTCGTGTCGTTGTTCTTCGTGGCCCACTTGGAAGTGGTAGCGGTGTTCTTGGGCGACGTTGGCCACGTACATGGCGTCTTCTTCGTCAATGGCCTGGAATTTGAAGGGTTTGGTTGTATTTTTTGAAATTTGTCATTTTAGACATTAAAATTTTTTAAAAATAAAAAAAAATTTGTTTTCAAAAAATGCAAATCCCTACCTTATACAACAACTCTTTCTCCTGTTCATTGCTCCTCTTTGGAAACTTGACATTCGCAAACTTGTTATCCTTTGGCTTCAGCTCCACGACCCGCTTCTGATAAAACTTCTCGTCGATGCTTCGTCGTTTCTCTTGGACTGGAACCTGAAGCCATGCTCGTGGCATGGGATCGTAGATGACTGGCTTGTGTTCTTCCTTCTGTAAACTTAGTTCCTGCTGTTTCTCCTTCAATTTCTGCTGTAGCTGTTTCAGGAGTTCTTCTTTGCTTATCAGTGGTTCTGTTAAGGCCGAGTTCTTCGGAGTTTGTGGCTTCGGAGTGTGGGACTTGGACTTGTCGGCTTCTGATCCGGACAAATGTTCAGTCCAAGACTCATCGTCCGACGATTCCACCGACGATGAATCGATTGGTTCTGGAGGTTTCGTTCCAGGTAGAGCTGAATAGACGCCGCCGGCTTGGTTGGGTTCTGAAGTTTGTGAATCCGCTTCGTCCGATGACTTTTGAGACGCTTCTTCCGAGCTGGACATACTCGATTCTTGAGTTGTTGGTTGATAAGTTTTGTCGTACTCTGAAGACGGTGGCAGTGATAAGGATTCTGAATCTATGGTGTACTTTAGAGGTGATTCTACGTGTTTGGGAGTCTTTTTTGGAGACTGTGAGGCTTCAGAAGTGTTCTTTAGAGACTGTGAAGCTTCAGAAGTTTTTATTGGTGACCTTGGACTTTCAGGAGTGTTCTTCGGAGATTTTACAGTTTCAAAAGCCTTTTTTGGAGACCGTACAGCTTCAGAAGTGTTCATTGGTGATGTTGGACCTTCAGAATTCTCTCTAGGCGATCTTGTTGTTTCAGAATTTTTCCTAGGCAAGCTTGGGGTTGCTGGAGTGCTTTTAGGAGCCTTTGCGGCTTTCTTCTTCCCATTAGCCTTCTGCTTGGTATCATTCTTCTGTTTAGCATCAGCCTTCTGCTTGGTATCAGCCTTCGGCTTCACGTCCGCCTTCTTTGAATCCTTCTGATTCTTCTTGGCTTTAGGCTTTTGTACAACCACCTCCTCGTCACTATCGTCGTTACGTGGACTAGCCTTTTTCTTTGCTTTTGGCTTCTTCTTCTTGTCCGAATCCTCCCAATCGGATTCGTCGTCGCCGCTGGAGTCGTTCTCACAGTAATCCACCCTTCTGATGATTCGGTCTGAGCCTTGAAGGAACACATTCACTTCTTCTTTCTTTTCTTTCTTTATTTCTACATTTACCTCTTCTTTTTTCTTCGTATCTGACGTTGAAGCGGCTTCTTTGGCGGGTTCAATTCGCCACGGTACCGACTTCTTTCTAGATTCCTCAAAAGCTCGTGCCGCGTCTTCGATGGTACACATTCGTGGCTCGGATGAGCTTGAGGATGTGCTTGAAGAGTCCGAATCTTCGTCCGAATCAGAGTCAGAAGATTCTTCTTCTTCTGACGTTGTAGAGAGCACGGTGACTTCTTTGTTCAGCTTCTTTTTCTTCGACGTCTTCAGAATCAAACTTTCGTCTGAATCTGAATCATCTACAACCTTCTGAAGTGCTCCATCTGAATTTTTTACCTTCTGAAGTTGTGCAGCGTTGTTACAATCATCTTTGGTGACTTCCAAGGTACTGACCAAAGGTATTGAAGCCTTGTCTTCGGTAGCCGAATCATCACTATTAATAGGACTTTTTGGTATATTTTCGTCAACTTCGGTCTTGACATTCATGTAATCGCGTTCTTCTGGCGTTGGCGATCGTCTGATGTTAGATGAAGAGATGGACGAAATGGATTTGGCATCGTCGTCCGAAAAGTCTTCAGAATCACTGAGAATAGCACGTTTCTTGCCGTTTATTGTGACATGGCCTCGTTTGGAGTGTTTGTTCTTCTTGTCGTCCCGCTTTTTCGATACGACATTGTTCTTGTTAAACTGGAAATGATTACTTTAGCAAGCTAACGTATTTTACCTTTTTAAGAATTAATTAAAGATATTTTACTTCCTTAAGGTTGTCTTTGTTTAAAAAAGGCAATTTTTTATTTAAAATGTAAAAAACTTACCGAAACAGATCCAAACACAGATTGTCTTCTTGATTGACCTTCCAAGTATGCTTCCAGATCAAATTGTTTAAGTTGAACCTTCTGCTTGGCTTTTTCGGCTTCTCGTTTCTTCTGAAATTTAAAAGTTGAGTTCAAACTTTAATCAAAAAATAAAGGATTCACTTATGTAAGAAAACCCTCAAAAACCCACCACTTCCGCATCATATGCATTGTGCATCTTCTCCATCTCCAAATACAGCTTATGTTCAATGATTTGTCCGACCGCCTGTGTTAAATGGAACAACATTTCCGTCTTCAAACTCTGCTTCGCCAGATCAATATTCTCCTTCATGGTGTCGACCGGTGGTTGTGGGTACTTCAACTTGGTCGTATAGTAGGCATAGCCTAAGTCAATGTAACACGTTGGAAAGCGAGTGACGTCGCCTTCGTGTTGTTGCCAACCGTACTCGATGACTTTGGCTTGTTCGGCCGCATCCGCGTATCTGTTAAAGTACTGTAAAGGGTAGTCTCGCCATACGAAGGCTGAAGTTGCATCCCAGAAGACGCCATCTTGTTTTAGGATGTAGTCACTGTAATCGTGTTCCTTCTCTTGACTGTGAGGCTTGATTGTTGGTTTGATGAGCTGTGGTACTGGTTGGGAGAGGGGTTGGTCTGGTTCTTGTTTTACTGGATTCATTGGGGATTGAGTTACGTTCATACGATCGAATCGAGATACCTGAAAGAAGCCAATTTAGATAAAATAGCTATATAAAGCTTTTTTAGCTAGAATTAACATTTTCAAAGCGTATAATTAATTTAAAAAACCATGTTTAAAAAGCTTTTGGACCTAAAAATCCAAAATAAAGCCTTTTATACCTAAAATCATTAATTTAAAAAAATATTGTTACTTAAAAAATTTTAAACTTAAACTTCAAACCCACCCTTTTCCTTTGACTTCCACTCTCTCTATCATCGTATCGTCCACTTTTCCTTCTACTATATCGTGCATTATCCGACGATGATCCATCGCTAGCCGAGCTCAGAGATCTTCTTCGTTTTCTGTCGTCGTACTTCGAGTACTTGTCATTCTTGTACGAATATTTATCGTATTTGTCGCTTCGCGACCTGTCCTTGTATCTGCGAGGACCTGGTGATAAGGAATCGAATGTGTTCGATGAGTTTTGCGAGCTTGAACGTTTTCTTTCCGCAAATTCCGGGGTTTTTGGGCCTTTTTTAGTTGATGGTGGCTCGGGAGGAGTGTGACAGCCTAAAAGTTATGTTAAAATTAGAGATGTGTCATTCTCTTTGCATGAAAATACTAAAAGTGCCATTCTTTTCGCATCAAAACACTAAAGGTGCCATTCTTTTTGCATCACATTACTAAAACGCCATTATTTTTGCACAAAGACACTAAACGTGTCATTCTTTTAGCATCGAAGTTCTAAAAGTGTCATTCTTTTTGCATCAACAAACTAAAAGCGTCATCCTTTTTGCAACAAGATAGTAAAATGCCATTATTTCTGCATCAGAAGACCAAAATCGTCATTCTTTTTGCATCAAACAACAGAAAATGTGTATCTTCCATCCAAACCTCTCCTAAAGCCACTCCTAAAAGCCAATAAGTAACTAAAACAACATACCTTTCTTGCCATCTCCATTCGACGAAACATGATTCGGTTCTAAAGCTTCTCTACTATCTATAATACCATCTTCTGCGTTCACAAGCTTGACCAAATGCCGTAGTCTTGCTGTTGCAATAACATCAGTTAGATTGGCATGTCTTGGAGGTAACGGTGCATCAAATTTGGTGACTTTTTTGTACTCTTCTGTCGCCCAGAAGCCCAGTGTGTCTATGAACACTTTCACTGGGAATCCCATGATTGTCGGAGTTTCCGTGTAGTGTTTCACGAAAGACATCGCATCTTCTTCACATGTAAACTCGAGTAAAGCAAAGCCAAGATGCTTTCGAACTTTTGGGTCTGGATTAGTGTATATATGGAGATAGTTGACGTGGCCAAACTTAGAGCAAATTGAAAGCAAATATTCTTCTCTGACATTGTCATTTAGGTTAGTTATACAAACCTCGCGACGAGGTGGGGCAGCACAGTAATTGTTGTCAATCACAACATCGACTTCCTGAAAGAAATGCAATGTTTTTTGACTCTAACGTTAAATTTTTGAATTTTATTTTTAAAAAAAGATTAAACAATTAAATTTCTATAATAATTTAAAATTTTAAGATTTGAACTTTATTTTTTAAAAAAATATGGCAAAAACCAAGTACTTCACGGTTATCTGATGCCTGCTATAATATAAACCTCAAGTTTTAATCATTTACCTCTATTCCATTGCCAAAGCACATTTTCTTTCTCAACAATCACTCTTTTATCTGCGTTTTAGACCTTACTTTACCCATGTCTCCCATAAACTCTTCACAGAATCTTTATTTTTCCAAAAACTACTACAAGATTATCCTAAACATCAAAAACAAATCAAAATCCTTACCGAATACTCTCGAATAACAAATCTCTGAGCATTTGGGGGTCCTCTAGGATCATGTACTTCTTCTTTCGTAAACTCCGGATATTCCATACAAACTCCATTGACTCTTTTCGTCGCTTTCAAATTACCCTTGCTGTCCTTGACCATAATATTCAAAAACGAATACTTTTTAGGTTTGTTGCCAAAAATTCTGCTCTCAATCAACTGCCATTCCCTCTCCGGTTCTTTGTATGTTGTCGCAAAGTCCTCGTACAGGTCTTTGCCTTGATGTATTGCACGATGTTTGCGTTCCGAAAAGTTGTGGTTACCATATCGTTCGAGGAGTTGTTTGTATTGAGAACGAGATTCGGCATCTTTGCAAACTTCGATTCGACCTAGAAGTCGACGCCATGGTAAAGGAGATACGGTGCCTTCCTCCTCTTCTGGAGGCGGTGTAGACGGGCCTTTCCTTATCGTCGTATCAGATGAGCGAGTCGATGCTACTGTGTATTTTGATGTATATGAGCTGAACGATGTTCTAAAAAGGTAATTTTTATTAGGAAATGATTATATTGGTTTATTTTTAACCTACTTGAGAAAAAAAACTCAAAACCACAAAAAATTGCTGTGCACTGCAATTTTTCAAATTATATACCTAAACTTCAATAAAAATTTAAAAAATCTTACGTTAATCGATCTGTAGCTGAGTATGTTAGTTCAGAGTGAAATGATGTTGAAGGTTCACAACCATGAGAAGGGTAAAAACTATTATTCTGCGACATTCTACAAGTTTGACTTGCTTATGCGTTCACATAGGAGCCGCAGATTCTAAAATTAGACATTATAATTCAAAATTTACTGATATAAACGTCAATACAACACGAGAAATATTATTGATAAAGTATTTTCCTCAACTCAATGTCTTTTAGCTTAAGACCGTCAAATATTCAAAAAGTTTATACCTAAATTTTATAAAAACTCTAATAAAATGTTTGAATTTTCAAAAAAGTAAACATCAAATATTAACTAAAAAGCTTCTCCTACATCTTCACTATCTTTTACATTACCTATTATTTCAAGTTAACCTCAAAAAACTTGGAAAAATCAAAAACTTTAAAGTCGATACCTATGTTATTCAAAAAACTGACAAATTATAATAGTTTTCTAAAACTAATTTAGTAAACAGAACTTAATATGTTACATTAACCTTTTTAAAGCTTTTGTATTAGAAAGACATCAATAAAAAAACTTTCAAGTTTGCATTATTTCAAAAAACCTAAATTAGATACCTAAAACAATATCAAAGTCAAAATTAAGGTGAAAAAGACCCAAAAATTATCTTTTTAAATTAGAAAAAATTTTTCGTAGGTTAAGACAAAGCTATTCCAGTAACAAACTAAAGCGTTTCTTATATTCATAAAGAACCGACACTTCTTTTGGTTAAAATCGCGCCAAAAGTTATTTTTATAAGATAGCCAAAGAAAAACTAGTAAAAGTGAAGGAAACTAGTATATTTCCACCTGAATACAATATAAAATTCTTGAAAAAACATTAGACCACATTTTTGACTAATTTTGTCAAGTTTGTATCTAAAAACTACAACAGTATTTCGTGTTTTGTGAAAAAATCAGTCAATTTTCGAATTTTTACAGAAAATAAATTTAGACAACAACATCGAGCCTATTTCTTTTATATTTATCTCTTAATTTGTTTTAAAATACACCTTTTTTAATGTTAAATATTTTATCAATAAATCTTTTCACTTCCTCACGTGAGACACTCAAAAAGACAACCTAAAACAATATAAACCTAAAATTACAAAAATTTCCTAAAATTTTCAAATTTCACAAACTTTTTTACTCTGTTATCAAAAAACAATCGATGAGACATAACAATGTTAGTTATTCTATCACAGACTTTATAAAAAGTTTTCCGTCGAAGCGCCAAACACGTTTTATGTTGCGCCGGAATGCCAGGTATTTGGTTTTCGTGGTGAGACTCAATGAAGAGTGTAGTGAAATCGTGGTTGGTCATTAGGTGGAAAATACGTTGTGTGGCTGCAGTAATGACGGAAAAAGTGTTGTTTATTAGTACAGCAATAACAGACAGAATGAAGCTGCATAATTTATTGTTATTTACAAGTATTTGGCTGTTTTTACAGACCATAGCATGTAAAATGTGGCTTTTTGGCTGAAAATTCTTGGTTGAAGCGTTAAAAATCGTTGGAGTAAGTCTTATTTTAGATGTAAAACTTAGTAGAAGATCGCTCTTTTTAGTTTTTATATCAAATGAGGTCAATAACTTCAAGAAGCTTTATGTTTTTGAGCTTTAAATGTCAAGATACTTTATGTTTTGTCTAAAATAAGGTTAGTTTTATATGTTTAGGTTATTGTAATGGCACTCAAACATGTATAAGATCCTTCGTAATTATCTTTAACATTTTTAAATGCATTCTAACCTCATAAACTTCAAATTCTAGCCTTTAAAAACCAAATAAATGTCAAAATATTGTCATAGATCGGCTTTCAAATCCCTCCAAGTTTATATAAACAATGCCAATGGACGTGTGATATCAACTGTCGTTTTTTCGGATAAAACCTCTCTTTATCCGAGGTTTAATCAAATGGTTTTGAAAAAGTCTGCAAATTTCGTTGGATTAAGCAATGTTTTGCATTTTGTACGGTTGACATCCTATGTTGAAGTGATGTTAAGACCACACTTTTTGGTCACGTTCTTTGGTGTTTAGCATAACAGGGTGGTATATCGGAATTTATAAAGGTAATATTTAAAAATCCATAAATATCTTTGTATTTTGAGCCCACGTTTTGGCTTTGATGGGTTCTTGGAATTGTTAGAGGCCATGGGTAATATAATCACTAATTTTTAAAGGTAGATTATGTTTATTTTCAAAAAGTTCAAACTGTCTGAATACACATTTGAAAGGTTTTTGTATATTTTGCAAAGAAATAACTTGAAGTAGTCATAAATTTGTTCAAAACTTATGAAATAGAGGCCAATTATCTTTTCGTATACTTATACGTATAACATGACTCTTTTGATCATCTATTCGTTTTCCTAAAAAAAAGTTTTTAAGAATTTTTGAAGCAATTTTTCCTAAGGGATCAATTTTAGGGCAGGCAAGACGTTTTTGGTCAAGTTTACAAGGCCAAAATGGCATGTATACCTCTATTATTTTCTCTATTGTAAGGAACTAAATTGTAATGTAAAGCTTGGACAAACCTTAGGTTATAGTTATAATAAGGTAGGGCTATACAAACACAGGAAAATTTTTAAAACTGCGGTAAAGTAGGAAAGTAGGGTAGGTACCGGTAAAGTAGGGTAGGGTAGGTGGTGGTTTGGACAGGAGCGGAAATGAATTTGACCTTTCGGTCCGATCAAATCCATTTTCAAAATAAGTCTGGTCTGGACAACAATTTTTGAAACCACCGTCCCTGTCAGGACCGTTGGATTCAAAGCCAGTTAAAATTTTTTGGCCGACGCCCAAAAAAATTCTCAAGTTTTTGCCGATCGTCAGCCGAACATTTCTGTCCAGTCCCGCCTTTCAAGCGGTCCGGACCAGCCTAAAATTTCAAGACCGCGGTCCTAATCCTGAATTCAGGAGCGGGCCGATGGCTGACTCTAACAAGTTAGGATAGTTTAGAGTAGGATAGGGTAGGGTGGGTAGGGCAGGGTGAGGTAGGGAGGGTAGGGTAGGGTAGGGTAGGGTAGGGTAGGGTAGGGTAGGGTAGGGTAGGGTAGGGTAAGGTAAGGTAAGGTAAGGTAAGGTGGATAGGACAAGAATCATACTGTAGGCTGATAAAGAGCGAAACTTTGGCAGATAGAACAAAGTTTTGATGATGTTTCCATATCATCTTCCACATCACTTTAATGCAGAAACACAAAATTGGTAAGAAATTTAATTACGTTTTCATGGCAACAACCGGAAATTAATTAAACGACAACATTTTGCATACATTTTAATTATGTTGGGCGGCTAATTTCGCAGTGAAATATGATATTTAATATTTGCATTCCGCTGGAAATGGCCACGAAATCTAATCCTAATAAACGTTAACTTCGCTTTTAGTGTAATGAACACTGCCACTGGTGGGGACGCGGGGTATAATTTGTTTCTCGTTTGGGGCGGATAATCGGGTGTAATATATTGTACTGTGCACTATCACATGAGGAAGTACGTTTTTATACGAAGCGGTCAACGTAGTAAATATATTTAAATATGTGGGGGAGTAGTGGGGGTTTGCTTAAATGTGCCAGAGGTAGCCATAGGGGTAGGAATGGGGGCAAAAGTACGAAGCAGGGTAAGGGGTAGTGGTAGGGATAGGAGTAGAGGTAGGGCTGGGGTAAGTGGTATGGTATAGAAATACGGGTAGCGGCAAGCGTACGAGTAGGATAGAGTAGGGGGTACATGAGTACAATTAGGTTAGGGTACATAAGTACGGGTAGAGGTAGAAGCATGGGTAGGGGGAGCATAAAGAGTAGGAGTTTATTAACTATTAGGTTGTTCAAATAATTCTGTGCCCTCTAAAACGCTACATTTGCTTCCAGAGAGGGCACATAATCATTTGAACCACACACTAGATTTTCTAGAAGATACGGTTTAATAAGTTTGAATCATGATCTTAATCACCCCCTACATTCAGCAATGTCTTGCACTTAACTGTCTGTCCAATAATTCAAAAATTTTAAATTATTTCATTTTTTATGATAATAAACATGACCTTTGTACAGTCAAGCATTATAAACCGTTATGACCTTTGTTACTCCCCCATTAGACCACATTACAGACTGAGCCTTAACTCGATTATGGCAATACATTCGAAGTAAAGGGTTTCGTGTCAGTTTATGGAATTGTAACTCCATGAACAGAGTAAATTTTGAGTTTTATGAAGTTCATAATATACACTGGGTGTTAGTTTAAACTTTTTTAACGTTCCTTGAGTTTTCTTTGTGTCTATTTACGTACATTCTTCTCATTGTCTGTTATAGTACGTACAGGGTATAGTATGAACTATCATACAAAGTATAGTACGTAATATCAAACGAAATGTATATTAGAGTGATAATGAGAAAATCATGTAGAAAATTCACCTTTACCTATTTGTATTCGTATATCACGCAATTGGTCTAGATGTGAAAGTGCACGAGATAAGCACAAGGTTTAAAATTTCTCACAACTTCCAGACTATTTTTTTAAATATTGTGTACCTGCACCGTCATACCAAGTGCTACATTTTTAAACTCTTATCAGACATTAAATTTTCTTTGAGTTCAAGTCGTATTTCACACTTTAAACTGCCACTTTTGCTTGTCTACATTTGACTTAAAGCGTATATTTCATATTGTCTTAATGGCGTGCCATATATCAGTCTAGCCCCACTATTTAAATACCGCTTCTAACACTATAAGAGTCACACTATAAAAGCTAAAATTTTTTGCAATATGACTTTGGCTTAAAATTTTTTTAAAGCCCGAGGGGTATTTGGTGCAACTTCCTTGTTACCTTCTATTAATACTTCATAAAGCATTATCACTCTAGCACCGTAATATTCAAACCAAACTTTTGCACATTAATATAAAGATCATATCAAAGCACCACTTGAGTATCTGAGTATCACCTTGCACCACCATACACTACCCCTTAACCACTTCTCTACAATTTACTCAAGTTCCTGTCTAGCCACCCTTATCGGGTTCGCCTTCAAAGTAGGTTTCATTTTCAAAAATAGTATTAGCAGAAACTGGACTTTTTGCAGTCGTTTGCGTCATCACCTTTTTTGCGAAGGGCTTAAAATCTTGGAGCCATTGTTTAGGAACCTTTTAAGTTTGTTTAAAGCGAATCATACTGTTTTATGTTGCAAACGCGTTTATTTTGGTCTATAAAAGGGCTATTCAAAATTTGGGTATAAAAATGGATATTTGAGGTGCATTTTTAAAGTTTTTGTCCCATTTTTTGCAGTTTTTTAAGCTAGAAATAAATCTAGCTAGCCGCAAAGGGTCCGTTTAGTTAAGCTATGACTATGACAGACCCTAGCGCTGAACTTTATCGCCAGTTCTTATGAGTGAAGTTGTCCTAGCTTTATAATAAAGGTATATATAAGGCACCTAAATGCCCTTCCAAAAATACTTCACTGGGTCTTCCCAAAGCCCCTGTTTACTTTGATAACTACCCTATATCATCCCAAATATACATCTATTTAGGCAAAATACATAAGTCTAGGTTATAACATATGACAGAGAAAGAGAGAACATACGGTCTCTTACAGTTACGTAACTTTAGTTCTCTACCCATTTATGACCGTTTTCTTTATAAAAATAATGTTTTTTTTTAAATCGAAAAACAATCGTATCTTCTCTCTTTCTCTAACCATACGTATAACCCAATTGAATGTCGCGTTAACTTTTCATGAATAAGGCACAGTTATCACAGTATATATCAAAACATTCAGGGTCTTTTAGAAGACCCGGTAGACAATTTTTGGCTAGCACATTTTGTGCTTTATATTGAAAACAGCTTGGCATTGCTCTAAACTTACACGAAACTTACCTATTTCCTTCTGTAGTCGTATTTTACGCTTACCATAGCCTTAATCTATCCTTATTTTTGCTCTATTTTATCTTATCATTAGCCGTACTACTACCCTATACAAGCTCTACCAAAATGTATTCCTACACCTACCGGTTAGTTATACTGTTCTACTTTAAACACTAGCGTAGGGTAGAGTATGGTAGGGCATGATAAGGTAAGATAAGGTAGGGTAGGCTAGAGTAGGATAAAATAGGGCAGGTATTGCAGCCCCTAGTTGTATTTTTCCTTACTCTAGCTCTTGCTTGTCCTACCCTACTCTTCCCTCAAGTGCCATGCCTTACAAAAGGTAAAGCCATTACAATCTTCTTACTGTAATAACGTTGCCCCTATGTTATCCGACCGTAGTATACTCTCCATCTTGCTTGTAAAAGAAGCATAGTATTGATCACTATACCTTAAACACCTCACATTCTGAATAATTACTACCTTATACACCAATCCTACCTCAAAAGCTCTCAGATTTACTATGTCTTTTAACTAATTTTAGATCTTAACTCCCTTTACAATAAAAACGTTTATCAATATTGACAAAACATGCATTGTTTGAACAGTTATAGCTGAAGTTATACCAGTTCCCAGTTTTCTGTTTATTTTCAGAAACTTTTTCAATTGTCATATTTTAGTTTGTTGCTTTGTGAATGTTTTCGAAACTTTTTCAAAACATTCACAAAGCAACGAACTAATATGACTGTTGAGTCTTTGATGTTTCTTGTTATTTTTTATGATTTCTGATTATCATATTTTATAATCACATCATTTTCAGACTGATAAACCGATGAGAGAGATGGTTCTTCCGGCTCATTTAAATTTTAATACTCTCATAATACTTTTTGGAACTTATTTTTAGTTTTTCTATACGAAAATTTTAAAAATTTCATGTTCCTGTTTATTGGGTTTAAAATTTTAGTTTTTGCGCCTACTATAATATAAAAATACTCTTACTCTTCCGTTCAATTACCCTATCCTACCCTACCTTGCCCTACTTTACCCTACCCTACCCTACCTTACTCTACCTTACCTTATCTTACCTTACCTTACCTTACCCTGCCCTACCTACTCTACCGTAACATTTTGCTTTTATAAACCTGCAAAAACCCCTTCTACTGACATTATTTACCACGCTCTTTTAAAAAGTTTTTGGTTTCTTATACGCTGTAAATAGTGGTATCTTGATTATACTTTACCGTTCTGTTGCTCGTTTTATTTACTTTGAAAAGAGCGAGGTGTTAAGACACGAGCGTTAGTGCATTACCAGCAATAATTTCGTTACGTGTTATTGGGTTAGTCTATATTGTATTATTTGATTATATTTTGGGACAATTTTGTGTCGCCAACGTTGTTTATTACATTGTTCTTGGTTTTTCATGCGATGGGGTCATTTTTGTTTATTTGAAAATTGTTTGTTTTACCCCGTGCTACCCTATCTTGAGCTGTTATGCCCAGCCATACTTTATATTAATTTATCTTACTTTGCCTTAACCTACTCTACACGGCTTCAAAATACCTTACTTTGTACTATCAAACTATTCTACTTTATACTCCTCTGTCATACTCTGCCCTACCTAGACATGAAAAACGACGCCGGACCTGAAAATCAAGGCCCGGTCTGGCGCGAAAAGCCCGGCCCGTTTGAACGTAAAAAAATTGAGCGGCTGGTCTGTTAGAGCCGGTCCGTTCCTCAGGCTTAACCCTAACCTACCCTAACAGACGCCACCCTGCCTTACCAAACTCCACCCTACTTTATCCTACTTTACTAGAGTTGTAAAGAGGCTAGGGCCCAATTTTTCGACCTGGCCCTCGGGCCCACATATTTGAGCCCGGTCCGACACAAAAAAAGCCCCTTTTCAGCCTACCATAATATCCTACATGTCATTTTAAGCTGCTATGCCTTTTTGTAAATTTGACTACGCCTTACCTTTGCAACCTGTCTTACCTAGACACGAGGAACGGCCTGAGTGTTAGGCCCGGCAAAATCCAAATTTTGCTCAAGGCCGATGCGGCCCAATTTTTTTTGCGTGCAAACCGGCCTGATTTTTCAAGCCGGGCCTTGATCTTCAGGCCCGACCTAAATTTGGGTTAAGGTCAGGCCGGCCCGTTCCTCATGTCTACTATATTATCCTTGAACCTAAATAATCTAATTTATTCTACCCTACCAAAAAACCCTCGACTACCCTACACTTGTTGTACGTGCAAATTTCAACTTTAGATCACTTTTTGTACGTGCAAACTACAACTTTGTCTAATCAAGAAGCGCTCAAAAAGTTTCTTTTCTACCCAAAAACAACAAAAACCTAAACTTTTTCATCAAAGAACAACCCAACTATCACGGTAAATAACTTTTTTAGATCTTACACGAGGCAATTGTAGTCTTACAAAGTACAGAACGTCACACTGGGTTGATCTTATTGCGTAATTAAGTTTTGGGTTTTTGTAATTCGTTTAAACTCGACCAGTATTTAACTGTTTGTTTTTGTGTTAATTGTCGTGATGACGAGATTAAGAGATGTTTGATTGGCGACTTTTTCTTGTTTTCTTCATGCTCTTTAATTCCAGCCTAATGGGCTTGTTAAGTAAGGTCTTGTCGATTTTGTATTGAGCTGGTTTTTTGAGTTTTGTCTTGTTAAGTAGTAGTAGTTTTGTCTTTTGTTGCAGTGTTTTTGACTTTTTGTATTAGTACAACAAAAAAATGAAATGCTATTTTTATTTGTTTAAAAGATACGTTTAGTTATCAAAGATCATGTTTCAAAATAATTTTTTACAAATTTTGTATTTGCACTTTAATAGCCTTTTTTAAGTTTCTGTAAGGCCGAAAGACTTGAGCGAAGCAGACTGTAATGCCGAAAGGCTTAACAACAATTAAACCCTCTCTAGTGCCATTTCTAAAAATAGCGCTAGTCTATTTGTATACAAATGCTTTTAACTATTCTAAACCTTTTTGTAATTATGAGTTTTTTGATTCGGTTACTGTAACCCATTGTATTCACATGGAAAGTGCCCGATCTGGCCCGCTCTGATTCACTTCAAACTTTTTCCGTAGAAAGATAATGTGAATATAAGATCTGCAGCAAAGTACTAAATCGCGCTTTCCAGGAAATCTCGAAAAAATCGAGATCAAAAATTACGTTTTGAATTTCCCGCCAAATTGGTATTGTGTTTCAAGCATGTAACTTTGTCATTTTTTAACTTTCAAACATTTTCTTTGATATACTAGTAGGAAACCTTCAAATGAACCTACATTTTTAGGTTTGTAAACGTAGCTGGTCTGGAAAGTAAAAAAAAATTTGAAACAGAATGCCAAATTTGTCAAATTGGCGGAAACGTCAAACAATTTAATTTTAAAACTCAAAAGCGCGAGCTAAAATTTGTTATGGGTACTACTAGTGTACAAAAATAAATTCAAACATTTTGAGCTGATTCTGAGCGGGGCAGGTTGGGTGCTTTCCTTGTGAGCATTAATAAACTTGGCCAATTGAAAAAATTTGTTTTGTCAAAATTAATTGTCTAAATAATATCAAATTTATCCCTGCATATGTTCGTGATCATGCACAATACTTTTGTAATTACAAATTTTTTGATATTTTTACTGTAACCCACCTTAATCACTAACTTCTTTAAAAAAATCATTTTTTCAAGAAAAAAATATTTGAATTTCGCGCGCATTTCCAGTCATTGTCCCTTAATTTTCTCAATAATATTGTCAAAAGATGTAAACAGTATTCTCACTTCAGAATCCTTTAAAAATGAGTAACGCCACCACCTGTCAACAACCCCATTCGATTTTGATTTCTGACCCTGCCTCAGTTGATCACAGCCATCAACATGTTCAGTTTACGATACCAAAAGAGCACCTACACACTCACGAGAACTCACGCAAACCCAGAAGTCGTACCAACTCACCGCCCAACGACAAAACTGCTGTAAGTTTTTGAAAGATAAGTTTGTAAAGAAAGTTCTTGCCATTTTATGCTTTGTAAAGAAAGTTCTTGCCATTTTATGTTTTGTAAAGAAAGTTTTTGCCATTTTTTGTTTTGTAAAGAAAGTTTTTGCAATCTTATGCTTTGTAAAGAAAGTCCTTGCCATTTTATGCTTTGTAAAGAAAGTTTTTACAAATTGAACTTACATTCCCCTTTCCAGACGCCAGAAGTCCCGATGGATGAGGTTGAGCTATTGAAACGTGGCCTCCGCTCGCAGAAAGGTGAATGTCTGCACGATGCTGAAGATTGTGAATGTGAAAAATGTGCGAATTTAAGCCCGGAGGACAACAACTCAAACTGAAATAACCAAAAAACGCGAATGATATCATTGTATGTATTATACGGTAAAATGTAATAAATTCTTTTTTTTTATTTGGTCACAGAAACTTAAAAAAGGGTCAGTTTTTAATCGCAGAAATTGAAAAAATAGCCATGTTTACCTATAAAAGTTTTAAAATGGCCAAAAAACGAAGTTTTAGTAGACTTGTAAATCCAAATTTGTTTCGGCATGACCCGGCCCGTTTTTGATAAGGCCCGGCCCGAAGGCATTAAAGCCCTGTCCATGCCTATATTCGTCAAAAAATGACCTATCGATTCACTTACATCCTCCAAAACACCGGTCCATATACAGAAATATCCACAGGAGGGTCCAAGCTCACATATAAACCCAATACTATAATACAAGCTTTTTGACCGAACAAAAATATTCAAAAATACGTTCAAACCAACGTATGTGTTACAATATCAATATGAATCAAGAAGAAGTTTTATTAATCACCAAATATGTACAGGTAAAATAATATTACAGTAGGCAGTAAAAGCATACAATATTTTGAGAAAAAATGTAAAATTATCAACAAAAAAATAAAAATTTTGTGAAATTGTGAGACATTATGATGAAACAACAAATTTAAAAATTTTTGAAAAATTCAAAAAGTAGTTTAAAAAAGAATGGCGTATTTTAATAGAGATTGGCCTAAAACACGCCATTCTTTTTGCATCACAACTTTCTTTAAAAAAACTTCAATAAAAATCTTCTCTTCAGTCTAAAAGGATCCAAAAAATCAGTTTTACAGATTCTTAATGCATAAAGAATGACGCGTTTCTTTAAAAAAAACTTTTTCAAAACTTTTCAAAATTTAAAAGTAAAGCTCATAAAGATCAATATAGGTGTAATTTTTGAGATTCAGATGGTATATAATATTATGATTGACATTCTGACATATTATTGAGAAAGCTTGGCTAGAGTCTTCCGACGTTGTTGAGCTACTTTGTTCACTTCGATGAATTCTTCAGCTTTTTGGTCCAGGAAGTCGTCCATTATCTAAAAAAAAATCATTTTAATCATCATACATTATCCAATAACATTCAGCTTTGCTATACATTGTAGAAAAATTATCAAAAGTAAATAATTGCCCAGAATTTTGACCTTTTTTAAAACTATTAGGTTGTTCAAATAACAAGAAAAGTGCCCAACCTGTCCCACTCAAAATCAGCTCAAAATGTTTATATGAATTCTTTGTACCACCAATAGTACCCATAAAACATTTTAACTCTTGTTTTCAAGTTTTTTAAAATTAAAATATTTAAGATTTTCCGTCATTTTGGCAAATCTGGCATTGTGTTTCAAGCCCTTTTCCCGACTTTCCAGACAACATACGCTTACAAATTTAAAACTCTAATTCATTTAAACGTTTTCTCCTATTATACCAAAGAAAAATGATTAAAAGTCACAAAATGACAAAGTTATATGCTTGAAACACAACGCCAATTTGGCGGGAAATTCAAAACGTAATTTTTTGATTTCGATTTTCTCTATATTCCCTAGAAAGCGCAATTTAGTATATTTTTGTGACACTTTACTTTTAATATCTATTTTTGGTTTTTATACATGTCATACGCTATCATGAATACATAAGCTCAAAATTATTAAAAATAAGGTAAAAATAATAAAATGTAAAATAAAAAAACTTACAAGTTCATACGACAATGGATTCTTAAGTTTGCACGCATTTGGAGGTGTTTTCATTAGGTTTTCATCCACATTATTCGACTTTATCCTTCCATTTCGTAGCTTTTTAGCTTCCGGCAGTTCTTGTAACTTATCTAAAAACATTATTAATGTTTTAAAATGTAAATGAACTCAAAAAACTTTATTTTAGTTTTCTAAAGTTACCATTGCTGAGTTGAAAAACGTATTTCACAAAAAATATGAAATTCCATACCTAATTTTGTGAGTTCGTCAACACGTTTCAACACGTCGTACTTTGCTTTGACTTCCGTTTTAAAATCCACAAAAGTCTCCACTATTTGGTTTTCACGTTGGCTGAAATTTGGAGGTATAAATTATATTAACATGGGTACCTATAAAACATTTTTGGCCTAATTCTTTCAAATGTGAACAATTTCTGAACTCAAGATATCAAATTAAAGCCTCAAAGATTAAAAAACTGCAAAAAAACATAACATTCGTATTTTAACATACATATTATCCATCATGACTTACCTCAATGTGTTCTCCACATATTTTTTAATCCTTCCATCATAAGGCAACGGTTGATATAGAATATGTGAGTCACTAACACGACGCTTCAAACATTTGTGTCGATTTCTAGTCATTATATTACAATTGGCAAAAGCCATCGCTCCTGCTTCGACAGCTCTATCTAAATCAACATTACTGATCCCGGTATGATCTTCAGCTCTCACGATCTTCTCAGCCGTTTGTTTTACTTCTTGCAAGTCTTCCAAGCTCACATTGCACTTCTATAAGCGTAAAAATATATTAAAAGCATAGTTTTTAGAAGGTTCTCATAGGCTGCTTAGTATAATATCAGAAAACTGCCAAAAAATATAAAATACCTATAAAACATAACAAATTTAATTTTAAAAGTTACTCACATCAATATCAAAGCCTTTCAAATCCACAAACTCTTCATCTCTCCCATCCTGATAAATCTTTTCACAATAGTTATCCAAACAGCTCAGTAACTTCTCCTTATCGATAATATCGCCATCTTCTTCAACCTTTTTCGTAGATTCATCCAATTTAGACACATTTTTCACATCTTCAGCTTTAACTGAGTCTTGAGAATCTTCACTGTCTGGCGTACCGAAAATCAATGACCGTGAAAGTGAGAGGTTCACCGTTTGTCGGCGTGCCTTGTCGTTTCGGCGAGGTGTCTCGTCAAAACTTTCTGTTAATCTGTAAAAAAATCGTTCTTACAAAACTTTATACCCATTTGAACTAATTTGAGCCGACATATGTAGCAAAACAGCTAAAGAGTTATACATCCCATCAAGCGTGTCTAACTTAATATTAAAGAAAAAGGCTAGCCAACCTAAATTTGTGTCCCTAAAACCAATTGAAATACCTTCCCAAAGCTTTTCTCTATCTTCTAAAGCTAAAAGATACATAAAATCCTTTTGAAATGTAGTTTTCCAACAACAACTCCGAAGCACCCACAACTATCGATAAAATCATGCAAAAAAGCTCAAGTTTCTAGCCGAAACTGCCATTTACTAACATTCTACTGCAACTAACACCTAAATATAACAAAAAACAACAAAATAAAACAACATACCCCCTGTTTGACATCGTAGAGTTGATTTAAACCAAAAATCTAATAAAAATCAAGAATTTCGGAAATAAAACGCTCAAGAAATTGGTTTCGCGCGCTTTTCCATTTCGCGTCAACTCTCGCTCTTGAGTCAAGTTTATTATTGAAGTGAGGTAAAATACGAGCCTGTCCGGAATCCATTTATAAACCTTAAAGTAAGACGTATATCGTTTAGAATTAAGGATGTTTATAAAGCACAAAAAGTGCTAGCCAAAAATTGTTCACCGGGTCTTCTACAAGGCCCTGAATGATTTGGTACTCAACCTGATACCTATAGCTTATTATCAAAATATAATTTGGCTTTTGATTGGGTTTTGCGAATGGTTATAGAAAGAGAGAAAATACTATATTTTCCGATTTAAAAAGACATTATTTTCGTAAAGACAGTCAAAAATGGGTAGAGATATAAAGTTACATAATTGTTAGAGATCGTATGTTCTCTCTTTCTCCGTCGTGTGTTATAACCTAAACTTATGTATTTTGACTGTATAGATGTATACTTGAGATGACTGTTAGTTATCAAAGTAAACAGGGGCTTTGAGAAGACCCAATGAAGTATTTTTGTAAGGGCATTTAGGTGCCTTACAGGGACGTCGCTACGGTTTTTCTCTGGGGGGGGGGAAGGGAGGTCGAAAAATTTTTTTTTGGTCCACAGGTAGCTGCTACCTGTGGACCGATTTTTCAAAAATTTTTTTTTTTCGTTTTTCCGCGTACAGGTCCTACCTGTGGATTTTTTTTCGGATCGGCTCTGGGGGGGGGGAGAGTCACCCCGAGCCACCAACCATCCCCCCCCAAACGACGTCCCTGGTGCCTTATATAATGTTCTATACCTTCATTAACAGTTGAATATGAATGTTGTAAATGTCGTAAATGAGTGATCGCACGTTCATCATGTCGTACCACGCACTTGTTTACAGTGTTAAATTGTCGCTGTAAACAAAGTAAGCGGTGTGAATCGAGAGTTAAACCGTTTTGCTCCGTTACCTACTCCTCCTCTGGTTGTCGCCGCTCATCCATTACGATTTTTAGTAAAGCGGGCGATAAATTAGAGCGTTGCGCAACTCCAGAATCGTTTTCCTCGTTTTTCAGATTCAGCTGGAAATTGTAATTCCTCGTTTTTGAGCGAAGGGAAATTGCTTTAATGGTTACACTGTTCCCATTTATTATATGTTTGACTTTCCCTTTCTTGGGGGTCGTTTTTATATTGGAGGTGAAAGAGGGGAGATCCTTTATAGTAGAGATGAAGAAATGGAGATTCTTTATATCAAAGATGAAAGAGAGAGGATTCTTTATATTAGAGTAGATACAATAATACCTTGATTGTGTTGGTAAACATCTGAGATTCCGCTCAGGGTTGATTTATTGTTTCTGTAATTGATATTGTCTTTAGTAGATCATGAAAGAGAAGGAGTGTTAGATGTGGTTGTTTATATTCTTATTAATAGCGTCTAAGTGTGGTACATTAGTACACATAATTTAAATATAGAGTAGGGAAAAGTATAGGTAGGGCATGGCTAAATCAGGGTGGGCTTAAGGCTAGAATAGAGCATGGCTCAGTTAGGGCATGGCTAAATCGGGGTACGTTTAAAGCTAGGCTACGGCATGGCTAAATAAGAGTAACGGGGTACTATCCTTGTTAGTGCAAGTTTAGAGCAAGATCAAACTGTTGGGTGATAGTAAGGTTAGGGTAAGACTAAAACAAGGCTAGAAGCGGGCTAAAACATTACAACACGTAGGCCTAGTGTAAATTCAGCACAAGCCAAACTGTTTTTAATATAAAGCACAAAAAGTGCTAGCCAAAAATTGTCCACCGGGTCTTCTAAAAGGCCCTGAATGATTTGATATTCAACTTGATACCTAGCGCTTATTATGAGAATATAATTTAGCTTTTGACTGGGTTTGACGAGAGGTTAGAGAAAGAGAGAAAAGACTGTCTTTTAGGCGGCAAAACTCACCTTTTTATGGGTGTAATGTGTGAATTAAATAATTGGTAGGGATTGTATGTTCTTTCTTTCTCTGTCATATGTTATAACCCAGACTTATGTATTTAATCTATATAGATGTATATTAGGGATGATATAGGATAGTTATCAAAGTAAACAGGGCCTTTGAGAAGACCCAGTGAACTATTTTTGGAAGGGCATTTAGGTGCCTTATATAATGTTCTATACCTGTTGTACTATGCCCTTCTTTTGTCTTATCTTAACCCAAGTCAACTCGAGCTTTTACACAGCCAGCCCGAGTCTTATCCTACTCTTATATCTAACCTGATAACACATACTTTATAAAAACTATCTATCGAACAATAAATAAATATAAAACGTTTTTATTAGGTTGTTCATTTAATTCTGAGCTTCCACGCATTTTTTTATGAAGGTAGAGCACAGAATTAAGTGAACGATCTAATACCCCTGCTTTATAACCTAATTTCAATCCTTTTTCAAATCGTTCTCAAACAAATTTCACATTCCATTGGAATGACATTTTAATTTGCAATAAGGTTCGTGTTGTTTACAACCGCACCCAACTACTGCCAATGGAATTGCGGTAGCCTTGTTAGTTTCGGAAGAGAGTTTGATCGTTTTGCTCTGATTTTAGTCGTTCTGCTGTTAGTTTGATTGCTCTAGTTTAAGAGGAAGGGAGGCAGGGTAGAATAGGGTAGAATAAGAGGGTAGGGTAAAAGAGAAGGGGGTGGGGTAGGATAGAGCTTGAATAAGATAAGGCTTGGATAGGATAGCACAAGGCAAGGCAAGGCAAGCCAAGGCAAGGCAAGGCAAGTCAATGTCCACAATAACGGTGAAAGTGAAATAATACAAATGTTATGTACAAATATTGTTGAAATTTTCTTTTTTTATCAATTTTTTTGGTTTAAATTTTGTTATATTCTTTTTTCTTATGTCAAAAAGGTTACTTATGTTTAGTTTCAAGACTGTAATTATTAATTTTAAAATTAAAAAAATAAAAAACATTTTTGAGGCCTTTCAGTTGTTGGAAGCCGGCGGGAACCGAACACCGGAGCTTTCGAGTCCAAGTCGGGCTCACTCGCTCGCTGCCATTGAAGCACCTGTGCTTTTCTCTCAAAAAGCGAACATGAGACAAAAGTATTTGAAAAACCAAACTTTGACCTGCCATATCTCAAAAACTAGAGATTGTTGGCAAAAAAAATTTACACCATGAGTCTTAGAATTTTTTGCTCTACATTTATATATATACCACTAGTTATAACTCGATTTCCATTATTTGCGGTTTCCTAGTAAGTTTAGTGATTTCACTCTACGGTTTCCTCTTTACTTTGATCGTTTTGCTTTACTTTGTCGCTTTGTGTCTTTCTATTTGCAGCCGGCTGAAGGTCAAAAAACGTCGGAATCGACCGCCGCCATAAAGAAGATCCCAAAAACAAAGTAGGGGTCGTTATTAACCGAATGCCGTCGTGTTATTCTTCTCCCTATCCCAGTTTTCTTAATAAAGTTGTTCGATTCACAACGAATCCGAGGGATCTGGAGAAGGCTAAAGTCTTGAGTTTTTCGCGATAATTCTGAATTAAAGATGATGGAGTTAATTTAGGGGGGGGTAGGGGAGAAGAGGGAGAGGAGGGAGGAATGTGAGAAATAATGAAATGAAACAAAAATTCAAAATTAAACGTTTAACTCATATAATTTTTTAAAAATTTAATAAAGGATTTTTTTTGATAGCCTAAAGGTATTATTAAATAGTAAAGTATTTTATGCGACAGAAAGGTAAAGTAGGGTATTAGGCGTAGTAAAGAGTTTAGGTAAGGCTATGGTAGAGCTAAGTTAAGTTTATGGTATTAGAGTGAAATAAATTTGGAGTACGGGTATAGCAGGGTCACAATATATAGCAAAGTTATACGATGAAAAGTGTCCTACTACTTTTGGGCCAACCTAATAAGTAAATCAGTTGTGGACGTTCACGATATTGTAAAGCTACAAGATGAGTAATGCTAATACTAATATTAAGGCTAACGATAAGGTGCTGTTAAAACAGAGGAAAGATAGATAGATATACAGAGGGGATGTAGTAAGGTTATGGTAAGAGCAGGGTAAGATTAAAACAAAACTAGAAGCGGGCTAAATAGACATGAGAAACGGGCCGGGCCGCCCTTGAGCAAAATTCCGATCGGGCCGGGCCTGAAAAATGAGCCGGGCCCGCTTCCACGTAAAAAAAAATTTAGGCCTGGGCCGGCCCTGAGCAAAATTTCGATCGGGCCGGGCCTGAAAATTGGGCCCGGCCCGTTTCTCATGTCTAGGGCTAAAACATTACAACAGATAGGGCCTAGTGTAAGTTCAGAACAATCCCAAACTGTTTTTAATATAAAGCACAAGAAGTGCTAGCCAAAAATTGTCCACCGGGTCTTCTAAAAGGCCCTGAATGATTTGATATTCAACTTGACACCCAGCGCTTATTATGAGATTATAATTTGGCTTTTGACTGGGTTCTGCAAAAGGTTAGAGAAAGAGAGAAAAGACGGTCTTTTCGGGGGTAAAACTGATCATTTTATGGGAAAAAAGGGGGTATAAGGTATGAATTACATAATTATTAGGGATTGTATGTTCTTTCTTTCTCTGTCTAATATTATAACCCAGACTAATGTGTTTTGTCTATATAGATGTATATTTGAGAAAATATAGGATGGTTATCAAAGTAAACCGGGGCTTTGAGAAGACCCAGTGAACTATTTTTGGAAGGGCATTTAGGTGCCTTATATAATGGCTTATACCTATTGTACCATTCACTTCTCTTGCCTTACCTTAACCCAAGTCAACCCTATCCTTACTCTACCTGTTTTATATCTTTAATATAGAAGGTTGTATGAGTAATATTGTACATTGTAAGGTGTTTTAGGTTTATATGTATAAAAAGTTTTATCATATATAATAGGCTGATCCAAAAGTAACGGGACACTTTTCATTTATTTTTTTTACTAAAGTGTCCCGTTACTTTTGGTTTAACTTATTACCTAAAGAATGTTTGAACTATTACCTAAAGAATGTTCAAATTGTCATCAATGACATGACTCATATAGTTAAACCTTTAAAGCCTTTTCAATTATCATTATTTTAGTTGATAAACAAGATTTCCTAGACACTTTCATCGACCTTTTTTATAAAAAAATTCTTCGGAAATATTTGACATTTCTACGTGAGCTATGTGGATAAAAAGTGAGGTGACGTGACGTAGAATAATTGTATCATTCGCGACAAAGACTGAAAAAAGAAGAGCTTTTGGAGGAAAAAAGAGGTTAATGGATAAACAAGATGACTTTTTGTAGTTTTTTTGGTTAGTTTTGTAATAGTAGGGTGGATTTTTGTAATTTTGTGGATTTGCTTTGAATTTTAGGTTTAAAGGTAATAAAGGTTGTTGATTAACTTTATATTTTATATTATATTGATTTTATGTTATATTATGACTGTATGAGTGAATTCTTGAAAATAAAAAATAAATAATAGAAGAAGCTAGGGTTAAGTTTAATAATGAAGGTATAGAACATTATATAAGGCACCTAAATGCCCTTCCAAAAATGCTTCACTGGGTCTTCCCAAAGCCCCTGTTTACCTTGATAACCATCCTATATTATCTCAAATATACATCTATATAGACCAAATACATTAGTCTGGGTTATAATATACGACAGAGAAGGAGAGAGCATACATTCTCTAGTTACTATGTAATTTATTATATTACACCCCCTGTTTTCTTATAAAGATTAGTTTTGCCGCCAAAAAGACAGCCTTTTCTCTCTTTCTCTAACCATTCGCGAAATCCAGTCAAAAGCCAAGTTATATTCTCATAATAAGCTGTAGGTATCATGTTGAGCATCAAACCATTCAGGGCCTTTTAGAAGACCCGGTGGAAAATTTTTGGCTAGCACTTTCCGTGCTTTATATAAAAAGCAGTTTGGGCTTGCTATGAACTTACAGTAAGCCTACTTATTGTATTTTATAGTTATCATCATAGCTCTAATCTATCCTTATTTTGCGATATAATTTAGATATTACTTTATCGTTAGCTTTTCCAGCCCTATAGTACTTTAAATTTATTTCTAGCCTTACAATTCTATTTACTCTAGCCCTGTTTCAGCTTTGCTTTAGCTCTACTCTAGCCTAACTCTAGTCTTTTTTTACCCTACTCCAGCTTACTGCCAGTCCTTTTACTTTAGTTTACGCCCTGTCCTAACATTTTGAATTCATTCTGAACATACCCAGCTTATCTAAAATGATTTTTTTTGTTTTTTATCTCCTATTCTTCTATATTTTTTAATTTCCAATTATTGTAACATTATAAACATTAGTAAACATCATTTCACCCAACCCATCACCGACACCAACAATACAACAAACAGTTTGTAGCACTATCATAATGTAGTTTTAAAGTAATTTACCGTAGCTTTGTCTCCAACCGGTTTTCTTGTTCATCTTTTCCTGCGTTGATTAATCAACGAATTCCCCACTTTTTTTATTAAACCATCTAATAAAGGACTATTATCAAGCAGGAGAACACCGTCAAAGGTATTCGCACATTATATTATACTCTTTTTTCTCGCGCAATCACTTTTTCGTTAATTTAATTTGGCTGAACGTTTTGAATTCGATTTTAAATACGTTTCCAGGAGAGGTGGAGAAGGAGGGGGGGTGTTAACTGGTTCGCTTGGCTATTATCAGAAGGAATGATTAAAGTTTTGGTATGATAGGATGGGTAAGATTTGATAGGGTAGGATAGGGTAGAATAGGGTAGGGTAGAGTAGGGTAGGGTAGGGTAGGGTAAGGTAGGGTAGGGTAGGGTAGGGTAGGGTAAGGTAGGGTAGGGTAGGGTAGGGTAGGGTAGGGTAGGGTAGGGTAGGGTAGGGTAGGGTAGGGTAGGGTAGGGTAGGGTAGGGTAGGGTAGGGTAGGGTAGGGTAGCGTAGGGTAGCGTAGGGTAGGGTAGGGTAGGGTAGGGTAGAGTAGGGTAATGTATCTTGCTGATGTTAAAAAAAACTTCAAAAAACCTCATTTTTTTGTAGAATGCGACATTTCTGAGCTCATTGTTACTCTAATCACATTAGACGAGAATCGCGTTGATTAGCAAAGCATCTTGCTTGTATACAACATTTTGGGGGATGTTTGACATCTTTTGCATTTTCACTTTATAAGAAATTATTTTTGGGATGTTATGAGAAGATTATCGTGTTATACGCTTGATTTACCATCAATTATGAGGATTTTTAAAGAATTTTTCTTTTAAATCCCCGTTTTTTAAGTACATTTTTGAGCAAATATTGTATTAAATTAGGTATCTGGCTTTTATAAAACTACCTTATTTTACAAATCTTTCAATATTAAAAAACGTTAAAAATGGCATTTTCTTATATTATCCATGGCATATTATGGTTTTTTCATTGATTTTTGACCGTTTTATGCCATTTTACAATCTTTATTGACCCAAACTGTCAGCTGTGATAGAACCGTCGTATTCTACATTAAATATTGTATACAAAACTTCAAAAAATTTGATCAATGTATATCATATTTGGAATTTTTCAGCGATGGCGAAGGTGGAAGTCCAAATACGACACTGTTTTTGTTGTGGCCTACATATTGGATCGTTTTTTGTAGCTATCTACTCGTTGTTAGTGTTTTTGTTACTCGGTAGTTTGGCCTTGTACGGTTTATCAGACTTGACCCAAAACGGTGACAAGTTGTACGATGACTGTGAGAAGGAAGCTTTGGGTGTGATTAGAACTGGTAAGTCAATATTTGAAGTAAAATTTATGATTTATGGACATACAGAAAAAATATTTTCGTATTTTACAATGCTTTTTTTAAATTTCAAAATCTATAATATTTTTTTTTAAAAAACTTCATTTCTTATTAAACTTAACGTTAAATTATTCAAAAACTTTGAATTTTAAGAAAGTCTAATTAAAAAAGAACGTATTTTACATAATTTTAGACAACAGAAAGCTTCACTTCCACGAAGGCCATACGACAGTAATCGTCGAGGACTCTGGCTCTTACCATTGCACCTTTGGGTTGTATACTGAAGAACTCAAGTTTGGACAAGATAGTAAGTCAATTTATTTTGATTCTTTCAAAACTCGTCGGGAATCTTTTGGATATAAAATTTTTGACCATCAAAAACGTTTTGATATTCACCTTGCCAAAACAAAATCGTGATTTCTACCATTTTATCTTAAAGTTCGTGTAGCCAATCGAATTTGTTCGATCAAAAAGGTCTATGATCCGTTATTGCTACCTAAAACAATTTCGGTTCACCGATAATAACATACATATTAAAAATAGACGAAAACCGCCAAACTTAAATTTCTGCTTGCAGTAACAAATCTCCAAAAGCATTTACACTATAGTTTACCAGCAAAAAATGGAGTTCCAAATGTGAAAGAGTATTTGCCACAATATTATTTTCGAAATTTGTCAATTAATACTCTGCTGCAGAATAACATCAGAATTCTGGCCGGGCATAAAAAGCCAAATTTCCAATAAAAACATGCCAAGTCGGCTCTGAAAAAAAAACGAATTTTTACTATACGTAAACTGAAGAACTCAATTTAGACACATTATATTCATAATCAGCACAGTAAATAGACAAAAAATGGGGTTAAATCGAAATATTCCACCAATCCGCAAGAAAAAAAATAATTTTCTCCCAAACTATTATTTTGTTTTTTTTTGGGTCTCCACACGATATTGATCTGCATGGCGGGAATCTTTTCTAATGTTGAGGAAATGCGTATTTAGGGCGAGGCAGGGTAGAAGTAGGTCCTTAAATTAAATGTGCATGGTGGAAAAAAATTTAAAAAATAAAAATCAAATTTAAAACATAAAATATATAATAAAACATCAAATGTCAGTATAAAATACGTAATAAAACTTCAAATTGCAGTCCGCTTCTTCACGTTATGGTTTGACATCGGTCTGTACGCTCTACTAGTCCTAGCTTCGGTCATTCTGTTGATTGGCTTGTGTGCCTACAACCACATCTTGTTGTTTCCATGGATCTTGCTGATGGCTGTTGAAGTCATCCGAGGAATCATTTCTACTGTTCTTATCTTTGTTTATAGTCATGTAGGTTGATGTTTTGTTTCATAGTAATGTAGATTAATGTTTTTAATATTAATTATGAGATTCAGATATATTGATTATCTTTGTTATTTCAGGGCAACTTGGCTCGTATTGCCACAGGCATTTTCTTCTTGGGTGTTCAGTGCTTCCACGTAAGTTTTCAGTGTTCTGCCTATAACTGTCATTTTCTCTTTGACTATAGCTTAGAGTTTTGTAAAATACGATCGATAAAAAGTGACGAAAAGCATATTTTAGATTTCCATCTTATTGGTCATCATAGCCAAGGCACAGAAGATTTACAACAGAAAGCATGGTATTCCAACTGAACCTGTAAGTCAATAGGGAGGGTAGGGCGTTTCTTAAAGCTGGAAAGGGCAATTAATATTAAGGTACGATAGAAATTAAACTCTTTGTCACTAACCTTTAACACTCTTCCTTTACTATAGTAAAACATTCTTTGTTACAGTATGACCACCGTGCCGTATACCCAACCACCACATTGCCATCAAACTACGCCTACTCTCCTCAAGTACCTCGGTCCAACCGTGACCCATACCCATACTCTGACTACTCGCCTTCACAAAAGAACGCCCCCTACTACGATCCTACCTATGCTACACATCAATCTCGGTATTAAGCACTGTACATTCATATTTCTATATTACTTGTTTACATTACAGTACAATAGTAATGTAACTTCTTGTTGCCATAATACAATCAAACTAAAGTTACTTTCGAAAGTTTTGGTATTATAACATTGTAAATAGTACTAAAATTTTGTAAAGTAATGACAGTTTGATTGTGCTTCATATCATTTTACTTTACAGTTTTGTTAAGTTAAAGAAAGTAAACATATTTTATTACTGTTGGACTGACATCGGGCTAAAAATGATTGCTATCTTATAGTAAAGAGTTGCTTTTTCAAAATTGCAAAATTTTATTGATATACAACATAAAATTCACTAACTTAATAATATGTAATACTGTGAATGTCAAAAACAAAACAAAGTTTTTTTAAAAAATGAACATGTATATAATATGTGAAAGATTAAGGTAGACTAGATTACTAATACAAGTAAAATTTTATATTTTAACAAAAAACGACAATAAGTACAAAGATGAGAAGGTAAAAAAATAATATTACGCTTATCAAGAGTAGTTTCAGCAATAAAATGTTACTTTTATTGTGCCAACAACCATTTTTTAATTTTAAAACAAATTTTGCTTTTCAAAGGCGTCGTAAAATTTAAAAAATTTCACTTCTCGCATGGTGGATTAAAATGCATTAGGACTTCTGTATAACGAACCCTTCTAAAAAATCTAATATAACTAAAAACTTTTGAACCACGGCTATTAGACTTATAGAAGTACTGTTTACGCTTTTAGCGAGTTAAATCTTTAGTCGCGGGGCCTACGTTGGCTCCTGGGGTCCTGATTTCGATTTGGCTGTTAGACCCGCATGACCCGGCCAAACCCTTTTAATTTTTTTTTGCAGCCCGGTCCGGGTCTAGTGGTCCCCTCTCAGAAATCAAACAAACTTATTTTTAGAACGAACAAATTTAAAATCCCTTATAAAGAAGTTGCACTGTATTGCTGTCCTAACACCGGAATTTGCGTTTTTAAAAGTTAACGATATAGACTGACAAAACAAAGATTAACAAGGAAGGTACCCGACCTGCAACGCTCAGATTTCGTTCAAATTTTTTCTACTGAAAGATCATGTAAATGTAAGACCTTATGTAAAATTCTAAGTTGCGGTTTCGGCCACTCTTGAGAAAATCGAGATCAAAAAATTGCGTTTTGAATTTCCCGCCAAATTGGCATAGTGTTGCAAGCTTTTAACTTTGTCAATCTTTGATTTTTAACTATTTTTCTTTAATATACTGATAGAAAAGCTTCAAATGAACCTGCAATTTCAAATTTGTAAGCCTATCATATCTGGAACATCAAAAAAAGTGCTTGCAACACAATGCCAAATTTGCCAAATTGGCGGAAAATTTAAATATATTAAATTTCAAACTTAAAACCGCAAGCTAAGATTTTTTATATGTGCTAATGGTGCTACAAAGAATCCGTATAAAAATTTTGAGCTGAGCTAATTCTGAGAGTTGCAGGTCGGGTACTTTCCTTGTAAGATTAACTCAGAAATTTAGATTATTTTGTAAAAAGCACCAAAAAAGTAGTTTAGATAAAGATATGAGTTTCAAAAATATTGATGAAAAATGAAAAAACTAAAAAGCTAAAAAAGATAAATTAACTTACAGAGGAAAGACGTTACACAAGAAGAATATAAGATAGCAAGAGTAATATCGAAGGAAATATTAGCCCATTTGATGATTTCTTGACCAACATCCAATCTTCTTCCTCTTCTGGATACACATAGTCATCGTCATTGTTTTGTTCGTAGGAATCTGAAAATAGACAGTAGAATGGCATCATCTAAAGGGTAGGGTAGGGTAGGGTAGGGTAGGGTAGGGTAGGGTAGGGTAGGGTAGGGTAGGGTAGGGTAGGGTAGGGTACGGTACGGTAGGGTAGGATGGGGAGAGTACGGTAGTGTAGGATACAAAACGTTCAAAACCTACTCAATTTGTTAAAAGTAGCGTCCTTATCGTGTTCGTTGTATACCCTCGAGTTTGGGTGTTCAGCCACAGCTCGTGACGCTTTTCCACCAACTTGAGCTTCATGGTACAACTCATCGGAATGAGGATGTTGACCTTGGCCATGAATATGCTTTCGTGCTTCTTCTTCGTCTTGTATCAGGTCTTCTGGATCTGAATTTTCAACTTTATTATTCTCAAGAAACAAAATACAATCGTATTTTACAATACCTTTAGTTATTTTATCATGTTTTGCCCTATCCTATCCTACCCTACCCTACCCTATTAAACAAAACTCATTTTTAATCTCCTGACAAAGAAATTATATTTCATTTCAAAAGAATTGGTCCATTAAACTTTGTTTTTGACATTAATCAAGCCAAAATGACCAGTTTCTGTTTTTTGGACAACTGACTCAAGAAATGGAGGGGGGGGGGCATTGTTTGTGAAAGACGGAAAACATATAAAACTGACAAAATATTTGCGATTTGTCATAATTTTAAAAGGTTTTTAAAATTTAAAAATTTTGTTTCTTAGCTTGAAACTTGAAAAAAGTGTACCAGCTGTACCATTAAACCCAATATCTTAACCTAAAATTACAAAACGTGTACCACTTGTACCACTAACCCAAAACTCTTACCATGCTCTTCATTCTCCCCATAATACTCTTCTTTACTATCCACTTTATGATCCTTCTCTTCTTCCCTATATTCTTTATCATATTCTTCATGTTCTTCCTTTTCTATCCTCGGCATTGGCGTAGTACTAGTACTACTAGTATCAGTGTACTTGAACTGACACAGATCTCCGTAGTACATGTCAATGAAGCACATACACTTGTGGATGTGCGGGTTCTCACGTTCGTAGGCACAGACTCCACCGTTCTGGCACGTTACAGCACATTCGGCTTGATTTTTGAGGAAAACCAATGAGGATACTGTAGATGAGGTAAGGAAGAGGATGAGGATGGAAGCTTGAAGCTTTTTTCGCACCGTTGATATAGAGGACATGGCTGGAAGGAAGTATGTTGTAGAGGTTTTATGAGGAATAACGTCAAGGTGGGCTATATTAATATAAAAACTAAAGTAAGATACGACTTCTTATAGTAAATTCAATAGATGCCACGATAAACAAGAGAAAAACAAAGCGCAAAATCTTTTAAAAATAAAAAATTTTAAACCGCAAAAACTTTCTTTACATAGGAAAATTTGCCTAACCCCAGCCCTGTGTTTCACCCTGGGTCTTCTCCTGGGCCTTGATCTGGCCTTATCCCTACTCCTACATCCTACTCTACCCTGCAATCCCTACCCTAACTTACCTAACCCCTACCGTCCTTCCCCTTTCAAACATTAGCCCCTTCATGCCAACAAATGTCACAAAATTAGCCTTAAACTCAATAAAAAAGAGACAGAACACAGGTCACCTCATTGACTGCTAACGAGCTTGTTTTGACAAAATGACCAAACACTCATTTTGAATCCAGTTTTTTCTAATTGACAACAAGTGGCCCAGGCATTTAAAAGTCTTATCAAAAATTCGACTTAGACCTATATTGTTTTTGAAAATTTTATTAATGCACCATTAGACCTGTAAAGAGGCTGAATCGCTGCAGGACTCTGAAGCCTAGACGTATAACTTGGACCTCAGTCCCACATTTGTGAGCCCGGCCGGCCATTTTACAATTTGCTTCAGCCCAGCCCGACCCGCTGACTCGCTACGCCTGGCCAAGCCGAGGGTGGGCTCCCTTTAAAGTCTTCTAAGGGGTTCCGGTTTATAAAAAGTTCAACGTTTGAAAAAAATTATTAGTTTTTAATAAATTAAAACATTTAAAGAGCCAAAGAACAGTACTATGCTAGAAAGTTTAAAAAGAGTATTATATACTTCACGATAAAGAAATTCTTAGTAACCTCGGCATTTTTAAAAAGCCAGATTAATATCTAGATCCCAAAAGAATTGGCCGAGTTCATAATTTTCATATCCGATAAGATGCCAGGAAAGCTTAAATATTTCGCTATCTATCCATGCCTTTTGATTATCATACTTCGCAAAAGTAAAACAGTATTCAAAATTAGTTAAAAATGTCTCAAAAACCTTCAGGAACTAAATTTAACATAATTTCACAAAAAATACAGGTAACCTAATCCTTGTCAGAGAACTCGAGGGTATAGCTTACTGGTCAAATGTCTCGTTTACTCCCGTTCGACTCTCCATTTCCTATACTCGAGATTAAAAAAACCTTTTTGACTCTTTACTAGCCTAGACCTAGCCCTAGCTTCAGGCCTAGCCCGATACCCTGGGCCTTGAGCTGATCCTAGCTTTGCCCTTACTGTAAACCCTACCCTAACTTACCTAACCCTACCCTATCCTTCAAAAACAGTCACACTTTTAAAAACCACCCAACACCCACATATTACAGTAGCCTGTTATCAATTGTCCCTAACCCAAAAACCTTTTGGCAAATAAATTGATACCTTTTTAATATCAATCATGGCCGTGACACATCCTACAATCTCAAAGACAATAAGATAAATGATGATGCACTTGAATCCCCTCTAGCCACAGGTGTTTTTTCCATAAAACATAATTCTTGGCACTTTTAAAAATGTCTCAGAATTAGCCAGCACAATAAGACTGGACATAGAATTGCGTTTTAAAATAAAGAATAAAATTTGTTGAAGCAAATATTATTTTATAGGATAGATATCATAAAAGTGATTGAAGAATTTGAAAATTGGGAGGTAATGACAAGTGTTTTGAATAAGAAAATAAAACGGCAATATATTATAAGAGAAAAGTAAAAATAGTAACGTGGCAAATCGGCTATTTTCTTAAAGCAAAGGTAATCCTGATTAAGAGTGAAGAAAAGGGTAGAATACGACTTGAAGAAGGCTAAAGCGGAGCTTTAGTGATCTTACCATTAGGAGGGGTTGCTTGGTAGAGCTGTGAATAGCTATAGAAGAAGCTACGATATAGACTGAAGATGTTTAGCCAAACACAAATTTGAATAATCAGCAAATTCAAAAATTTATTTTAAATTTGTAATTTACTTTCATTTTTAAAGTTAACTCTGTTTCAGTGCGGTATACGAATATAGTCAAACTTCCCGAACAATTGACAATATGGACAAAATTCTTAGAAAACGCAATCTTGTTGACATTGACAAGCTATACAACAATGGTCAGGTTGTACACTACATACAACGGCATAAATAACGAATATGGTCAAAATTCCCACAGATCCCACTTTTGGTGACATTGACCCGCTACACAATAGTGGCAAAATTGCAAACTACCGACAACAGCATGGACTAATAGCTAGAAACGTTAAGACTGGAAACCGATGTAGTTCAAACGATGATAAAGATTGTTCGACAAAATCTATACTGCTTTTCTAAAAGTAGACTTTCATCACCTATGCTTCTAAAAATTGTGTTTTACTGAGAAAAGAAAATGTCGTTTTCAGTTTTTGCCACAAATTTGAATCTGTGTAAGTATAATTAATATATACTACCCCATAGATAAATAGCGGGTGCGTACGTTACGTTGGGTGCTTTTTGAAGAAAGTCCACCCCTTCCATAGGATTAGTTCTACTGCTCGCGAATAAATTTCGCCCCACCCTAATCTCCTTACCCAAAAATTAACCACCCCCAACTTGAAAAAAATAATATAGCGGAAAGAATTCATTTATAGGACAAAAATTTGTTACTAGGCCACATTAAAGAATTCATGTTCGAATTTATGACGGCCAGGAATGTTATAAAACCCGCCAAAAGGAATAAACTGGTTATCCCATTTACTCGAATGGTTTCAGGAACAAACAGAAAAAAACGGTGACTTTTCACGCCCAAAAAACGTGACAAATTTATATTTGGCATGAAATTTGAAGTTTTTGAGAAGGCTTAATATAAAATACGACAATGTGTCCTAATATTTTACAAAAACGTTTACAAAACATATGTATTTTTCAAGTTAAAATAAATTTAAAAATACCCTACCCTTACCCTTGCCCTTTCATTACTTTTTTCTTACTTATACACCTACTCTGCTCTTGAACAAGCCCTGCCCTATATTACTCTATCACATTTTACCGTTCCCGCCCCATCCCTGAATTACCCTCTCCCTTCTATTACCCTACCCTGCTCTACCTCAACATTTTGCCAAATGCAATCATGTCCTAAGATTACAAAACCACCCTAAACTTTATTTATGCACTAACCTATATCTAACTACCTCCAAACGTGCCTACCGTTTTTATAACCTACAAAATAGTAAGAACTACCTATAATAACATTAAAAAAGTATCTTTATCCTCGTAAAAAACAAAATATTGCTTTGTCTAATGCAATACAGTGCCAAGTAAAGTATAATATAAGCTTTGCCAACAAAAGTACAATACAACAAACCTATCACACCATCAAAAACAATAACCATCACCTACTACAATATTACAATCAAAACAATCGCCCAAAATCAAAATATGCGGAAAAGCGGAACGAGTTTAATGTTAAGGTAAAGGCAAAACCTTATCCTCGTGTTTCTCGATCTTCTTCTCGGGAGTGGGAGAGGGCCCGAGACCGGTCATTATTACAACCAAATCCAAAAAAAAGTTTCCGCGGGAACAGGCTTGTTTTCCACTCCCCCCGCCCTCTTTCTTGGCCAACACAAGGCCGAGAGGCCATAAAAATCAGTTGCAAATCACTCCTTCAGGGTTCAATTCGCAATTTTCAATTTTTGGGCAGATTTTGAAATTTTTTTTTATTTTTTATAAATTTGAAAAAATAAAAAGATTTACTTTTAAATTTGAAAAACTATTTTAATAAAATTTAAAAAAAAAATTAAGTTCTACAATATAACAAGATTTCGAATTTTTTTTTATTTTTTCGTTATAACATAATTAATTTTAAAAAATAGCAGAAAAAAAAATAAACAAACTTTAAAAAACGAAAAAAAAATAAAATTTAGACACAGCATCGTGCTATACATCACAAACTTTTAAAAAATAATAAAAGTTGGATATGACATTTACAATCATAAAAAACACAGTTAATACTAGCTTTCACAGTTGGAAAGAGCAAACATCACTTTGCCTCTGACCGGATTCGAACCAACGGAATTTTGCGCGTAAGACTAAGGCGAAAGCCACTATACTACGAGCAAAAGGTATCGAGAATTGGACGTTTTTTTATGCTTTTTCTACTGAAATTTGAGATAAATAGATTCTGCAGCTCAAATTAGGTTATAGAAACATTTTCCTGCTATCAACATTATCAATATATGGTTAGCTTTCCTAACCTTACCTCTATTATAATATAAAAACGAAAAGAAATCATAAACAAGAAACAATGTGTAACATAATATAAGATCAAAAACACATATGAATCTATAAGAAAGTATAATACTATTATATTATCAAGACGTCTCAAGAAAACACGTGAGTTGGTTTTTAAAATGAGATCAAACCCGCGAAAAAACGATTTTATAGTGAGATTAATTAGATCCAGATGCCGAAGTGCAAACATTTGCATTTGTCCAGAGATTTTTTGACCCAAATTAATATTATATTGTAATTGCGATGCAATATGAAAATTTTTTATTCAGAATTTTTTTTTCTGAGTCTTTAGAAGCCCTGGCTTTAAAAATTTGTTCTCGCGCACCCGCCTTACTGCTAAAATTAAAATTACCCGCTCAGCAAAACCTAAGCACAAATTTAAAATTACTCGCTTAGTACGTTTTAAACATGTTATACAAAATTTTGCAAATGAATTAAAATTTTAAAAACGAAATGATCATTTCAATATTAAGAAAACAAAATAAGGCATGACACTTATTTGCGCTCAAAAGAACACGCTTTTCAAGTATAATTACAAGTGCGCAAGTGGCATTCGAATTGACTGTTCGTGAACGTCAAAATGCTTTTAAAATCAATTTATATTTGATAGGTTTAAGTCTTAATGTACATTTTCAAGCGTCTACAATTACAATTTCGAGAGGTATAAATTATATGATAATCTTGATACCGTAGATTGAAACTTACTATGCTGATGTGCAAGCATTTTCAAAGTTCCGAAAAAGATCCATCATTGTTTTGACGTTTCCCATAGTTGGGGATATCTCCAAATATTCCACTGTTTCTCGCGTCACTGAGACGTGGGTGAGGTACTACACAAGACTTTTGGCGTTCATTCATATATTCGTGTATATGTACCTAGATTGATCGGTAAGTATAACATAGTTAAAACATGCTTGTATCCAAAATAATACATTTTGCAACGTTATCTATTACAAAATGAGTATTTTTATTACATTACAATCACAATAGCAACCTCCATTCAATACAATATAAGACCCGTCATTTCAGTACAATATGTCAGGGGTATCGCTAAAAAAAGTCATTTTTCTTTTGATTTTTGGCTCTAAAATCAAAACTTTTTGACTCTATTTCAAAGACTATTTGCAAAAATGCCATTTCCAACATTACCCCTAACAAATTGTGTATCAAAATAAAATGGCACAATGTACAAACAGTAAAAAGATAAAAAGTTGACAAGTTCAAGTAGGTATACAAACTGTAAAGATAAAAAGTTCAAGTAGGTATACATCAGTTATGTTTATTATCGACCAATTCTGGAGAACTCTCGACTGTTTTGCCTCCATGGTGAGCGTTTTGGGCTTGGTGAAGCGTTGATAATCTCTCGTCGCCAGCCATAAGTTGATGGTGCTGTGTCTGAATCCTCTGTAAAGTCGGCCGAGTAGTCTGCACTGTCTTTTGGAGGTGATGAGATTTCATCGTCACTATCGTCAGTCGAATTATCATCGCTGAATTCGTCGTTGCCAAAGGTTCGGTTGTGTTCTTGGAATGAGGCCATGGAGACGTCGCTGCCTGATACTATGAAGCTGCCAACTCTGAAATTAAAAAATGATTAGCCAAGACAAATGAAAGTTTAACTATCACATAAAGCACGCAATGTGCCCTACTCAAAAAAATTTTAATAAAAAAATTTAAAACCTACGCATCTCTAGCCCTGATCTTCCTCAACGGAGTGGTTTTACTGTTCAACTGACGACAATTCTCGGCCAAATAAACCCTCAACTTTTCTAGTTCTGCTTTCGTTGTTTCTTCCATTTGTTGTTGATATTCCTCTTCAGTATACATTTTATGAACTGGCTTTGGCTTGAAGACAACACTGCCAAGCTTCTTTCCTGCTCCAAAAACCAGCTTGTGAGCTCCTGTAAATTGAGCTTTAGTACTGTTTAGTACTAAAATTGAATGGTAAATATAATAAAATACACAAAACTTTTAAAAATTTAATTTTTAAATCAGAAAAAGCCTTTTAAACCTCTACAAATAAGCAAAAACACCCATAAATCAATGTTTTTAACTAAAATGATAAACTTTTTGAAATTGAAAAGACGAATTTTGGCAAAACCTTTGATGTCCAAAAAGCAAAAAACCTCTTATATTTCAATAATTAACTGAAAATATCGAAAAACCTTAATTTATCCCACAAAAACACATTTTTTCCTCAAAAAATCCACCTCTTCCACCCTTACTTTAAGCTTTAACCGTACCATTAACAGTCGTAACCAACACCAATATTGTGCCAATCGAAAACACTGCCGATCTTGACGCCAAAAACAATATTCCAACCGCAATTGCCTGCAACATCCACTGAAACACGTTCCTCAGTCTAACATTCTGGCTAACTCCACTAACATAACATATCGTAACCGACGACACCGCCGCTACTACAATATATGCGGCCAAAAACTTGTAGTGATGCAAAGCTAGCTCGTAGATGTTCGAGTAGCCATAGTAGTAGGCGTAGGAAATGGCAGGCCATATGAACCATTCCATTGGGATGAATAATATTGATCTTGGGAGGAACCGTCGTAGGAAGAGTGCTAGCACGATAATTGATGCAAATACTCCAATAAATGCTGATGAGGTGTATACTGACACAGTACGATGACAAATTTCCTTGGCCAGCAAGAATAAGGCACAGGCTGCGATATACATTCCAAATCGGGCTGGGTTTACCACTAAAACATCAAAATTAATGTTGATAACACCGTTTTTACATCAAAACACAAACAAGTCTTGTTTTTTATACGTCAAAACATTTTAAAAAAATGGAAAAATATCATTTAAACTTTAAAAACAATCTTTTACACCAAAATCCACCTAAAACAATATCACCACCACAACGTACCATCATATTCCACATTGATAGTATAATCCCTTGCTGTAGACACTCCAACGATGCCATTCATAGCCGGAATCACATTTGATTTACGGTTAGTGAACAACCATTCAATGATATTCGACAGACTATATTGAGATTCATCCTTATTGTAATCTTCACACGATGACCACAGATTCAGATGCAAATCTGATGGCACTTGATCCAATTTAAAGTGAGCATCAGCAAATGGAAACATGTAGTCCGGCTGGCTAAGTTGAAACTTGAACAACTTCGTCTGATATCGACCAGTTGAAGCAACAAACATTGATTCTCCCACAGTCACTGAAACATAATTGATCACACAAACGCTATATTAAAATAAAAACTGATTTAAGTTCTCTTATATCGTCGTCAAATGTCTCTTATAACTATTTTTAATCTTTTCACCAAGTTCCAAAGCTTTTAAGGATCAAAAAGTTGAATTATACATACATAACCATCTGATGGCCAATTATAATAATACTTTCTTCGCCAGAACAAAACTACTACCTAAAAAACCAAAAACAATAAAATTAAAAAAAACTTACAATGCTTTGCGCACATGTCAGTACCATCAGGTTGCGTTAGCGAGAACGCCGAAGGCAGGAAGCATGTTATCCATATTAGTGTTACTACACCTAAAACAATATCGTTAATTTTAATTTAAAACCTTTGAAATTCTAAAAACTACCTTAAATTAAACAAAATCATAATGTTACTGAGCTCTAAGATAACTTACATAGAGTTACAATAAACTCCCTAATCAGTTGTCTTAAGTATTGCCGGTCAACTTGCAGTATCTTCATCACAGCTTGTAAAACCCTTTTTACCTACTGTTTTAACAACCAAGTTGACCGGAAAACAATAAAACATTGAACAGACTACGAATTTTCTTCATGATTGAACTAATCACCATACTTTTTATAAATTAATTTGACAGTAACCATTCGAAAAACACAAAAATTAGATAAAGAATGCTTTGAAAGACAAAAACACTTACTTCTTAACATTTTTTAAAGTGATATAATAAGTCTTAGAGATTATAGAATTTTAGTTGAGATTGCGTTGAAAAGGGGAAGAAGATGAACAGAAGCCAAGCGAAAAATTATTTTTCAAATAATTATTTCGAAAAATTGGCATTTCGTTTTACGACGGAGTGTCACGATTGATCGGAGATGTTATTTTTTAGGAATTTTTGGTTTTTTGCATAAATCACATCATGTAACACAGGAAGAACGATTGGTACATTTGGAAAATTATAGTAGGTTTTCTTTTTTATCTTTTCTTTTGATCAACAGTTAATTTTCTCAGCTGATAAGGCGATAAACTTTGAAAATTGGAAAAATATGGCTGATCTTCATCAAATTTCGTGGATATTTGATGGGTCCCAAATGCCACTTGATTTTAAAGTTAAAAACAAATTTTAAAAGCCCAATGTGCCAAATTATTGTTGTGGCAGTTTTGCCAGACTTTTGATTTGTTTTTTGTTTTGTTTTGGTTGTTTGTTTTAGTGAAACGAGCAAATATTATGTGATTTGAGTGGAACGAACGCGATTTTGCAGCTTTCTTTTTGGAAAAACTAATGTTGTATTGTAATGTCTTGTGAAATATTATAAGAATTTGTTCTTAAAACAATGTCTGTTTTGTATTCGAGCTGTTGAATATGTATTTGGTCGGAATATATTGTTTTAGGTGGTAGTAAATTGGTGACTTCGGGGACGCATCATGGATAATATGGGTAGTGTGAATGGAATCGAATGTAACTTGGTTGAACGGATGAGTAGATTGTTTAAATTTGCAGGATATGTAGAATGTCTATTTTTTCAATTAATTTAGGGAAAGAAATTTTAAAAATCTTCTTTGTTAGGAAATTACAGTAATTTACCGTATCCCATGATTATGAAACTTTTAAAGGAAGTTGAGGATTATTAATGGAAACAATATGAATTTTATGATGTTCTTGGCCTTTTTATATATTTTTAACCCTTTTTGAAACTATGAACAATATGTAATGACAATAGTAATGAGATGACATAAAATATCATATTATTGCCATGTGGTTTATTATGTCGCCTAGTAAGTCTCATGAGGTACTCTGTCACTTACTGAGTTTGTTAGGATAAGTAGAACATCAAATAGAGAATTCCCTTATTTTAAATGTCAAATAATAAGTTCGCTTACCTAAAATGTCAAATAATAAGTTCGCTTATCCAAAATGTCACCTAGCAAGTTGAGCGCAACCTGTTGAAACTTTTTGTTACCACTGAAAGTAAACCGGTCGACTGTACTCTTCATAACAAGTTTTTTTTGATACGAAACGCATGGCTTAGTTAGACATTATAGTAGGCGAAGGAGATAGAGAGGGACCAGTTTGATGTTCCCCTCCGTTCTTTTCCACCTCTTTTTTCCCTCTTTTTTCGACTAAAAAAGATCCTCGTTAGACGTTTCTTTTACTTCCACAGCGTTTTATTCTGTTTTCCTAGTGTTATGTGGAGCTTTGGGGTTGGATTAGAGTGCAATTTATGTTGGGATTGATAAGGTCTTCAAGTTGAAATGTAATTTTGTGGTTTTTATTTGAAAGTTTTATCGAAATTTGTCATTTTTGGAGGTTTAGAGGAGTATCATTTTGAAAAAGTTGTTTTTTTTTCGACTGTTTTTGTATAAGTTTAGGGTTCGAGCTGTATTGATGTTAACAGTATATTATAATGTTGACGTCGTAAAAGCGCACAATTACGGTTTCTATTGTTAGAAAGTTATTGTAAAATACGTATCTTTTTCTGGAATGCTTTTTAGTAACGTCTTTATTACACTTTCATATACGTATAATACTATATACATATATCGCTCATAACCTATTGAGTTATGAGCAACGTGTATCACAATATCTATTCAATCGCCTTTAACAATATTCACGGACTCTAAGCTTTACCTATACTCAACTAGCAACCTACAATCAAAAGATATGTTACTATGTTTTAGATGGAACTATCTCCAGTTCGCTTCAACGAAGACGTACTGGATTATATTGATGAAGGCACGAATGAAGATGGTGAATATATGATAGATAATGTGTGGACGCCACGAAACCGGCTAGCTCAGAGTTTTTCCGCCACTGACAGTGGAACCTCTTGTTTGGATTACGAAAGCGACAGTGAGCTGGATGATTATGACGAGTTCAGTAATGTAAGTTTGTTTCGGATCCTGTTTTTCAGATTTGTAGTGATTGGAGGGAATAAGATGTAAAAAAGGCTAATAGAATGTTATAAAAGGCTTTTATGTTTAGTTTTGTTCACAACTAATATATAAAAACGCTTAACAATAACGTCACAGTAACTGAAAACGTACTATAAGGACATTCCACCAATAATCACAACATTACAAGGCATTTTGAAGCAGTTTAAACTTCAAACATTATGTTTCTTCGAGTAAATCAAGGAACTTGTACTTGAGCACGCAAAGTTTACATTAGGAATTCATTGGCAAACTTTTGAAAACATTACAAGATAACTTAATCTTGTCTATAACTAAGTACAGAGGCTTTAATTTACTGTGCAAATTAAGTACATACACTTTTTTTGGTGTGAAACTTAAGTACATAAGCTTGTGTAAAACTTAATTACATTACAGTGAATTAGGCGATATAGTGTCTAAAGGGATTTACCACACAAATCTTGTTTACAATTCCTTTTAAACTCTAGATTAATTGAAAGTTTTGTCATTTTGGCTTAGTTTTGATTAATTTAGAGTAATTAGGCCTTGCAAGATCATTAGTGCGTAGTCTTATATATATCATAGTTGTTATCAAATTTTTATTATAGTCAAAGAGCAATCAAAGCTCCACAACATTCGATCATGTATTATGTTGGTAAAATCATTCTGTACTTCCTCTCAAAGGAAATTTTTGGAGTTAGGGCGTACAGAAATATTTGAGCAATCTAATACATGATACAAAAACAAAGTAGTACAACTTTCTAAAAATGCATTTTGTTATAAAAATGTCATTTTATAGAACAATGCCAATCCAAACGTCTCATACGATGCTAATGCTAACCCAACACCGGATTTCGAGCTTAAATTGGCCCCATTAGCTGACGAAGAAACTCTGGACAACGAAATAATAGATGCTGTAACTTCAAAAAGGAAACGATCTCAAGAAAGCTTTAGCGACTATGATGAGAAAAAGCGATTTAAATGGCAGCTTGATGAAGATGATGCTATGGAGTGCTGACAAAGTGTATATTGTTTTACCGCTGGCTTGCTGTACTGTTTATTGTACTCATATTAGGTTGTTCAAATAATTCTGTGCTCTCTAACATTGAACTTTTGTTTTGAAAGTGATTACAGGGTTATTTGGACAACCTAAAACTTGCATTGTACTGAAGAAATGTCTTATATAAACCAAAACTGTCAAGATCTACTAAATACTGGTCATCTAAATGTCATATCTAACAACCTTTAACATTTTTCATTTTGAAACTGCTTTCTGCCCCCTATATGTCTCTGCAGGTTGCGAAAGCTATGTTATACGATAAAAGGTGTTCTTAACTTTCTGATGTTTGTCTTTGGATTGTTTGAAACAAAATAGTGGATTAAAATACTGAAGTATTGATGAATGACGGTGCTTCCGCTTTAAGCTTCTCACGGGTTAATAAAAATGATCGTCTTGTAGTCTACTGTAATATTGCGGTTTTTTGAAATTTTAATAAAATGGTTATCAAAATTTTGTTTTTATGTAGATATGGTGAAAGATGGAGGTAAATGTAAAAAAAATATTATAAAAAGATAAAATACGTTTATTGCAAAATAATAGCCATGTATCACCGTTAAAATTGAAAGTGTTATGCAAAATAAGTTGATAATATTGTAGTAGCCGATACTATGAAGATATAGCCGGTATGTCACCAGTGACTTTTGATGAAAATCTCGTCTTGTGTGTAGTGTTGTGACTTCGCTCCGTTTGACTGTGGTTCTGGCTGTCGCTGACTTTGGAGATGGTGATACGAAGCTTGACCTTCTTCAACAAGATTCGTTGTATGCTGCGGTTCATGCACAAGTATACGATAGATGGTGAGCCTTGGACTAAGAGCCACAAAATGTGACTGACTTGGCCAATCCATAATGGCAAATTCAAAAATTGAATGAATGTGTAGCCAGTGGCGGCCATTGTAATACATGTGCTGATTACTAGGCATTGAAGGAATAACTGAAAACATTTTATTTTATAAACATTAATTAGTAATAACATGTAATTTTGTAATGCAATTACTGTAAACATGTCATTTCTTGATATTATACAGTAGTTAATGTTGGGTTTTAATGCGGCATTTGGAATAATTTACCATAATAATGTAAATTTTGGTTTAGAGTTTGTTTTGTAAAATACGTTTCGTAAATTTGTCTTTTATAAAATAAGCCTTGGTTTTAAAACTTACACTGTACTCTTTTTTCGAAGCCGAAGAATGACTTTTGTTTCTGAGAAGAGCTCGATTTTTAAGGTAAAACACAATGTAGATGGTGGGGAGTAGAATACTGAAGGATAGGTTGTCTGCTGTGTGAATGGGCATTGAGTACTGAAAAAGTTAGGACTTACAATTGTTAGTACAGTAGCTTAGAGTAATATAGATGACTAACATTGTAAAATACGTTGTTAATCATTTATCTTATTTCATTTAAACTGTTATAGCCTAGGGTACTGTATAGTGTACAGAGGTAAAGGTATAATCTAGAGTAAGAAATAAAAGTGGGGCTTTATGTTAGACCTATGTAGCTTACAATATGATCCACATCAACCACACTTTCAATAAACGGATTGAAAGTGTAGCTAGCCAATATTGGTGAATATGCGACTGGCGTACCAAAAACTGATGATAGTATACCTATTGTCAATGGTAACGTCAACCAGTAGTACACTTTTTTGCCTTCGAACCAGTGCGCTCGGTCGGTTAAACTGGCAATTCGATTTATGGCCAAAATTACTGCTGCCCAGGAATAAGCCATCCAGAAACCTGAAAATGAAAGATATTTAATTTTATGTAAAATACGGCTTATGAATTTTTTGCATACTATATGACATGGTATGATAGGTTACGGTTGGGTGGGCTTGACCTGTCAAGGAGCCAGGCCCAATTTTTCGCACGACAAATCTTTCATTGCTGGACCTAAGGCAAGGCACAGTAGGATAGGGTATGGCATGGTAAAGTAGGTTAGTAACTTAACAAGCAGCACAGTGCCGAGCAGATTATTCAGAAGTCTGGCATCGCAGTACATGACGCCATAAAAGCTGAAATACCCTGAGAAGAAGCCGGTAATAGGTATGGTAATCAAATCACAGCATGCCATCTGTACCATAATTTTGTAGCAGGGATTATTGTACAACTCTTTTCGGGTCATAGCGTATAGACATGGCACGTATAGGGTCTGAAATGACATAAATAATTAAGTTCAAAGATTTTAATGTAAAATACGATTTAACTTCTTCAGTACTTACCATATAAACACAACTGACAATGAACAAAAAAGCCCCAAAGTATGGATGTCGTTTCACCTCGTCTGGTACTGCACTAGTGTTATAGGTACTACAGTTCCAGTGCAATTCGAAATATTCATGTCGCCTTATCATCAGATCCATGATTTTACTTTTGGAAGTGACTCTATAACAACATAATATTATAGCATGAACATTGCCATTAAATTTGTACACTTGCGTCTAATTAGAGAATGGCACGGATTTTAAAAATAAATAACATGTTTAAAATAGAGATACGCCTATATAATGGCTGATGGTGTATTTACTACCCACGTATTAGGTTGTAAATAAACAAAAATGGGTCATTATTTTAAAATTTTGGTAAAATTTTTGGCTTTAAAAGTAGAATTTAAAAAGGCTACTGTACTTTAATTTTTATCGTACGGTACTTTTTACTATACTCGGCCTCATCTTACTCTAATCTCTTGCGCGCTCTAGTTCTAATATGCTTTGGTCTGTACCGTACCTTAGGCTCTACCGTATCCTAGGCTCTGCCGTACCCTAGGCTCTACCTTACCCTAGGCTCTATCGTACTTTAGGCTTGACCGTACCCTATGCTCTACCGTATCCTAGGCTCTGAGGTACCCTAGGCTCTACCGTACCCTAGACTCTACCGTACCCTAGACTCTACCGTACCCTAGGCTCTACCGTACCCTAGGCTCTACCGTACTCTAGGCTCTACCGTACCCTAGGCTCTACCGTACCCTAGGCTCTACCGTACCCTAGGCTCTACCGTACCCTAGGCTCTACCGTACCCTAGGCTCTACCGTACCCTAGGCTCTACCGTACCCTAGGCTCTACCGTACCCTAGGCTCTACCGTACCCTAGGCTCTACCGTACCCTAGGCTCTACCGTACCCTAGGCTCTACCGTACCCTAGGCTCTACCGTACCCTAGGCTCTACCGTACCCTAGGCTCTACCGTACCCTAGGCTCTACCGTACCCTAGGCTCTACCGTACCCTAGGCTCTACCATACTCTAGGCTCTGCCGTATCCTAAGCTCTACCGTACTCTAGGCCGCGCCATAGTTTAGGTTCTACTGTACTGTATGCTTTGCTGTACTCTAGTCTCTAACGTATCCTAAATCCTAATTTGCTTGTATCGCACGTTTCAAAGTCTGAAAAATCTGGTGGGACAAGTCAAAGTAATAATTATCGTTATTGTAATGGGTTCAAGGATTACTTTAACCTGTCTGCAATAAAGCTTGGCAAAAGTTAGTTTTCTTTTGAAAAAATATAAAATCAAAAGCCTTTACAGTATTATATTATAAGTATAAAGCGTTTTTAAACATAGCCCTGAACGATCTACCAATTGTAATAAAATACGATCCTCTAACAGTAACTTAACCAATAGTTAACTATAAAGCTCCCACTTTACTCTGCCATTGCTCAAGCATATCAAGTACCTAGAAAATCTCCATCCTTACATATATATTACCTATGTAACAACAAGGTGCTTATACTAACGACTAAGTGCTTGTACTTAAAATCCGACGTAATATATCCACTTGACAGTACAGTACGGACCCCTATTCTTACTGGATAAGCTCCGGTAATTGCAGTCTTTGACTTCATACAAAGTCATTGACAACGTAAAGCGGAAAAATACTCCCACTATTACTACGGAGTAAGGATGAGGTTTTTGACGTCGTACGGCAATTTATAGATTATATAATGGCGTTTTGTCTTGGTATGTTGTAAAATTTGAAAAAAAAATATTATTGTGCAAACGAAAGGTTACAATAGGCTTGAAGATAGAAGGTAATGAAAATAAGAAAACGAAGAGCTATGGCATCTTACTGTAGTCTACACAAAAAAATAAACTAACAAAAATATTTAAATACTTAAAAAATAATATCAAAAAAACTATGAAACTTAAAAAAGTAGGCACCAGAACACAACATGTTACCAAAGAAAGTGTAAAAAACTTGAGTTTACTAAGGTTTACTGTAATAAAGTCTTGTTTTTTGACCAAACTTAAAATTTATTACTACAAATGGCAATATATGTTTGCCATGTTCCTTGTGCTGTAATATTGGAGATTAGTAATAGTTATAATATGTGTAACTTTTTTGTAAAAAATATGCTTTTATGACAGTACCCTAGGCTCTACCGTGTCCTATACTCTACCGAGCTCTAGGTTTTGCGGTATCATAGGCTCTACCGTACTCTAGACTCTACTTTACTCTAGGCTATATTGTACCTTAGGCTCTATTGTACTGTAGGTTCTACTGTACTTTAAGTTCTACCGTACCATCGTTTTTACCATACCCTATGCTCTATCTTACTTAAGGTCATTAAGTATTTGATCTCTGCTATACTCTAGGCTCTACCATATTCTAGGCGCCTTACTATGCCATAGGTCTTATCGTACCATAGGCTCTATCGTGTTTTGGGCTCTAAAGGTTATTATAAACTTTTCATAATTTTGAAGTTTTCCAATTTTTTGACGCAACTACAGTAATACACCCTACAAAACCAAGACTACATTCTCAGAACCCAAAAGTGCATAAAAAGTAAAATCTGTAAACAAAACTGTAGTCCGAGCAGTAAAACACAACATAACAAACTGGTCGCTTATATAGCGAATTTTTTGTTTGGTCGCGTGTTCCAAAGGCCGATGGACCACACGCTGGAAAATTAAATTTTTTACAACGTCGCCGCATTTTCGACATCTGACATTATCATCATAACATGCGGCAAGTGTAAACTTACAAAAATTTGATACTGGGAAGAGGGGTGTCGTGTACCATGTTACGGAATGTTATTGTGTTTTGCGTATTGGGCGGATTGTAACAGTGTTCTATTGAAAAACGACACTGCTATTGTAATGAGATTACTTGAAAAGGATATTTGAGGTTGTATGGATTTTGAAGGAATTACTTTTAAAAATAGCACTGTTGAGAACAAGTGAAGATTTGTAATAAATATACTTAAAAAATACAGTATAAACTCTTTAAGTTGCAGTAAATTTGAATAAAAAGCTTGAGTTAAGATAAGAAAGTAGGGCTACGATAGAGCTTGATAGAATAGGGTAGGGGAAAGAAAGGTAGGGTAGGGTAGGGTAGGGCAGGGTAGGGTAGAACACGGTAGGATTGAGCGCCGTAGGGTAGGGTACGGTAAAGTAAGGTATGGTAGGGTAGAATAGGGTAGGGTAAATTAGAGCAAGTTTAGGTAAGTAGTGTAGCCAAAGGTGTTTTACATATATTGGCAGATAGAAGCCGATCCCTCGAAGAAATTCAGAGTAAAATCCCAGCACTTGCAGTCATTTGTTGGGTCGTTTTACACAGAGGAAAATATTGTATAAAATCGTAAAAATTACATATCAAAAATGACGTAATACAATTTCTTGCAATTCCTTTAAGGCTATCTAGTTATATCAAATATTAGGCAAAACTTGTACAAATTTTTATTTGTTTTTTTAGGTAAAAGTAGGAGAGGGCAGCGTAGGGAAGGATAGGGTAAAATAAAGTAGGAGAGGGGTGAGCAAAGCAGGGCAAAGCAGATAAGACCCATCTAGGTGCTCCTGTTTCTCTAGCTACCGAGTCGTGATGAGGTGCTCCTCAAGACTTTTTCAAGTCTTACAATTGTTAGACAAAAACATGTAGGCCAAGCAACCGGTTTGCTATAGTCCCAATACGCTTGACACTTCCCAAATATTTATGATTTCAAACCTACCAACAAATTTAATTTTAAAAGTTTAAAATTTTTTGTAATATTTTTCAATATTTATGTCAATTTTATTTGTAATTCATTTTGTTTAGATAAGAAATTTTTTCCTTATTCTATTCTAAAAACTCATGAAAAAGTATATGATAATTTAACACGCAGTAAAGGTCAACTTTTCACATTTGACTACTCTTTCTCATAATATTTTTAAATGCACTCAATATCATATTTATGCTAACACGCTAATTTTATAGAGCACGACTTTTACACTTTAAAAGTTATGTTTATATTTGCATACTTTAATCTATAAGGGCAATTTTTATGATGTGAGTTTAAATTTTTAAACTTTAAAACTTTCACGGTGAAAACATTTTTTTTGAAATTTAAAAAAATTCGTTTTAAAATCTTTTTTTAAGACACTGCTCTTATTGTTAGCTCAGAGAACAAGTAGCAGTTGTCAAACTCTTTTTTATTAGTTTGGGAAAAACTGTGGGTCCAATCGTCTGCATTCTACTTGTCAGATTTATATTTTTTGTTGTTGTTCTGTTCTGAACAAAAGGTAAGTTCAGAATATAAACAAAAGGTCACTGTCAAAGCTGGAATGGCTAAAATGTAAATTTTATTTAAAAATATGTTTTTTAAGTTTAGTACGGTAGAGTAGGGCAGGACAGATCAGGACAAGGCAGAGAAGGGTTGATTAGGGTAGGGTAGGGTAGGGTAGGGTAGGGTAGGGTAGGGTAGGGTATTGTAGTGTAGGGTAGGGTAGGATAAGTTAGGGTAGGGTATTGTAGTGTAGGGTAGGGTAGGATAAGTTAGAGGGTACGATACGGTAGAGTTGGTTGGACTTATACTAAAACAAATATACAACTAGAGTGAAGCTAGGCTATGTCTAAAGCAAAAAATGTCAAAATTTCAACAATTTTTTCTCATTTATTCAGAGAATAACATGAATATGCACAAAGCTGACATCATTGCTGCCACAACACAGACTGCAATTTTAGTTGCTAAAGTTGGTTGTTGTTTTGTGATATGAGTTCTGTTTGGTATAGTTAGAGTAGCTGATGGATCATATGGATCGTCTGTTTCCATTTGTAACATTTCAAATTGTGGCCGGAGGGGAAGCTCGGCTGATTGGCTAAAATGATTTTTTTAGTTTGTAAACACAGTTATTGCCATTTTATGTTTTGTAAAGGATATTATTGCCATATTATGCTTTATAATGAAAGATCTTGTAGTTTTGTGTTTTGTAAAGAAAGTTCTTGCCATTTTATGTTTTTTAATGAAAGTTCTTGCGATTCCATGGTTCGGAAAGAAAGTTCTTACTATTTTATGGTTTGTAAAGAAAGTTATTGCTAAAAACGTAAAACTTACACAGGTGAATAGATTTTAGTACCAGTGCTCTCCATTATGACTAGCTGTTATCTAAAATATAATACAATGTTAATAACATTCATATTCGACAACCTGATATAGATGTATATATAATAAAGAAAAAGTTACCGCAATGTAAATACACAATAAATTAAAAATTTTCAATAAAAATTGAAAACGAAAATTATTAAAACTAAAGGTAAAACGACAAAATTACCACGCAAACCCAGCATAACAAGCACTTGTTATACCTCACTTAAGCCTTTTCTACGTTACCAAGGTGAATGCCGATTGTACATACGACAATATCATGTCTACAGTCACGGAAATGGAAAAGGAGGTACTAAACTATTAATTATATGTTAGTATGTGGTAGTTAAAACTAAAATTATAAAAAAAAATAATAATAAAAAAAATTTCAACTTTAAATTAAAAAATTTTTCAAATTAAAATTTAAAAAAAAACACAAAAATAACTATAACCAAATTTGTATAATATGTGTTGACATATCAAATTTGAAGTGAGTCTGATGACTAGCAATTGAGTTATTCATTTTTCAAGCCGACCGAAACCTACTACAACATAATCAAAAGAAAGATTTGACAAAAATACGCCTTTTTTATTCTTACCCTACCTTTAAAAAGCAATATTATATATACCCTATCCTATCCATATATTATATCCCCCCCTCCCTACCCATATAAAATAATATCATACCTAAAAAAGTAATAAAAACCTTAAAAAACCCACTTGTCTCCCCCCCCTTGAAGAAGAACAAAACCCAAATCCCTTATGAGTAATAACGAAAACAAATTATCTAATTAGAAGGAGAAAAAGGTTTGGAAAACGAAAAACACACAACGTCCCTTTACTTTCAACCCAACAAGACAGTAAATTTATTGTTTTAAAGTTTCGCGAGAAAAACAGGTGATCATAATCAGCTATCAATTCTCTTTTTTGACGTTTCTAACATTTCGTTCTTGTACTTTTACAACATAAAACCGCTTTCATCACCATAAATTGTAAAATACTACGGCTTTTTATTATAAAACATAATATTTTTACGTATAAACACTGTATCTTCACGTATAAAGACGTATATTTTTGATGTTTATGTTACAAAATGAGTCATTGTAAAATTACTGCTTGTTAGTTTTATATCAAATTTTGTGAAAGTAATTTTGAAATACTGTTGAAACTTGTGTTAGATCATTAAAATTGATTTTTAAGTTTCTGGTTTCAAAACTTCAACTTAAAATTATATTGTAGTAGTTACCTGCAGGCAACAGATTAAAAGACCTATATCTCAATTTCTAACATCCATAATAAGACAAAATTTTGCCGCAACAGTATTCATACAATTGTTAGTTATTACCCATAATTGCAGATTTTTAGCATTGCTGAGAATATTGTTATAGACATTTTATAAAAAATGGCGCCAAATTTCAAAGTTTAAAAATTTAATCATCGTTTCACACTTTTGCGAAGTCGGAACAAGATGTAACTTTTACAATGCGTTTATATTGCTATTTCTTAGTTTTATGCCAAATGTGAAGAAATTCTGTCAACCAGTATTTTTTAAATTGAAAAAATGCTACTGCTGCAGCATGCTGGTCTCTTTCACAATATATAATGGTTATATAATTAGACATTTATAAATTTACGTAGAATATGACATAAAAAATTAATTAATCGTATTTTACAAGATGCTTTCTTATTATTCTTACCTAAAGCTGCATTAAAACCCGTTTTATTTTCGCATTTTCCCGCCAAAATTGCCTTTCCTCTCGGATCTGCGGCAGAACGCCAGAGCGTTTTTTTCTCGTTTTTCTAGAAAAAGAATTTGAACCGTTTTATGTTTTCACCTTCGATTTGCGTCCGTTAGCCGCGGCAGTCGCATTTTGTCAAAATTATGACATTCTAAAGTCTTATATCTTATCATTTATTTGTTTTTATTGACCAATTTTGACAAAAATCGAAAAATATTGATCAAAAACCGAAATTTTCGCGAGGCAAAACGGACATTTTTTGGTCATGCTTTATCGGCATAAATAAAGTGACATAATTTGATGTTTTTTAGTTGTAACTGGACGAGATGAGCTGCATGAAACGTGTTCAACGTGAAGTGCGAGAATTGGCTTCAAGCAAAGATGTAAGTTTTTTTTCATTTTCATTGTTCTGTATTTAGATTGGGGCATGGATAATATGGCTTCTTCTGTTAGGTTGTACAAGATAATTACTTGAATTTTTAAGTTTTATAGTGAGAAAATAGTATTGAGAATGCTGTGGTAAAGTAGTGAACTTTTCTTTTTAAAAGGTGCGGTTTTTCAAGCGATTTATTGAACAACTAATTAGACAAGATATTATACTTTGAGAAAACTTGTTGTTTTTTAAGCTTTGATATTTAGCTAGATTTATAGGAAATTACTTAGCAATGTTACTGGGCAGATAAAGTGACAAAATTAGTTACATTTAGTTTGAGGTATCTATTTTTGTATGACGGTTACGGATAAAGTCAGACCTGATATTGTACTTGACAAATTATTGTTCTTTTGGTATTTCAAAGCTGTGTGTTTATACAACAAGTGTTTTTAAAAGTGATATTATAATATTGAGCTTTTATTTGCGTAAAATTTTGTTGTTTTATACTGGTTTTTGGTAACATTTATGATGTTTTAAACCACGAACAGTTCTAATAGTGTTTGTTAAATTGATTTTTGAGAAATTTAGTTTAACTTCCTTTTTTTCAGTTAGCTCAAGGCGGAGTGACAGTAGAAGTAGTAGAAGGCAATTTGCTCCATCTCAACGGTTACATGCGAGGTCCGGCCGACTCTCCATATCATGGCGCGTGTCTTCAAGTTGATATTCAAATCCCCGAGAACTATCCATTCGCACCACCCAAATGCAAGTTTGTCACTCGAGTTTGGCACCCCAACATAAGTTCTCAGACCGGCGTGATATGTTTGGACGTGCTGAAGGAGAATTGGGCAGCCACGTTGACAATACGAACGGTGCTGTTGAGTATTCAAGCTTTGCTCACCGTGCCCGAGCCAAAGGATCCTCAAGATGCGATTGTCGCTGCTCAATATATGAAGAAGCCGGAGTTGTTCGCGCGGACGGCCAGGTTTTGGGCTCAACACTTTGCCGACAGTCCAGGCTCTCAGGACAAGGAGTTTCAACAGAAAGTCAACAAACTCTGTGACATGGGAATTGATAGGGTAAGTAGATTTTTGGCATAATTGCCGTAGTAAGTTATGAAAATTAAAATTTGGTAAGTATGCTATTTGTTGGAGAATATAAAGTATAATTTTATATTTTTTAAAAATTTAAACTTTCAAATTTGTGCGTTTTTTAAATTTTCAAAAATTTGCACAAACTTATTGAGTTTGCAACTTTTGTAACGCTCTATGCAAAATAATTGTATATTTAACATAAAAATGTATTAATAATTATTCAAAAAATGTCAAAACTAACGGAGATACAAAGATTTTACAGATTTTTTAGATGTTTTTTTGTAAAATTTTCTTGAGATTTACAAGGGCGTTACAACGAATATTTCTCGGCTTTAGATAATTGACCTTTATAGGATGAACGAGTGAGACATAGGTTTTGAGAGTGAATTTTTAATAATTTAAAATATAAAAACCCTTACATTACAAAAAAAAAGAAAATGAAAACCCTTACATTATTCAAACTTTTGTAGGACTCGGTGATTGCACAGTTGAGCTATGTGGATTGGGACCTGGACAAGGCCATTACTAACATGTTTTGAGCACAGCTCATACAGAAAAGCGCCAGTTGTGCGATCTCCAGAACGGGTGGAGCAATATCGGAGGAGCGGGCGGTTCCTTTCGCGTGTGATATTGTGTTCGTAACTATGGTTTGTAACTCATTTTAAATATTTGCGTTTCGTAACTAGTTCTTCAATACCTTAAATAAATACAAACTGACTGACAACGAATGGTATGAGTAGGTGTGATTAGGTATGAGTAGGTACATGTATGGTTGGGTATACGTGTAGGTATGCTTAGCAAAGTATTCTCACTGAAATTTTGTCGGATAAGAGTAGGTCTAGGTATCCCTAAAATGGTATTGCCACTAATATTGTATTGAATAGTACTGGTCCAAAATTACATAGAAAATGGAGGCGTAATAAAGCGTGGAAAGCGAAAATGCTCAAAAGGTCTAAAAACTTTATTTTAAAAAGTATACCTACTACAACGTGATCTCAAAAAGTAAATAGAAAATATAAATTCAACTTATTATAAAACTAAATTTAACTTTTATATACAAATACTGTGCTCGGTATGTTTATTTCGAGCAAAAATTTTCGAATTTTGTTTTGGTCATCAGTCACGATATGTTAATTGGTTCAATGGTATGTTACACGAGCGAATGTGGCCAAAAAATTGTAAAATACGAAACAACCTTACCAAAAACAGTATTGTACATGTTTATTGTAATATGACATTTACGAAATACAGGCGGCAAAAAACCTCATGGTATGTTAGGGATTTTAAGAAATGGCATGGCATCTTTGAGGAAGGTTTGAGTAAGATACCATGTCATTTTTTCTAATTTTTAACATACCATGAGGTTTTTTAGAGACAGCAAAAGTATTCTTGATTCACTGGATACTTTTACTGCCTTATTGCTAATATGTTGTGTTTATTGGCAGTAAATGTCGTTAAAAAGAGATGATATTATGCTAATGGGAGTAGACAGTTTTATAGTATCTTACTGCTAGTAAAAAGTTATGGTTTTTAAGAAATGTCATAGTACCTTACAAAGTTGTAGGTAGTATGGCATTTCTTAAAGAATATAAGATACCATAAGTATTTTTCGGACTGTAAGATACTATAAGGTCTTACCTTCATAGCAAGATACTATCAAGTCTGTGGCAGGCAGTAAAGGTGTATGGTATTTATGAAGGCTTCTAAGATACCATAAGATTCATTAAGGATGGTGAGGTACCATAAAAAAGCTTTTTACAATTTAAACCCTTATGATATATTATGATCATTCAAACTATAGATACGATAATAATTACTAGCACTGTATAAATAAATACTATTACCAAACATGTACGACAATATTTACCAGAAGTGCATAAATACTATTACCAAACGTATACGACAATAATTACCAGAACCTCACACGCGGCCTATAATAGTATTGTAGTTTAGTTTGGTAGGTAAACATGTTCGTGTCAATTTCATACGAAATTGTTTTAATTTCACTACCGTACGGAATTCAAGGGCAGTTGTAATGCACTTGGTTGTAACCAGTCTTGTAATTGTCTGAAAAATGTAATTTTTTAGGTTTGTTATGGTAGAAATAGTTTTCAGTCTTACCAAAGGTCGTTTTTCGTGGTATGTTTGAAATTGTTTAAAGATCGCATGAGGTGATGTTTTTTACAACATTTTAGGGTTATTTTTAAATAAAAAATGGTTTTTTTAATAAAAATAGAATAAAAATATGGTTTAAGGCTGAAAACTTACGGGTATCTGCGGTTGGTCATCTTTTCACAAAATTTACTCTGTAAACAGGGCCATCGCTATAAATTTTTTCTAGAACCTATAAACTTATTTAGAAACTGTAGACCCACCATAGTTACTTCCTTATCTGTAACGCATGCGTTAAGCCTATAAGTTCCTACGCACTTTTGCCAAAAATAGTAAAATTGCCATTTTAAGTACCCATATAATTCAGTGCAAAAACCAAACGTCAGTACCGTCAATATTTATTGCCTGTTTTGCTATAAGACTACCTTTAATTAGCGACCAATTAGCAGCGACGAAAACAAACAGCTTATCCCGCGACCAGTCGATAAATCATTACAATAAGAGTTATTTGGGACGCAGACGCGATACCGTAACAAGCATTTCCTGTCTCTGCATAGTTAATTGATTGTATGCGGATGTAAATATTAGAATAAACAATAGATTTTATAGTTACATTGTGCAGTATGTACACCAGAATCTTGTGATAAGCATATAAATTAAGCTTTTGTTGCAAGGCGACATTGGTAAACTGATATTTTATGTTAACTATATTTAGTTTTTCATTAAATCTAACTAGGAATTTAATGATAAAAGTAAAACTTCTAGTTGGATTTGAAAAATTCTGATCAAAATTGTGTTATAATTAACAAAAAATGTCAGTTTATCAATGTTGTTTTATAACGAATGTCTAGCTTATATGATTATCACCAGTGTTTTGCCGGGCCGGTCCGGTCCGGATTTTCAAAAATTGCAAAATTGAAAATAACTTTTTAGCTTATGGTTTGAAGTTTTAAAAAATAAATAACTTTTGTGAAGGTCCGTCTCATACAAATTCCTCGCTAAACATTTGGACCGGTCGGACCGAATCGGTCTTGCCGGTCCGAGCGGTCCGTTTCGGTAATAACTTGATAGCCAAAAACGGACCTTCACAAAAGTTATTTATTTTTTAAACTTCAAACCATAAGCGTAAAAGTTACTTTGGATTTTGCAATTTTAGAAAATCCGGACCGGACCCGGTCCGGCAAAACACTGATTATCACAAGCTCCTGGTGCTATATACTGCACGATTTAACTATTAGATCTAATTTTTTATAATATTTACATCTTCATACAATCTAATTAACCATGAAGACATTGGAAATGATTGTTACTGTACTGCTTCTGTGTTCCAAATAACTTTTATTGTAATGGTTTATCGAACGACAGTAGTTAAATACAGTTCAACCTGTATAACGAGCAACTTTTAATTCCAACACTACACAGTGCATTCAAAATCCCTGTATAACAAAACTCTTTTGTAACGTACGAATTTTGATTCTCCGAGAGATTTGTTATAAAGGAGTTTAACTGTATATTATTGTAAGCATTACAGTGGAACTCTTATATAACAAATTTCTCGGGTTGTTCGAAATTTTTTCGTTACGAAAGGGTATCTTTATACAGAGGTTTTAAATGAACTGTATAGTGTTGGTGAGAAAATTAAAAGTCGCCACGGATTTAAAAGTTTTTCGTTATAAAGTTTGTTATGCAGGAGTTCCACTGTAATACTTATAACAATATATTTTCTAACAATTTTTGGATATCGAACTTTGAAAAAAAAATTGTAAGATAACTGCTTTTTTGAGATTTTTCCTTACTTAAAATAAGGTTTATTAGGCTTTTAACAAACAGCGCATCAAATAGATTAGTTTTTGTGAGATTTCTCTGTAATGGAGGAACAAAATAATGACTAGATTTATGGTTTTACATTGCTGGAAAAGGTTCAAGTTTTTAAAACGGAACTTTTTTTATAAATTTTTAATTATTATTAGAGAAACTGTTTGAGAGTTGCTTTTTTAAATTTGAAAAAATAGGGTATTTTTTCTATTATATATATTATTATGTAAGTTACTGTAAAAGAAAAGTTATGGCAAAAATGTAAATCTACTGTGTTGCACTATGACAAATTTTTCTAAATTGTTGTACTGGCTTATCTAACCTGATAGTAGCTTATTTATCTCTATAGTACAATACATGTTATGGTATCCGAATGGGGGTGGTAGACATCGTTATATAACAACCAGAGGGTGGTAAACATGATGTGATATGCTTTATTGTTCATTACAATAACCTTAATACAGAGCTTTAAAAAGGGGCGTACAATAATATTGACAATTAGTTTTTACATATTTTCGCATTACAGTCTGTTATTTACTTTGGTAGTGAGTGTTTACAGTACAATTGTTTGGACTACAATATATTTCTACTTGTTGAGTAGTTTTTATATTTATATATATTTATATTGGTTTACCTTGTAGAAACAGTTTTACTATGGATTTGATGCTAAGAAGAAGAGAGTTCTTCGAAGCACATTATAATTGTACATTTTACAATACAAGCGCAGTACCAGATGAACTAAAGAGGCAGCCTAGATACGGTGGATTCTTGTTTGGCATCAGTGTTGTTTACATTGTAAGTTGTTGTTCTTGGTAGTATGGGGTAAGATAGGGTAGTGTAGGGAAAGGTACAGAGTGGTAAAGTAGGGCAACGTAAGGTATTATATAATAGAATAAGATATTGTAGTCGAAGGTCGGATACGATTCCACCTACGATACCTTATTTCATAGTGCCTTACTCTATCGTACCTTACTCTTCTCTTCTCTATTCTTCTATTTGCTCTACCTGGGTATCAAATATAGTACTGATGCTGTCTAAGAACATAATATGAATATAATATTTCTGTTTAGGTACTGTACATACCTTGTTTGTATGCAATGACCCGCCGTGAGTTGTACAGTAACCCGTGCTACAAAATTATGACACAAATGGCAATCTGTGATCTCATGACGATACCCATCACAGGATTATTGTCCGGCTACCTCAGTTACTATGGCATTATGTATTGTGATGCTAGACTGTTGAACAACGTTGTTGGCACAGTGCTTTTGGGTATGTTAATGTAGTATAACATATAGTACCAAAACGTACGAGCGTATGGTATCATGCACTTTTACAGAAAAAAATATTTTTGAGTTACAGTACGATTTTTTACAGTATCTATAATATATTGTCTTGTAGGTGTATGGATGGCCTATTCGTGGGCAGCAGTGATTCTTGCCATCAATCGTATCTCACATCTGACATACAAATCAAGCTGGTTCGAAGGCAATCGTGTTTACTATTGGTTAGCTATGCCATTGGCTATTGGCATAGCATCAGCAGTGTTTGGGAATCCAGTAGCATATTCGTCTATTATGGGGAGTTACACTTTCAATCCGTTCATTGAAAGTGTCGTGGATGTGGATAATATTGTAAGTAACATGAATTTGTTTAGAGGTCTTATTTTCAGGGGCGTCGCTACGCAATTGAATGTGACCTAGGTCTTACCGTTACCCAACTCTTACTGTATATATTTTAGTACGCTATGCCCAGTCACACTGCTGACAATCTGACCTTCAGCATTGTGTTGCCTAGTATCTACATATTCTTCTTTGTAAAACATCGCTCCTTGTTGAAGATTCAAAGTCATTCATCAGCGCAGAAGAAAGATTACAGTGTAAGTTTTTAGACACGATTTTTTTTTGATGTTTTTATTTAAAAAAAATGCGTTTTTTATTTGTAAGATACGTTGATGGACAAATAGAGGTTGTTTTAGTTGTTCATGCAATGCTTTTTGATTAGCATTTGTATTACAATGGCAGCAACCGGCTATACTTTTATTCAATTTTTGGGTTTGCCACCTTGGGTTGGACAGATTAGTCATGTTTTGTGGTTGTTGGTACAAGGTAATTTTTAATAACTTACCCTTCCCTACCTTCCTCTACCCTAACCAACTCTAACCTACTTTAATCTACTGTACCTTACCTTACTATACCTTACAATACTTTCTCTACTGTACGCTATTTTGTCCTACTTCACCCTATCATATTCTTACCCTACCTTACTTCAAACCTTATATAATATAAACGTTTTACCCTACAGGCTCACCCCCAATTGTATACTTGAGCATGAACCACAGTATCCAGCGTATTCTACTGGAAACGGCAGGTATAGCCGTGTCAGTATCACGTGTTAGTGATATCAGTAACACTGATGGGGGTACTGTAATGCCTCAGTGTGAACACAAAGAGCTTCCCAAAATACCGCCGCAGCATGAACATGGTGCTGTTTGAACTTGTGACTTGGTTTTGGGCTTAACTTTAAAATATTTTGGCATTTTTTCAAAATTTAAAATTTTACGAAATTTCATAATTTTTGTACGAATACTAATAATAATAATAAATAATATTACTATAATACCTTCAAATTACTTTCCATACCCTTAATAATTGAAATTTTATTCAACAAGTGTACCAGTAACAACAATAATATTACAAGCTACCGTATATTATACAAGTTACAGTAGGAATTCGAATTGAGATCACAATAATGACAATGTGTACAGTGTAGTAATCACAGTAAAACAAGCAAAAAAATCTTCAGGAAATATGGCCAAAATACGAAAGCACCATGACTTATGGTAAAGTGACATGTCGATTAGGGTAAGGCAAAAATATGGGGATGGATGGGGGTAGATAAGCTCATAGAGTAAAAAATTGTGTTTGAGAAGAAAGTAAATTAAAATAGTCAAAAAAGAATGGCATAAAATTTTTAAGGTTCTAGGAGTCAAAACTGTTCGTACTAGGGTTACGGTAGGAAAAACTAAATTAAAAAAAAAAACGAAATTTAAGGGGAAAAAATTAAGCTCAAAGAAGTAAAACTTGTTCGACAACCATTTCAAAATTTCAAATATCATCGTAAAAAACACTTAAAGTTTTAGGTTTTTCCAATTTCGTACTCGTTTTGTATGTAGAAGGTAAAGTACCGCCGAAACAACCAGTCGAACCAGTCTGACGTTTCAGTTCTTGAAGCTGTAGTTGATTTAACCTTCGAAAACCTCTTTCATTCGACTGGTCTTTAGACATGTAGGGTGGGGAACTGGAATTCTGTAGCTTTAGATTTTCATTTTAATTTTTTTGGCTAAAAAATTCAAATTTTTGATTTTCCACAGTTTTTGGTATTGCGTTTCAAGCTGTTTTTTAAATATAGTTAAAAATGATTTTTTGTTTTTAACTTTAACAACGAAATTTCATGACTTTTTAAAAATTTTATATTATAATATTTAAATTTTTGATTTTCCGCCATTTTTGGCATTATGGTTTAATATTTTTTTTAAAGTTATTATAGAAATTACCTTTAAGCTTACTGCTATTTCAAATAATTTAAAAAGTTTTAAAGCTAACTCACCAGCTTCTAACTCTAGCTAGACCATTGTGGATGGGTGGAGACCAACTACGTTGATAGCGCAGTAGTTCATCCAAATGTTTTCGCTTTTTATTCACTTTTCGGGTATAAAACAATGATGTGTGGCTTGTTGTAGTCTTTTTTGTTCGTACCTTTTTCTGAAATTGAAAAAAATAACAATAGTTTTTAAAAAATTTCAAGTAAAACTGTGCCCCTCTCAAAGCAATTTTTTTGGTGTTAGGGGCTCCGAATTATTTGAACAACGTAATATATACTTTACTTTTAAAGTTACCAACCTTTGTTGTCACAGCATTCTCAAAGCCTTTGGCCGGTTCGGCTTCCGAGTCGGTTTGTCGCTCAAAATCGTTCCACATAAGCGTCGTATGAAACTGGGGCAGGCCGGCGGGTCGAGTGTAGGGCGGCTGGATGGGGATGGAACTGGTGGGATCGGTATTGTTGGTAGAAGTTGGCTGGGGCGCTGAAAATAGTTATTTTATTCGGTTTTTACCCTATCCTACTGTACCTTAATTAACCATAAATTACCGTACTCTACCGTGCCCTACCGTTTCCTACTTTACCCTACCCTAAAATGCTTACTTTTGCTGATAGTGCGCGGGGTAGTAGACTGGTCCGCCGGCGTTGTAGAGTGGCTGTATTGTAGCCGCGGGGGAGGGGGCGGCAAAGCGGGTGGCTTCGCGCGGTTGACTGGTCGATCGAGACTTGTCGCGGCGCTTAGCCGACGGCGAACTGCCATTGGTGAAGTATTGGTTGAACTGGCGATAGTAGTCGGGAGCAGGGGCTCGTTCGGGATAAAGTTCGGCATAGCCTGGGGGTCGAGGTGGAGTGGCGGTTGGTTTGGAGTTGGACCGGGAATGAACTGGATGGGGTGGGGGTGGATGGGCATTTGGATTTGGTTGGTTTGTTTGGGACGATTGGTTACAGTTTCCGGGCTGTTGAGTATATTGACCGGATGGTTGTCTTGAAAAGTTGTTATGCTGGTCTGAGAGCTCAGGCTCGGCGTAGATCGGTCCGACCGTCTGAGAGGCATTGGATTGGTATTTGTGGCCCAGACTGTCTTGTTCTCCCCGTCCAGACCTTTCAGCCATACCTCGTTGATCCACTCCTGCCCCTTCATTTCCGGCTGGTCTGGTCCAAGGTCCTGGTTTTCCAGCCGCGCCAAAAGATCCAAATCCGCGGTCCGTTCCACCTCTAACGTCTGTCCCTGTACTCCTATACTCGACCCCGCCTCCGTGTTTGCCCGCACTCGAATCAGTGGGCAGGTCTCCAGCAGCTGGTCCTGGTCCGGCACCTCGTGGTGGTTCAGCCAGATTCGACTCGTAAATTGGTTGTCGCGCAAAGTATGGGTCGACAAGCCAGAACCGCTGGGACTGTCGATAGCCAGTTGCGTGTGGTGGTTGGGGCCAGAGGACGGCCGACTTGGAATGACATAGCGGGTCCGGGATGGTTCGCGGGTCCATGCTGAGTCGTTCGTGCTGGTACCGTACGAACGCACTCGTTTGATTCGGCTGGAAATTGAGAAAGTTAGGGTTGGAAGAGGTTTTATAGGGGTTTCAGGGGATTTTTGGGAAAAGTACAATTAAACAAGAGGTAAATGTTAATAAAAAATGATTTTTAAAAACTAAAGAAAATCAAATAGCTAACAGCACAAAACAACACAAAGATACTGCACAGGCTTTACAAAACACTAGAACATCATCAACAGCAATATAAGAAGTTGTAAGAGTCACTCTCTTATAACTACTTATAGATGATGACAAACAAGCCAAGCCGCAAATATAGAACTAAAGCTATATGAGTCACAGTGGGAATTATGCTTTGTCCTAAAAAGTTGAAGCATTGGCTACAAAAGGTCATCTCAAAGCATGACTAGCTTTTAAGAAACAATTTACACAGCAATCATATCGTTCAAGAATGTCCTGTTAACAGCAAGCCTAAAGCTGAGGGATTTCTTCATGCTAACAGCAAGCATAGCTGAGGAATGTCCAAGCATGAGCTCATAAGCTTGCTAATGCTTCTGTAGCTACTAAAAGCTGGTCTTGTTAGTTTACCTAGAGACTGTTCGATCATCCTCTTCGGTTAAATTTATTAACGACGTCGTTCGTGCTCCGTAACTCTGTTATTGTATTGTTAGTAAATATGATTTGATGGTTAAAAATTTTACGTTTTAAATAAACCATACCAACAACATTAATATCACTGCAAACCACATTAAGAGTTTTAAGGTACTACAAGATTTTATAATATTATGTTATCCGAACATGGATGGTTCTTTTCAAACCGGTTAAGTTTTGATTTTTTAGTGTCAAACTCAAAAATAAATCTTTGGCTCATCCATTTTTGCACAACATACTATTGGTTAGTATTATACTCAACAAAAAGTCAAACAGTATCATAGCTATGAGAAAATATGAATTTCTAAAAAACCTACCGAATCGCCCATCCAGTGCTCCTGGGCCGATGCAAATCTTTGATGATAGTATACCGGCAAAGTTTTCATTTTATCCTCAGGCACTTCAACATTATTTGGCGAGATTTCATCCAATGATTTTTGAGGCTCAGGCTTGTTTTGAAGGAATTTAAAAACGGATTTGCGTTTTTCCTTTTTGTCTTTGGCTGCTTTTTCCTCGTTGGGTTTGTCAAGCCGTTCATGATGACTTTTTGAGCGTAGACGTGGTAACACAGTAGGCATAGGGCCTTCGGATTGAGAACGGCTTTGCTTTTCGGATGCTAAATGTTGTATGATTAATATTTGAAGATTGGGACGGTGTATAAATATGTACAATCAAACCTCTTTAGTATGAAACTTAAGAAAGACTGAGAAACTGTCAACAACGAATGAAACGGCACGTGCTCAACATTGGGTTGATTGATAAAGTCAAATATCTTAGAATCAGACGCAGTACAAAACTCGAAGACGTTTTTGAAGAATATCGGAAAATGAAAGTCATGTACAAGACTAGTACTTCATTTTTCTGTTCCGATATCGACTGGAAAGACTGGAAGACGATCGGTGGAAAAAACAATTGCTATAATCGAGGCCAAACAAAGCCAGGCCGCTTGGAAAACCCCGAAGATGTAAAGTCAAATAAAGAATATAGAGTAAAATCAGTACAATCCGATGAAAATCAAGAGTTATACTAAAGAGGTTTCACTGTATATATAATAAAGTAAATAAAAAAAATCACTGCAAACCAACAAAAATTATTGGTGAACCATCTAAATACTATACCACCCTATACCACCACCAAAATAAAAGTTCTTTGCTATATCACCATCAACATAAAAGATTGCAAAACATCGTTGCAAAACAAAAAAAGCATTTACCCTGTTGGTGTTCCTCCTCATTCTCCTTATCACTTCTGGGTGACAAATCCTCTTTCAAATCAAATTTGATCTCTTTCTTTTCCAACTTTGGGGATTTCTTGAAAATCCCCCAAAAGTTGTTACTCTTCTTCCTCTGCACCACTGGTGTAGTTGGTGCTGTTTTTGGTGCTTCTTTGACCTCTTCCTTCCAGTATTCAGATTTGATCATCCTACGGCGTTGGCGTGAGATTGTCGAGCCCCCACGTTTAAGAGAACTTATTGATGGTTTTTGTTCCACAGTTGTCGCTGATTTAACTAATGGAGCTGAACAAACACAAAGTTTACTATTACAACATAAAGTGGGTATATGTGATTATGTTGCGTACAACATAAAATGTGTAATTATACTGCGTACAACATAAAATATGCGATTATACTGCGCACAACATAAATAGTACTAAAATTAAAGCGGAACTTAAGATTTATAGAAAGTGCAGTATAAAAAATAAAAGCAGCTTAGTACAACTTACCACTAATCTGCCGATGATGGGCGATCTTTTTAAAGCTTTCGAAATCCGTTGGAGTTTTCATACCGAATGGTGCTTTCTCGCTGAAACTTTTTCTAGCCGCCGCATTTCGATCAAAAGCGTCTTCTGGGATTGCACTAACTATACTAGCCGTTTCGTCGTCCACAGAGTTGGTTTTCTCTTTCAAACGTGGATTTACGGATTCGGTTGAACCGCTGAATCCGGCCGGTTGAGAAATTGATTGCGGCATTTTGTAGTTACTTGAGCTTTGGTAAACGTGGCCTTCAGATACGCCACCGTGGTGATTTTCTGAAGATGTAGTAGCATAGTTTTTATTGCTTTCCGTGGAACCTATGGCAACGTTTTTATTACTATCCGTAGAACCTGTGAAAACGTCTTGATGACTTTCCGCGGAACCTCTTGAACTCGTTCTGATCGGAGTATGTAAATCACGCCTTTCTTGAATCTTCCCTGAAGCAGCATTTCCGTTGATCCCAAGTCTTCGCATTTTAGCTACTTCTTCAGCCTCTTTTGCCCAGTCAAGGAATTGTTCTCTGCTGATTTTGCAAGGTAGCCTTAGGTTTAGGTTGTTGTTTCTTCCTACGATTAAACGGAAGTACAGAGAAGATGGTGGCATTTGCGAAATCGTGTGGTTAAACGCATGAACGGCATCTGAGTTTCGTTTGTAGCATAGTAGGTTGACGGTTTCTACGCCTAATATTTGGTCACCTTCTTTTAGGCGACCGTCTTTGAATGCTGCGGAGCCGTGAAGAATCTGGAATAATTTGGAGTTTAAGACCTTATTAAAGGTGTTAGCTTTTTTGACGTATTCTACAGTATAACTTAACCGATGTGATCAAAGCATAATGTCATGAATAAATTTTTCTTTTTTTATGATGATAGTTTTTATGACACTTATTTATGTTAACCTACCCGCCCAACAAAAACACCTCCGTCCACAACTTCTCCGTTCTCTTTCCTCGTCTGTTTGGCTTTGATCGTCAGGCCTAGTCCAGCACCCACTTTCTCATTCACAGCGATCTTAAAGTCGAGAATTATGAGTCCATCATCCAAGCCTTGAATCTGAATTCGTGTTTCTTCGTTCGATTGTAGACTTTCCACGTCAGAGGTGTCAGTGTTTCGTGAGATTACAAACAAAATTTCGGAATCAACAGGGCAGTTCCTCAGAATGTTTACAACTTCCGGCTGCGCTTTTTCGGCTAGTTCTTTGTTGTTGACCTGAAATACATTTATCTTGGTGTACTGTGAATTTTAGGTACTATAATATAGTACTATAAATTTTAGATACAATACTTTAGTACTAAAACTGTGTATTATATTATAGTACAGTATCTTTTGAGTACTATAATTTAGTACCATAAGTTGTTGATACTATAAATGGGTACTAGAACCGTATGTATTATAAACCCCTTACCTCTAAAATCCGATCTCCAGGCATCAAAATCCCCTCAGCTGGGCCTTCCGGCTTGACTGTCGTGATCAAGAATATATTCGAATTGTCCGTCGGACTAACTCGCGAAGCAAACCCAAACCCAAAACCATTTTCACTTTTTTTTACAGTAAACTGTAGTCGTTTGTGTAGCTGTGAAGTGTTGCCTTTCTGTTGTGGTACACTGATCTTTTTGTATTGTAATGGGGTTTCTCTTTCACTATCGGTCGGTTTGTTTGGTCGATAAAACGAGATTGAAGGCTCTTCTTGGGTTTCTAGTTCGTGGAGGTAGATTCTGGCTCGGGGTAGGGACATCTGAATTCTTTGGGGGTTAGGTAAGGGTAGGGTGGGGTAAAAGAAGTGAGGGTGATTTTTTAGTAGGTTGGGGTAAAAAAAGCTGGGGTAATTTTAGTGTAGAGGGGAGAATAGGGTAGAAAAAGCAGACTCTCGTATTGTTGGCTAAGATAGAGTATGATAACATATAGCATAGCAAAACCCACCTGGTAAACCGGTCTCCCATTGATCCTCGTAATTCTGTCTTCTATCCTCAGTTGATCATCCACCGCAATTCGACTGCCATCCTCAATATCAATCACCTCCACCGCTATCAATTTCTCCGGCGCTGCAGGCTGTGGTACGCCCGTAACACTTAACCCCGTCCTCAATCCCATCGTTTCTTTGCTGAGTACGATCTTCTGAATCTTGACTCCTTCAACTTCTTCGACTTCATCGTTGTCGGCTTCGAAGCCGTAGAAGAAGCCGGACTTATGAGCTTTATCACGACACAATGCCCCAAGGGCTGAAGATTCGGATTGGGATTGAGGTAGGAGACCGTAATGAGTTTTGGGCCGCTCATCAAAGCCAATGTGACGTCGAGGTTTTGATGGTGAGTTTGGTTGGATTAGGGAGGATTTTGGAGGCTTTTCGGGGGTGGATTCTGAAGTTTTTGTTTATATTGTTTTAGGTATAGCCTTTGTAGTAAGGCCTAGCACAGCACCCATATATCCCATCGTACTGTACACTATTCTAGCTTACTTTACGCCTCCTTGTAGCATCCTGTCCTACATTTCCTCCCTATATTACGCAACCCCGCCTCCCCCTTCCCCCTCTTACCTTGATCCCCAAAGTTCATGACCTTGACCAGCCCCTGGCCAGCAGCCACTCGATTACCATACGAAATAGAATCTCTGAATTCCATCGAATGTGATTTGATTTTACCATCAAAGGAATCGCTCGATAACGTGTTCGAAGGCTGGGTTGAGGTCGATGCAGTCGAATCCCCTGAATGTAATGGCTGTGCGACATGGTGATACCCGTTGGCATTTAAATACATTGAGTTTGTGGGACTGTCCGGTATGGATAGGACCTGAAAGTGGTAATGTATTTAGTATGATGTTACGATGAAAAATTATATTATAGTAGATGGAGTGAAGGTTTAGAGAGTAATGTAGTATATTGAAGTTCTTGAATATAGTACTAAAGACCTCTTGGTAGGTTAGGGTAGAACAGGGTAAAGTAGAGTAGGGCGTTTTAGGGTAAGGTAGGATAGGGTAGGGTAGTATAATGTCCGCAAAACCACAAAAACAAGATGAAAGTGATGACCATGAAGTGAGAATACGTATGGAATAATTCATTTCACTTTCGAAAAGAAATCGTTTTTTAATCCATTACAAAAAATCCCATTAAACGGATATAAAATGCATCAAAAAGGCACGAGCAAGGTTTTTGTCGTAACATAATATTATGCATGATTAATAAAACAATATTACACCGGATAAATAAAAAAAATCTTTATAAGCCTAACCTAAACCTAAAAACCAAAACTATGGTTGCTAAGCCTAGTGTAAGTATAAAAGTCAAATTGATGGTTTATAAACCTTCCCTAACTGTAAGCCTAAAAATTAAAACGATTGTTTCTAAGCCTATTTTAAGCCTAAAAACCAAAATAATGGTTTATAAACCTAACGTGATTCTTTAAAAAGTTAAAACATGTTTTTGGGCTCAACTTAAGCTTAAAATTATAACCAGCTTAACTTAAGCCTAAAATTAAAAATATAAGCTTAAAGCTAAAAAAATCATTCCAAAAGTCCAACTTAAGCCTAAAATTATACCTTACCATTTTAAAATAAAAAAACGTCTTAAGAAGTCCAACTTAAGCCTAAAAATAAAAAAAGTCTAATTTAAATATTTTTTAAATTAAAATATTTTTGATTCAAAAAAACACCCCCTAAGCAAATATTTTTCTTCATTTGACCCAACTTTTGACATTATTTTCAAATTCGACCCTTAAGCATCCCAAGTGATTTTACCCAAATTTTATGAGCCGTCGCCTGCAGATGCAACAATAAAACGCGTAATTCCCACTTTAATACAAATTTCAAACTTTCCTTTCGAAAACAAAACATTTTATGGCCAGTGATTTGAAAAAGAGCCTGAATTTGGTTGAAAAAATCGGGTGTTTTGGTGAAAAATGGCCGAAAATGGGCAGGGTAAGGCGATTTAGGGTTAGGTTGGATTGAGTAAGGTAGTGTAGAATAGGGTAGGCAGGGTAGGGTAGGTTAGAGTAAGATAGGTAGAAAATCATATGGAAAACAAAGATAAAGTCATGTTTTGTAAAAAACGACCAAAAAAAATTGGCTTGGTCATGTTTCTTCGTATAACAATAACCCCGCGGCCTGCAAGACGAAAAAATGACAAAAATGACGCTTTTTTTGTAAGAATAATCGTATTTCTGATAGAATAAAAAATTATTTTATATCTAAAAAATTATTTTTTTAAAATTTAAAAAAAAATCAAAAATTTTATTTAAAAAAAAATTAAAACTAAAAAAAGCCTAAAAAATCGCAAAACATGTTTAAAATACGTCGAAGAAATAAATGCAATTTAAAAATAGTTAATGATCTAAAATCAGATAACCTTTTTTTGTTGTAAAACCGAAAAAAAAAACTGTCTGTCCACAACAAAACATAAGACTTGTCTTTGGGATTGCTTGAGATTGCTCATCGGAACAAATAAAAAACGATTAATCATCGCTTTTCGAATAAATTTGACTCAAGGCGTTTTATCAGTTTCGGTGCAAAAACAGATGGCAATATCAGAACAGTAGTACGATAAAATTTAAATTTTCAATAAAAATTTAAAAAAATTTTGTAAATATAGGGATATGATGTTAACTCTACACTAGCCTACCATACCCTATCTTACCCTACCTTACCCTACCCTACTCTACCTTACCATATCCTACCCCACCCTACCCTTCTATACCTTATCCTCTCCTACTGTACTCTACTCTACTTTATCCTAAGCTACCTTACCCTGCCCTACTATATCGAACCTACCGCCCTCCCTCTGCTCTGCCTTGTTCTACGCTACCCTGACCATTACCTATCGCTTAGCCTTTAATAGAATACGGTAACACTTGCCATGTACTTTTCCACATACTATAGCACCACTTTTCATACCCGTACTTACCGTGACATAATCGTCGGTGCTGGAGACATTGAGCATTGGCTTCTGAATCATCGTTTCGTATTTGGAAACTGTTTACATTAAAATACATAAGTCATCAAAGAAAGTGCGACAAATCTCTATTCTACAGCAATATGGTATGTACAGAATCTGAAAAATGTCATGGTTACTGTAAAAATTATAACTTGCAAAAAAATTTTAAAAATTTTGAAAAAAAATTTAAATCGCGAAAAAATTAAAATTTTACCCCGCCTTACCCAACTAAAAAAATTTTAAAAATTGTTAAAATAAAAAAAATCAAAAAATACACCCCCTACAAAAAAAAATACCGCCCCATAACATATCACCCCCAAATATCCGTGCTATACCACCACAAACCCTACAACAACATGGTGAATATTCATTACGCCCTTCGTATGGGAAATACTCTGTGGAGGGAAAATGCAAAGTGGGACAGTCGAAATGGCCCTAATTCGTTCGAGATTCCCATTATTCCGAATAATTGACTTCTCTTAAAACCTTTGCCTTCGAGTAATTAAACCAACGTTATTGTTTTCACACTTTATCAATTTGTTTTAGTACAATTTGGGAAGTTAGTAAAAAAGTAAAAGCACTTCTGTTTTTGGGTGTTGTTTTCTATATTATCATAGGTTCCTGGTGAATCAAAAAATTTTAATTTTACAAGGAAAGTACCGACCTACCCCGCTCTGATTGACTTCAAACTAGGGTATATTAGGGTGGTAGGGTAGGGTAAGGTAGGGTAGGGTACTGCAGGGTAGGATACTAGAGAGAAGAATATAGCAAGATCATGTGTATATAAGGTCTTCAGCAAAGTACTAAATCGCGCTTTCCAGTCAATCTCGAGAAAATAGAGATCAAAAAATTAAGTTTTGAATTTCCCGCCAAGTTGGCATTGTGTGTCAAGCTAATAACTTTGTCATTTTTTGACTTTTAGGAATTTTTCTTTGATATACTAGTAGAATACCTTTAAATGAACCTACACTTTTAAATTTGTAAGCGTATCTTTTCTGGAAAGGCGAAAAAAGTGCTTGAAACACAATGCCAAATTGGCGGGAAACTCAAATATTGAAAAGTTAAAACTCAAAAGCGCAAGCTAAATGTTTTTATGGGTGGGTACTATTGGTAGTACAAGGAATTCATATAAAAATTTTGAGCTGATTCTGAGCGAAGCAAGTAGGGTGCTTTTATCTGTCAGTTTTATAGAATGCTGCTGTAAGTCTAAAACCAAAAAGCCTAAAATCTTCAATTTTAAAAGCTCTAGCCAGGCTTAAACCCTCTAGGCTTAAAAGTTTTCCAAATTGCAGCCAAAAAATAAAAACCAAAAATTTAAAAACCGTAAAGTTCCAACTACTACGTAAACATAGAGCCGCCAACCCCCCCCTCCCCCCCAACAACAATCATGTAAACTTGTAAATAAACTCTTGACACAAAAAGAACCTCGTAAGCCAATAATAACGGTTTGGAAATTGTTTATACCACGATCGGAATGCGGCGAGAAGGCGAAAAAACATAAAGAATGCCATCTTCTGAATCAAGCGAAAGAAATCACTTTGAAAGGAATTTCGGACGGGCAACCGGCTTCAATCTAACACTTTTATAATTGTCTGTAGCATTTTTCTTTTAATTTTTAAAAATTGTGAGCGGCAAGAATTTTAAAAAGAGAGTTAGACTAAATATTGCACCGTACTCTACTCTATCGGACCTTAACCTACCCTACCCTACCCTATCGTACCCTATCCTATCGCACCCTATGTTCTATTTACTTTACATTACCCTACCCTATCTTACGCTACGTTTCTCTACTTTACCCTGCCATATATTTACCTACCCTTATTTACCCTACTTTATCCCAACGTGCAATGTCTTATCTCTACCCCTCTTTACTCTAACCATTATCTATAGCCTAGCCATAGAAATATTGTAGCACTTGCCATATAATTTACCCTGCCCTACACTTTCCTACAGTACCCTACCTTACCCTAACCTTTATATAAATTAAAATTATATTTTTTACCCCCCACCGCCCCCCTCCTACTCCTGCTTTTCTTCTCAACCCTAAAAACGAAAATTTTTAAAAATAAAAACTGAGAACAACCAAAAACTTTTAAAAATCACCCATACCCAAACACATATAATTTACTCTAAACATCCTCGTACGTTTGTTAATAAACTCATTTCCGTTTCTGTGAATTTTTACGTTTACAGTCCGGAAGTTGCGACAAAATATCACGTCTTCAGTAACAGACCTAAAATAAATAAACAAGACTGATTCTTTGCAAATTTGGGCGTTTTCCACGTTTTTACGCTTTTTTCTTCAGCTAGCCAAAGAAAACTAAAAAAACATGACGATGTGATTCAGAAGTGGCAGACTTTAAGGTGAACTGTTAGGTTTTTAAGCTTAAAGTTAGCCTGAGAGTTTTTAAGCTTGTAAGTTTAAGTTTTTCAAATCTAAAATAAGCCTAAGACATTCTAAAGTTTAAATAAGTATAAAACTTTTAAACCCTATAATAAACCTAATATTTTCCAATCCTAAAGACGCCTAAACGTTGTGAACCCCTAAAGCAAGCCTAAAGACCAAAAACTCATTTCCCACGTTTAGCCCGTTGTCCCAATGATTACAGCTAAAATTTAAAGAGAACCGCGCTGAATAGACGGACAAACAAAATAAAAAACCGCTGGAGTAGTGGAAATTACACCACTCCCGAACCAAAACAAAGATCCGGCTCATTCTCATGGAAAATCCCCCCACCATCGCTCCGCGATTGTCCACTAGGTCTGTAATTTTCGAAAGGTTTAAGTCTAAATTTTTTAGTTCAATAATATACCATTTCAAATGTGTAAGGCTATTGTAGAGCTAAAAAAGGTAATGATAAAGCTAGGGCTAGAACTGGAGCTAAGTCTAGTGCTAGGGTTAAGAATAGGGCATGAGCTAGGGTTAGGATCAAGGCTAAGACTAGACCTATGACTAGAGCTAAAATTAAGGCTAAGGCTAGGACTAAAACGAGAGATAGGACTATGGCTAAGACTAGAGCTAGAATCAGGGGGAAAGCTAGAGTTCAGACTAGAGCTAGGACCAAGGCTAAGACTAATTTTACGACTAAAATACAGCAAGGGTTAAGATTAAAAATAAGAGCAGGGTTAAGACTAGGGTCTGAACTAGGGCTCAGACTAAAGCTAAAACTAAGGCCTATGAACAGAGCTAGGGCTAGTGTTAATGCTAAAGCTAGCTACGAATAGGTCTATGATAATCTAAAATCCAACCTCAATAACTTTTAGTGAAAACCAAATTTGAACACAAGCCAATAAAACCAAAAAACAAATTTTACTTCCGAAAGTAACACTATCAAAAACCGAAATTCAAAGTTTTTTCTTTTTGTCAAAACTTGCGGAAGGCTTTTCCCGCTGCCAACACTCGAAACAACCGAAAACATTCGAATATTCCACTACCTTTGGTCTGTTTTGAATAAAAAACATTCGAAAAACGGTTTGTTTTTCGATTATTTATTAGTATTTCCGTCTCTAACCTATAATTGTCTCCATAGTTGTTTTATAAGCTGTTATCTTGTCTTTTATTTTGAAAAACATTAGATTATCACTGATTTTTGCGTTCAAAAAGCTCACATATGAGAAAAACACTAAGGGACCGTTTCACAAAAAAAAAACTAATAAATAAGCTTAGATTAACAATAAATCAATTTATAACAAGTAGAGACTCATTATCTCTCGTCTAAAACCTTTGATTCCTCTCCGGAACAGCTCTAGTTCGCTAAGAGTCGCCACACCTAACGTTCCATTTTAGACGAAAAATGCTAAAAAAACCTTAATGTTGTTCAGCGTTCTAACTCATGGGAACGGCTGAGAAGCTTTGATGTAAGTGATTATGGAGCAATGCAGGGGTATTGTAAGCAGGGCCGGGCGGGGACTTTTGGTCTGGGGGCAGGGGTCCAAAAAATCTGCACAGGTAGCTAGCTAGCTATATGTGCCGATTTTTTGCAAAAATTTTTTTTCAAAAATCCACAGGGGGGACCACGTTCAAATTTTTTTTCGAAAATTTTTTTTGGGGGGGGGGGTACCCCCCCCCGTCCCCCCCTCGCGCCCGGCCCTGATTGTAAGTTAAGGGTAGTAAAAGTAAAATATAAGTAAAAAATAAAAGTAAAATAGAAAGCTCAAGATAGTCAAGGTAGTATAAAAAGGGTAAAATAATATAAAATAGTAAAAAAAGGCCCGTTCTTTTCCAAAGTGGTTTCGGACCGGTTCAAGGCTGGACTGGGACCGGCCCTAGTGGGCCTCTATCAAATTTAATCCAAAGTTATAAAATACCCCTGAAAAACCCATGCCTTAAGGCAAGACAATAAAATTTATTAAAAAGCGTCGGAGCTGCAAAGAGACCATCCCCATGTTTTGGCACAAAAAATTAAAAAATCCCCCCCCTCTCCAAAAAACAGCCGAACAAAAAATTGATCTTCACAGCTTTCAAAAATTTAAAAAACTCAAAGAACCCCATTTCAAGTCTTTTTAAAAATATTAAAAATCACCCCTAAAATCGCTGCCATCAAAAAAATTTTTTTTTAAAAAACCTTAAATATATTTTAATAAAAAAAAGCCCCTCCAAAAAAAGTTGCTTTTATAACCCTTCAAAAATAGAACAAAACATCCCTAAAAACCACTCCCAAACAAAAACAAATTTTTCTTCAGAAATCCTTCAAAATTTTCTTTAAAAAATCAACTTTAAAAACCCATGCCAAACAAATAAAAATTGTTTAAAAACCTTTCAAAACTTAAAAACCCAAGTATTTTAGAAAAAAAGTCTAATCCCAAAAAATTATCACTCATAACCCTTTAAAAATTAGAAAACCTACCCTGAAACACCCTGCCGAACATAAAAAACAAAAAAAAATTCTTCAAAAACCTTTCGAAAATTAAAAAAAAACAAAAAAACCCCTGCCGAGAACCCTCACAGAACCCTTTAGAACTAAAAAAACCACACCACTACAACCCATGCCAAAAAAAACCATTGCCTCGAACAACAAACTGCAGCCAATATGCAAAATAAGCGAGAATTGATATTCGAAAATCGGCTCGAATTTGTTCGAGACCCAAAAAAAGAGTCCAATAGCGTGCGTTTTCCCTTACCTGGCCCCTCTACTCTTTGTTTCGATCTGTCTCGCGCCCTGCTCGGTCCGTTCCCTTTACTATTTCCATGAAGACCGACCATCGCCCGCTTTTTTGTATCACCACACCTGATCTCTATGGGAGAAATCGTGTCGCCGCGCTTTTACTTTTCCTTATTCATGTTGGCGTGAATTGGGAGGTGGTTTTTGAAAATTTAAAATTTTAGTTTTATTAGCTGCCGACATAAAGAACCCGCCATTCTTTTCCTGTAATTTCCTTTAAAAAATGGCGGGTTCTTTATGTCGGCACTTAATATTTAGGAAACACTGAGGAAAAGGTGACAGTGTTGAAATGATATATTACGTTGTTCACATAATTCTGCGATCCCCGTACCTCACAAATTAGCTTTGAGAAAGGGCGCAGAATTAAGTGAACAACCTAATAGGTATAGTATTATAGTGTAGTATAGAGAAATGTAGGTTAGACAATGCAAGGTGGAGAACAGTATTATTGGAATAGATAGGGTATGTCACAAAATGATTAGATTAAGGTAGAGAAAAAAGGTTCGGACTGGAATGAGCAGTTATATTTTGTCATAAAAGCGTAAATTTTTAATAAGCTTGTTCTGTTTGACCCATGTCTTCATGCAAGTGGTAAGTAACATTAACTCAAAATTTGACTTTAAAATTCAATTTTACCCGAAAATAGGACCATTTCACAAAAAATTTTATTTTACAATTTTTTTAAATTTTTTAAGGTTAAAATGCCTTCAAGATACAACTAAAAATAAGCTAAAATCCAAATTCATCCAAATTTAAATAAACCCACAATATAATATAATAAAAATGATTCACAAAAGTTTGCGGAACAATTAAAGGCGCCCTAGAATGTGTGAAGGATTTTAAGCGCGTTTTACGTGAGAGCAAATAAACAACAATGTTTTTTCTATGGTGTACTTGAAGAAGCTCGAGTTTGTTCGACTTCTCTTACTCAACTCTCGGTTTACATTGGGCCGAATTGAGTTACTGTATACTGGGTGGAACGTTGTATGTATAGACAATGACTGGCTATAAGAGAACTGGAATCTATCTGAACTAGAGTTGAAAGGACGCTTACTAGGCCCGGCTTCTTCGGCACCTTCGGCAAGCTGTACCGTGCCAAATTTTTTATATTTGTTTGAAAATGGCCAGACTGGGTCAAAACACTTAGGCCAGAATGAAAAATTGGGCAATCCGGACCCTTAACATTTCTAATCGCCACAGAAAAGTTTTGCCAAAGCATTACTTTTTTATGAACTTTTTGACCGAAAAATGGCTTTTTTATAAACTTTTAGACCATCAAATAATTTTTATATTTCCTTTTAGACAACAAAAAAACGTTTCTATAAACTCTTAGACCATAAAAGTAGCTTCCCCATGTACATCTTCCCCCGTCAACCAACTCTTTGACAAAAAAAACATCCCCCCCCCTCTCCAATCAAAATCACCATCCCAATTGATCAACATCTAATTCATGAAGCCCTTCACGCTATTCTAGATCCTACAGTGTATTCTAGACTACACAGAATTCTTAAAAACCCAAAAGACTCCAAAACTTTAAATAAATAACACACCAAACCGATGCGATTATACCCATTAACCTCCAATTTCGTTTACAACCCAAATAATAAATTGGAGTTGGGCACACGATGCCAATATGTAAATAAGGTTATGCAAATACGAAAAAATGGTTTAATGTCTTCTTCGATCAAAGGCACCATGATGCACCATCGTTTCATTAGCTTTAATGGAATTTTTAATATTTTGATGGGATGTTGCAACATATGTTGAACAGTGTAAAAAAAGTGCTTTGTACACTATACACATTCAAAAAACACATAATACAATTTTTTTCAAAAAATATTAAAAAATTAGAAAAAAAATCATAAATTAAACTTTTTTATTGAATTTTTTAAAAATTTTTTGTAATTTTTCAATTATAATACATTTTTTAACCTTAATCTACTTCTTTCAATCCCATATTTCACCCAAACGGATAGGGAAAGAGAAATAAAGCGAATCAAGAGTGTACGCCCATAGCCCGTTGAACGCACGCCATCCCGTCCGATCTGGCAAGTTAAGCAACGGTGCGCTTGATTAGTACTTGGATCGGAGACGTCCTTGGAATCTCAAGTGGCGTACGCATTTTTGCCATATTACGGTACTTTTTGGTACTATTTTTGGGTTTGTGGCTATATAAGGTTGTTTTATATTATTTTAAAGGTCTTATTAGTAATAAAATCTATTTTTTTTACCAACTTTTTGACAATTTATAACATGTTATCCTTGGGTTTCACTATGATAAAGCTTTGAAAAAAATCTTCAAAAATCACGTCATTATGCAAATTTCCTGCTCTTCTTTGGCAAAAGTCTTTCATACTTCAATTCGAATCACCGAAACAGTTTTCATTTTGTTTCGATCCGTGCTGGTGAGTTGTCGAGTTTACCGCGACTCCGGTTCAAGTTTGTGTGAATCAGGAGTTACCGTGACCGTTAATCAACCGACGGAGACTTACTGAGGCTGCCGTGGTAAGTGGGAGGAGTTAATTTTAGTTGATGGCTTTGAATTCGCTTTTCTCTAAACTTTTTGACCGGATTAGTGAAAATTGGCTTCTCTATGAACTTTTCGACCGAATTTTCGTCAAAATGGTGTTTCTACAAACTTTTTGACCGGAAAGTTGTTTTGATGACTTGTGACAGTAATTGAGGTTATTTCCAGTTCTGAACCATAAAATGGCCGACGCAAAGAAGCCAGAAGAGAAAAAGGCCGATGACGGTTTACGTAAGTTTAGAAGCCTAAACCTTTATTTTGAGCTTTATTTAAGCCCAACTTTTGATTTTTTTTTTGATTTTCAGAGCTAGACTTTCATTTTGAGCCCAACTTTTCATTTTAGGCCAACTTTTTTATTTTTTAGGCCTAAACTTCCATTTTAATCCTAAACTTTCATTTTAAGCCTAAACTTTCATTTTAAGCCTTAACCCTCATTCTTTTCAGCGGGGCCCCTCGTGAACAAGCCCAACGAGCCCGAGTTTAAGCTGAAGCTGGAGCCATTGAAAGCAGTCGACTTCAAGAGCGACAAACTTCTGCACGAAGCCACCCACTGTGAATGGACTGTCACCAACAATACGGGCAAGCGACAAGCATTCAAAGTAGGTTCAGTTTTTTTAAACTGCAAAAACTTTATTTACAACATTTTTTGAAAAACTGTGAATACTTTCTTTACAAATCATAAAATGGCAAGAGCTTTCTTTACAATGCTTTTTCACAAAATGCAAAAATTTTCTATACAAAACCCCCTTTTCAGGTCAAGTGCACATCAAACGAGGCCTTCCGCGTCCGCCCACCACTGGGCTTCATCGAGGACAAGCAGTCGATCAAGATCCGAGTGACGAGCCTTCTGAAGGAGATTCCACCAGCCAATCGCCACTTCTTTGCCATTTACCATATGCCATCGGACGAGAAGAAACCGCCCCGTACCGTGTGGACAGCCCAAGTCAAACCCGACGGTGTACTGCGATTACCGTGTGTGTTCCACAAGATGGACGGTAGTGAGTGGAAGGTTGGTGAGAAGGGCCCAGGCGCCGGTCCCACCAAGTCCATGATGCAAGCCCCGGCTGCGCCCGAAAAGAAGGAAGAAGAAAAGAAGGAGGAGAAGAAGGAGGAAAAGAAGGAAGAGAAGAAAGAAGAGGAGAAGAAGGAGGAAAAGAAGGAAGAAAAGAAAGAAGAGAAGAAGGAAGAGAAGAAGGAAGAAAAGAAAGAGGAGAAGAAGTGTTGACGAACTGGTTTATCGGGATTTTTTGAATAAATTTTGACTTTGATTGGATTTTTCAATATTGTTGATTTGAATATTATTTTTTAATTTTTATTGTTTACTCTGTCTTTTTGAGACTTGACTTTGTGCCGAAAACTCTAAAGGCACGTCTATCCGACTGCGCAGCCTGCAAAGTTTCGGCCGCAGCTGTTTATTTGTAAATCTTGTTTTTGTTTCTCGGACTTGTTTGCAAATTTGGATTAACGTTCCTCTGGCTTTACAACATGTTTTTGGTTTATTCCTTGAAAATTGTAGATTTACATTGTTTATTTACAATTTGTTTTAATAATTTTAAAAAGATTTTCTTTGTTTTAATTATGTTTGACATGACACCTTGTTATAGAAGATCGTGTGGCCTAAAACAAGATTATTGGTGTTATATTGCGCGTTATGAGTTCGTAAATCTTTTGAATGATGTATAATAACAGTTTGAATGTTTTAGAAAAGAGAAAGCACAAAGAAAGACGATGAACGAGCATCTTTGGCCTGTGAAGAGTGTTTTCACCTTGTTTTACTCTCGCAACCGGAAAAACTGTCACCAATTGCACAAATGTCGCTTTGGTTTGTGAAAAGGCCAACGAGGCTTGGATAAAAAATTACATTTAATAAGTAAGTTGATTTTAGTTTTGTCTTTTACGTTTTTAGGTGATTTTTTAATCGTTTTGGGATCAAAAGCATGAATAATGTTAGTTTTGATGAATTTTTGCAATTCCAGTCAAACTTTTGATTTGAACTTGGTGCTAGGTTAATAAAACGTTGAGGAAGCTAATGAATGACATTTTAAGGTTGGGGTTGAAGTTTTCATCCAGTGGTGAACGTTGGACTTTCTGGTACCCGGCTACTTCTTGAGGCTAAAACGTTTAATATGGCCTAAATGTCGAAGGTTGGTTAATTTTTGGTTTAAAAGTTTATTAATATATTAGTTAATTTAATTTCTATTGTTTTTAAAACGTAAAATATTTTAGAATGCTCAACTTTAACCTAGTGATGAATGGATCTAATCTACTGCTGGACTTTGCGGAAACTTTGGGCAGTTTATATTGCTTGTGATCATTGAATGAAAGAGCTAGCGACTTGGGAAATTTTTGGCAAAGGCAAGAAAGTAAAGTACAATTACAAACGTATGTTTATATTTGTTTGTCTTGGGTATTAATTGTGAGTTTATTTAAGTTTAGACATGAATGTTAGTATTTTGTTAAATTTTAAATGTTATACTTGATTTTTTGAATGGCTTTAGTAATGGACCAGTTGATTTTTATATTTTTAGTTTGTATTTTAAAATTTTTCGGTGTTTTAGGTGATAAATGTTTTGTTGAAAATAAGTATGAATTTTTAGTTTTATATGATTTTTGTGTGTTTTACATTGTAAACTGTTATTTTTCGAATTTTAGGTAAGATAATACTTGACTAGGCTTTTTTTGTTACCAAATTCTGCTTTCAGATGAAAACCTCATATTATTATAAGTTGTCACCTCGCAAGGATTCAGGAGAACTGGAAGACATTCTTATGAATTTTGCTCGAATTTTGAAGTGTCTTTTTCAGGTCAGTTTAAAGTTTTAAAAATTTTAAAGTTAGAATTGAATGCCAAATGGCAGTTTTTTTATTTTTGAGTATTTTTCTTGTATTTTAGCCCAAATCTGTTTGAGTATCAGCTAAAAACTGAAGTTTTATTTGGCAGAGTAATATCTATGACATTTAAGAAAATTGTAATATTACGAAATCGTTTGACTATAGAAATGTGGGATTGGAGAAATTCTGTAAAGAAGTTAATTCGTTTGAAAACAAAGCCAAATATTGACTAAAATAACCCAACAGGATACGATAGTAAACGTCAAAGAGCGACGAAAATAATCCAATAAGATACGACAGTAAACGTCAAATATTGACTAAAATAACCTAATAAGATACGGTAGTACCAAAATAAGAAATGTTGTTGAATTATAAAATACTCAAACTTATTTGCTGTCGAAGGTGTCAAAATAATCGATATGATGACAACCTTGTCGGGTTCCAAAAGAAGCTGCTGGCTTGAAAAACCGACTGCTTTTGTCCAAAACCCAAATATGTAAAAGTTGGGTTCTGTAGCCGTCTGCGATAGTTACAGTTCCCTTTGTTTACAAGATATGTCTTTTTTTAAGGTAAAGTTAAAAAGCAATTTATTTAGTACTAAAAGAGTAAGTGACGTTGATATTGTAGCGATTTGTCCCGCTTCCCCCATTGTAAGAGTTATTCGTCAAGTAGTCATTGCTTTAGTGTCAGGTAGGAATTACAAAAAACCTAAAATACAAAACTCGACGTCAGTTTTTTTTGTTTAAATCAACTTTTGTTTAAGTAGTTTATGTACAGTAGTCGTTATATATAGTTTACTATCTATACCCCAAATTGTCCTTATAGAAAACGAAATTTTATAAAATTTTTAATAAATCGATCTACACATCTACAGCAAGAGCCACTTTTGATGTGATCGGCCCATAAATGATACAACAGCACAAATACTACCGCTGTGCATCGAAGTCCTTGAATGTGTGATAACATGCTGTAGCTTAACAAATGTTGAAAAAGTCGTAAATAAATTGACTTTATTGATTAATTACGACCATATTAAATTGCCAGCGAATTTGTGGTTGATTTTAATAAAAAGCAAAGTTAAGATTTTGAGGTCAGATTATAGATTTGAAAGGAGATAAAAAAAACTTACTGAAACAAATTGTTCACGCGACGCTTTTTTCTTCGAATTTTTTTTTAAAACTGATTTTTTACACTTTTGACTAATTTTGCATAAACTGGTGTTTTTTGTGAAGTTAAATGAAGTCATTACTTTAAACTGTCTAGTGTAAAAAATTTCAAATATTACTATCGTTAGCCATTTCAAAGTAATGACTTCGACATTTCACAAAAGAACACCAGGTTATGCAAAATTTTTCAAAAGGTAAAAAAATCGGTTTAAAAACCAAATTCGAAGAGAAAAGTGGAGCGCAAAGTTTTTGTAATAAAAAAGGAATATCTAAACAGAAAGTTCTTGCCAAAAATACTACTTTTTTCTCCTCCCTTTTTTTTTGACCAATAATGGTTTTTATATAAAATTTTGGACAAAAAATTACTTTTCTGTGTATTTTTTTTCTTTTTAACTAACCTTTTAGCATCCCCGATCAAAATCACCGTTTCAATTTTTATTAAAAGTAATGAATTTTTGACACTTTACAGAGCAACACAAAGTTAAGTGATATTATTGGTTAAAATTACCTTTTTTACCGCATTTTAAGAAAGTGCGTTAATAATTAATTGAAGCAACTTGTTTATCGATTTAAATCTAAAATCTCAACTTAAAATCTTATAAAATTGAAAACATGCGCTTAATTACACAAAAAGTCATTTTCTTTACGACTTTTGCAACATTTGTTACAGCATGTTATTACACATTCAAGGACTTAGATGCATAGCGGTAGTATTTGTAGTCTTATATCATTTATGGCCCGATCTCGTCAAAAATGGCTATCTTGGTGTGGATGTGTAGGTCAATTTATTAAAAATGTATATGAAAGTTGCTGGTATAGACAGTACAGTACATATAACTACTACTGTACATAAAATAGTTTTCTAAAAATTATTTTAATCTTTTGAGTTTCGTATTTTAGATTTTTTGTAATTTCTGGCTTCCTAATGCATATGTTGATGAAAGACCATGACATTACTGTGTCAACCATTTCTAATTTTTATTTTCGCCGTTTACGGCGTATCCTGCCACTCTACTTTACTATACTATTATCAACAGCTATCATAGCTTTACTCGTATTTAACGTATTCGAATTTAACAATGTAGTACTTGATATGAAACCTGCTGCTACATTAACTTCGAATTTGTTTTACACACAAGCATCGTATTTTGAATTTGAAAACAAATATCCATTATTTCTACATACATGGTCATTGTCAGTAGAGATACAGTACTATTTAATATTTCCGCTGTTGTATTTTTTGTTTGATAAGCTACAGAGAGTTAATGGAAAATACAGTTATGGGTCCATTGTTATCATTTTAATGTTGAGTTTTTGGTTTCAAGCCTGGCATCAAAAGGGTAAATAAGAATTTTTATTATTTTTACATTTAGATTTGCAAGGAAAGTATCCAACTTGCCCCGCTCAAAATCAGCTTAAACTGTTTATATAAATTTTTTGTGCCATCAATACTACAGGCTCTATAGCTGCACTTTGCGCTCTACGTAATAAGTAACGATATTGTGTATTATAGGCAACGCTAGTTCTGACTATATTTTTTTATTTAAAAGTATGGAAAAACTGCTTTTAAAATCAAAACAATTTAGATTCTAACAAAGAACATATGCACATATTCTCCAGGATTTGGCAATTTTTAGCTGGATTTTTAGTTTTTGGCTTAAAAAATTATAAAATGAACGAGGAATTAGACTTTAAACAATTGCCAATTACTGAATTAGGCTTAAAAGCACCTCTGTTGGGTGAAAACATAAACCTAAAGTCTTTGCTTAATGAACCAATTAAGTTTAATGACACTTTACAAGATCAGCAGTTAGAGAAAAGTGATTTTAAAACGTCACTGAACAACATATCTACAAAAAATAAACTTTTACAGTATCTACGACTATTTTTATTGGCATTTTTCATCATTCAACTTGGTTTTACATTGACATATACAACTTGGCTTAAAAGACTATTAATTACACTGACTTCATCTGCAGTTATACTATTCTTGGACGATAGTAAATTACTTTTAAATCCAAAAATGATTTATATAGGCAACGTATCGTACTCATTATATTTGGTACATTGGCCCGTTATCGTGTTTTACAAGTACTTAAGCAGTTCTAATGAGAACTTTATTTCGATTGAAAGTAGGTTGACTAAACTTTTCTATTTTCATTACTCTCTTTCCTGACTTTTTTTGCGTAGGGCATGCTTTATCTTAGCTAGACCTGAAAGGAGGTCCAGTGACACGGGCTCAAACCACGGCTCCAGGGCCCAGCTTAGGTCCCGCAACAAAGTTGTGAGCTGCGAAAAGCTGGGACTGGTCCGGCCTGTTTACAGTTCTAAGCCTAGCTCTTTTTGCTCTACAATTTTTCTAAATATTAAATTTAGGCGGACTATTTCTTCTGATTGTGAACGCTCTTTTAAGCGTATCTTTTGAAAAACTATTTAAACATTTGTCTACAATTCTGGATAACTGGAAAAAACTTTTGTTAACGTTGACAATGCTTTACATTTCATTGATTGTCATATACTTAAAAATTCAAACAACCTACGACACGTTCAATCCCAATAACAACATAACGAACATTACAAAAACGTACCAGCAAACTATAAACGAAGCTTTGGAGTATTATGAAAATCCAAACAAAACTGCAACTTTAGAAAAAATAACTGATTTAAACGCGCGATCGGTCCTGGTAAGACAGCAGTTTTTTGAAGTATTGAAAAAAACGAAAACTTCCGTGAATGGTGCTGCGTTTTTCCACCAAGTCAAGGTTGGTTTTTTGGAATTATTTGGAACAATAATAAATAGGTGGAGATAAGTAAAACATGTTTAAAAAATGATTTAGAAATAGCTACATTACATCGAGAGCTCAAGACTATACAAAAATATTCTTTGTATTCAATTAATTACAGTTAAGCAATTCTAGGGTACAGGGAAAAAGCACATATTCGTGCTAGGAAATAGTTTAGCTCGAGACCTCTATTTGGGTATGACTGCCAGAATGAAAAGCTCATACAGCACACTTACTCTTTATTTCATTCGTAATTCAACACCGTTTCGTAAAGAACCGCGGTATGGTACACCAGATGTGTTCTACGAGGCTGTCAATCATACCAAAATACCGATTGACATTTTAGTTGTCAGATTTAGGTATGCAAAGCAAGTTTGCTACAACAATTTTACAAAAATTTTTAAAATTTTATTTTGATTTTTCGTTAACTTTTTTTTGTAAAATAGAGTACGGTACAGTAAAACAGCTTTACAATGACAAAGCTCAACAAAGAAATATGAAAATTTGAAGGTATTCGTCTGCACGCATCAATTTTTACATCTATTTGTAATTTTTAGTCATCAATTCGTAAGAAACGATTCTACCTACCAAAACCATGGTATGCTCAATGAGATGCAGGCGTTTTACACTACAATACAGAAAAAGACAAAAGCGGAATACGTAGTTATGGCTTATTTGGATTATAAGAAAACGTTTTTGTTTGGAAAATTTATTAATGACGTAGTAAAAAAAGACACTCGCAAGTACGATTTCGATTTTTCGGTGAGTTTCTTTACAAAAATCCCGACTTGCGCTGCCTTAGGTTACATCTAACTTTTTTTATAAAAGTTCGCTTCCTACTATATTGGCATTTTTTAAGCTTATAATTTTGTAAAAAAGTGTGGGGTACCCTCTCTCCCCACCTTAGAAAAAAATTGAACGTGGTACCCCTGTGGTTTTTTTGGGGAAAAAAAATCGCAAAAAAATGTGTAGCTACCTGTGCCGATCTTTTCGACTCCCGTTCCAGACCAAAAGTCCCCGCCCGGCTCTGACTACGCTTACATAAAGTTTTCTAGGTTTATTTAAAGGGTTGCTACTAGTATATCAAAAACAAATAATCAAAAGTTAAAAAATGACAATGTTATAAGCTTGAAACACAATGCCAATTTGGCGGGAATTTCAAAACCTTGTTTTTTGATCTCGATTTTCTTGCGATTTACTGGAAAATGTGATTTAGTCCTTTGCTGAAGGTATTATATTTACATGATTTTCTTATATAAAAAGTTGGAAGTCAATCAGAGCGGGCAGGGCTAGCGTTTTCCTGTAAATAAGAAATAAAAATTATGATTTAAGGAAGCCAAGAAGGAAACATTGCGCGTAAATCAGATAATCAACAAAATTAAGTGCGAAAATTGCATCAAAGTCGACTTTGCAAAGTCATTATGTAGCTACTTTACAAAAACATGTATATCTTCATTACCAAATGGCATTGCAATATTCCGCGATAATGTTCACATCACTCCGTTTGGGTCTTTTTATATGGCTGATGTGTTGGCTGATACGCTACGATTTCACAATGCTATTTGAGGTTGTTTAGTCTTAATTTACGGTTTGAAAAAAATAAAAAAATGATCTGATAAAAATTTAAAAATCTATTCCGAATGCCGTTTTAAGAATTCAAATCGAGAAAAAACGTTTTGTCCATTCGGCTTTGTGTAAAACATTGTGTTTCTAGAACGATAAGTAGTAGAACACATTTTGCTAGATAGTGAATTTGGTGTTTTGCACAGGGACGTCGCTACGGATTTTCTCTGGGGGAGGGGGAGGTCGAAAAAAAAAATTTTCGTCCACAGGTCTGTGGACCGATTTTTCAAAATTTTTTTTTTCGTTTTTTCACGTACCTGTGCAATTTTTTTCGGATCGGCTCTGGGGGAGGGGGTACCCCCCCCCCCCCCCTCCCCCAAACGACGTCCCTGGTATTGCAATATATTGTTTTGTCATAACTTTGCAATCGATATGCAGTAGAACTCCAGTATAACGAATCGCTTGGGGATTCAAAATTTGTTCTGTCACATAAACTCAGCCCTCTGTGTTCTTTAGCTATTTGTGGTATCGATGTTTCGAATTCTGCCGTGCCCGCCCAATTCGTGGTCTGGTCGCTTTCCACGAACCTTTCTTGGGAGAAAACGCCGCAAAACTTGTTGACCGTTCTCTTTACTAAAACAGCATCAACTCATAGATTCATAACTTTTTTTAAAATTTTTATTTCTCTAATGGTCTTCCCTTCACAAGTACAATATGCGATTACAACTTCGATGGAGTCATAGGAAAGAATCGGCCATCTTTAGAGCTTGCCAAACTGTTTAACACAAACCTGTCTCAATCGTCAACGCTCGATCCAATCAAACGACAGCATCATTTTACCCCCACCAATGGCTAGCTCAAACCAACAGTGCTAACAAGAACTAATGGCATGTTTTCAGTGTCTTCTACACAAGACGAGCCCACATCGGAGGTTTTACAAGCGATTCCCAATTCTTTTAGACCAAGAAGTAAAAACAACAATTTTCAGCTTCACCAAAACAAAGTTTTACAAAATAGTATTTATTCTCCACCAAAGCATAAATAGTCAAATCCGTTTCATAAACCAATCGACGTCCTGTCAACCCCAGAGCAGCATGAATCCCAACCAAATGTTGGCCAATGGCACCATCAAGTCGTACGAAGCATCGAGAGGGTCTTCAGTCAGGTCTTCAAGCACATAGTCTGGATCCGCGGTCGAAGTCTCATCATCCTCAACCACATATTCTATAACATCGTTATCCGTGTCATTCGGGTTCCTTGTGATAGCCTGAATCGGTCTCATGGTAAAGTTTTTAAAATTTTTCGTGGTGGCAGTGGCATCCTTCGGAGCAGGGGTCGTAAATTTGTTGGCAAACTCATGAATAGGATCGTTTGGCTGAATTATGGGCATGATCATGTTGCGGATATAAGTGTAGTGAGGGTCTTTCATAGCCTTTATGCTTCTGAAAATTAACATGAATAATTAAAGAGTTATTTATTTTTAAATTTTAAAAACTTACTGTACCCATTCCAAGTGTTGCGTGTGGGTCTGCAAGTCCGCCACTCTTCCAAACTGAAGCACTTTGCTGAAATTAAAAATTATTGAGATAAAGCTACTTTTTTTATATCTTTCTCTAATAAAGAAACTAAGACAAAAATTAATTAAAAAACCCGTTTTTTAACCTTTTAACCAAAAAAAGAGTCGTGCTTCATTTAAAACATTTTTGACGAAAATCATTGGACTAAATCAACGAAAAACGCTGGTAAGCAATTCGCATTTTCGTACTATACCACTGGTTGCGCAAAACCAAACCAAAGGTAATTGTAAAAAAATATAAAAATATATAAATATAAACTTAAAACATGCAAATTTGTCAAAAATATGCAAATTCGTATATCCTCTAAAACTTACTTCGGAGGAAAATGCAAATGACGAATGAAAAACTCGGGAAGGTAGTCGCAATATTGTCTGAAAAAGCCAATTAAAAGCCGAGCTGATCAAGTAGTTTCAAATCTATCAAAAGCCAACTTACTTTACCCATCTAGCTTGGACAACCAAATCTTTAATGGTAAAGACCACACCAGTGTAATCGACCGGGGTAATGTAGCCGCCCATCACATCAATAGTACAAGACTTGTTTTCTCCATTCTAAAACCACATCTGAATTATAAAAATCATTTGTTCTTAAAGAGTTACAGGTAGGCCTGCCTTTCAAGCCGCAAAAAATAAATCAAAATACAGTGTAACTCTTGTATAACAAACCTTTATAACGAACAACTTTCAAATACCCGAGCAATTCGTTACATAGGAGTTCTTCCACTGTAAATAAAAAAAACTCTAAACAATGAAAAGGCTAAAAAAATAAAAAAAACAATCCAAAAACAGTACATACGAAACAAAATTTTTCAATCCCTTTGACAAGATCCGAAGATATTTTCTCGCCGACGATATCATTAAAAGTCTTCTCTTCGTTGAAAAGCATAGTGGCTCTGCCAGGTCTGAAAAACATTATTTATAAAATTTTAAAAATAAAAAACGTCATTTATACATTTAACAACATTTCCAAACATACAATAGGTGAAAACTGCTCTCCAATCTTTCAAAATGGCTAAAAAACAAAACATACCTGTCCTCCCCCTTGATCTTGACACTATCTAAGACTTCATCACGTAACATGTTTTCAATGTCAAAAACTCTGTCCTTTTCAATGAAGATGTAGCCATTGTATATAAAGGCGCGTTTCACCTCTTCCGGCGTCAACTCTTTCTTGAACGTGATGTGGATTCGCCAACTGTACTCGTCTTTTCTCATAACCATTGGATACCTAAATTATTGTATAATATAACTTACAACTGTTTGCAAAAATTTAAGATACTTTTTAGTATACCTATGATATACTATGGTGTACGTATCTTATATACTTAATACCATGTAACTAGAGTAAAAAAAGGAAGCTCAAACTTACTCCATGCCGTAAAACTCGATGTGGTCCGTAAATATTTGGCACACAAACAAGTACGCTCCGTTGATCACTACTGGATGCTGCGCCATCGTGCGATAAGGCGGTTCCTGGTACCTAAAATGTCAATGTCATAGAAAGCCAAGAAGAATAAAGATTTCAAGAAAAAAAATCAATGTTAGCAAAACTTCCAAAAGAATTTAACAGAAAAAGTCAGTCAAGAGACGGCAGTACACTATAACTCAAATGATATGTTATCATACCTGTGTTTCTTGTCTCCTTTCATTTGAGGGCCAAGGTCCCAGCGCTCCAACTCTGGATTCCAATCTGTAATTCAGAAATTAACATCATACGTAGGTAACAATATAACACCTAAACCATTAAACTTACACGATCTGATGTTCATGTAATCGTGATTGCGGTATCGGTCCTAAAAAAGCAAAACATAAAACGAGTCTTGAATACCATCTCCCCCTGCCTGTGGTAATTTTGCCGTCCCTATCCTATCATGTGTTTCAAAGCAAAATACTTACGTTGTATCCTTCCATAAACATAGTAAACTGGTTTACATCGACGGTCACGCACTCCTCTCCTTTCTGACACGGATTTTCGTAATGCGGTGGAGGGTCGATCTCATGAGGTAATACCCAATTAAAGTTCAACTTGCTCAATTCCGGGCACGTAGCCTCTAAAAACAAGCAAACTTGATCAAAACGAAACGGCTCCAGTTTTCAATAAAACCGCTACAGTTTTTTTTTTAAATTTAAAACCTACTATCCAGAGGGTTAATTGGCCTGATCACTTTTCTAACAGAGTGAGCACCTTCTTTAGCTTTATCTGCTGTCCAATCAGCACCTTTTTTAGCTTTATCTTTTGCCCAATCAAAACCTTTCTGTACACCGTCGAGCCAGCCGCCATGACTTGTCTGTGATCCAATGAACAGGAGGACGAGCAAAAGTTTGAAGCGTCTACTCATCGTGTTGACCAAAATGTCGAGTGACCGGATCCGCCGAATTCAACCGAACCAAGACACGTGGTAAATTTGCATATGCGGAACAAGGTATTTCACAAAAAAACGTGCATTTCGTCAAGAATTGGGTTCGAAACTGAATAAAAAATTGTTTTTTCCGAAATTACGAGAAAAAAGAAAGTTTACCATCAATTTTTGGAAGCTTTTTCAGCAAATTGGTCGGTTTTTTGGTCTTGAAGACTATAGTTTATTACTAATAACTTTGCAATCTTGTCTAAAATATCTCATTTGTACATTTAGTCCCATTGTCTTTTTACAGTTTTTTGAACTACCTAACAACTTATCATTTTATTTATGGTTTATCGACAAAACTTCCAATTTTTTCTCCAAATTGCTTCTTTTTTGTCATGGACAACATTTTCGAGTTTTTTGGAGATTTCGCTTACAAAGAAAGTACCCGACCTGCTCCGTTCTGATTGACTTCAAACTTTTTATACAGAAAGATCATGTAAATACATATGACCTTCAGCAAAGTACTAACTCGCGCTTTCCAGGAAATCCCAAAAAAATCAAAATCAAAAAATTACGTTTTGAATTTCCCGCCAAATTGGCATTGTGTTTCAAGCTTATAAATTTGCCACTTTTGGACTTTTAAGCATCTTTCTTTGATATACTAGTAGAATACCTTTAAATGAACCTACAGTTTTAAATGTGTAAGCGTAGCTTGTCTGGAAAGGCGAAAAAGTGCTTGAAACACAATGCCAAATTTGCCGAATTGGAGGGAAAACGAATTAATTCAAATTTAAAACCCAAAAGCGCGAGTTAAAATTTTATCTGGGTACTATTGGTGGTACAAGGAATTCATATAAAAATTCTGAGCTGATTCTGAGGGCCAGTGTTTTGCCGGACCGGTCCGGATGAGAAATTTTACGGTCCGGTCCGAAAAATTTTCGGTCCGGTCCGGCTCTATTTTTTTTCGCTCAGGTCCGGTCCGGTCCGGACCAAAAAGGTCAGGTCCGGTCCGGAAAATTTTTTTTTTATTTTTAAAAAAAGCCAGGAGCGCTCAAACTGCTTTCTTTACGTTTAAAAACTCTTAAAAATATGTTTTATTTGCAATTTTTAGAAAAATTTTATTAAAATAAAAAAAAATTTTTTTTCCGGACCGGTCCGGAAAATTTTCGGTCCGGACCGGACGGGTCCGGCAAAACACTGCTGAGGGCAGGTAGGGTACTTTCCCTGTTAGTCTAGAAGATCGAACGCCAACCGTCTCTAAAATACAGTACTGTTCATAATTAAAAATGGACTTAAAATTGTACAGCATCCCGTAAAAATTCTCAAATACCGATCCATTCCTTTTCTACCGCTTTGGCGACCGGTCGTTCCGATGCTCGTGACTTACTATCTCTTTATCCTCTTCCTACTAATCCCGACTTGCGATGGTGACACCGTGAACATGGGAGAGGTGGTTCTAGAATACTACAACGATTGTTTGCGTCAATACGTGTCCAAGTATTTTACCGTGATTGAAGTCTTTACGTACAAAAAAGACGGCACTTACGTTGAGTATAACGTGAATTTGATAGAGAAAACCGTTAAGGAGAAGAAACAGTTAGTTTTTTCTTGTTAAGGTTACGGTAGCTATTGCTTGGGGGTTTATGATTTGTAAAGAAAGTTCTTGCCGTTTTATGATCGCCTTATATCCTAGCTATAGTCCCAGTCCTAGTTTTAGCTCCAGCCTTAGCTCTAACACTATTTTTTAACCATAATTCCTACAGTATCGAAGTGTGTATCTTATGTTACAGTAAACTTCAATTTCAGATCTGAGTTGACAGACTCAGAAGCACACAATTTGTTAATGAACCCCAACAACCTGTCACCCGCTGGTGACAGCATCATCATGGAGGACCACGTCGATTTTATTAATCGCGAAAAGAAAACCGTCGTACATCATGAGTTTGATAAGAAAGAGATAATTACAACGCCATTCCGTGGCAGTGATGCCTATACCTACACGTTTCGTCCTGATAACAACCGGCTTTACGCGTACAACGATCAGGAGTGCTTCAAGACAAAATTTTTTAAAAAGGTTTGAAATTTAAAGAATTTTAAATTTAAGAATAGCTGGATCAACTTAAAAATGATTTTTTAATATTAGAAGTCGCGGATTTTAAGCCTAAATTAATGTGGACAATTTCAGAAAGACCCATACTTAATGAGAGATAAAAAACCATGCGAAAAGAGGACTAAAATCAAAAAGGGACGAGTCGATTACGAACTGGTATGTTTTGTTCCTTTTTGAGTTCTTACCTATTTTTCAATTTTCTAAAACTTAAAATTTTTTTTGTCTTTTTCGATGTAAAACAAATATTAAGATAAAACATTCCTTACATCAAATTTTTGGTATTCGATGTTTTAAACATTTGATATTTTAAACCTATTTCAATCAAAACCGGTGTTTTGCCGGACCGGGTTCGGTCCGGTCCGGATTTTAAAAAATTGTAAAATTGAAAACAACTTTAGAGCTTATGATTTGAACTTTTAAAAAAAACCAAAAAAAAAAATAACTTTTGTGAAGGTCCGTCTCATACAAATTCCTCGCTAAACATTTGGACCGGTCGGACCGAATCGGTCTTGCCGGTCCGGGTGGTCCATTTCGGTAATAACTTGATAGCCAAAAACGGATCTTCTCAAAAGTTATTTATTTTTTAAAACTTCGAACCATAAGCTAAAAAGTTATTTTCAATTTTGCAATTTTTGAAAATCCGGACCGGTTCGGCAAAACACAGATCAAACTCGGGAAAATCACTGTCAAAATCGGCCAAAAAGGCAATTTAGACGAAATGTCACAGAAATTATCGGAAAAAGGGGAACTGGACAGAATTTGGTTTTTGAAGGAAATGTGTCGCAAAATTGAAGGTTTTTACGCGTTTTTGATGTTAAGATCGTTGTAAAATTAACGTTTTATATTTTAAAAACATAAAATTGTAATTTTTGTAAAGGAAAACGGTCACTTTTGACCAATTTGGGCAAGGATAATATAAGTTTCGGGAACGAACTTGGTTTTTGAAGGAAAGTGTCGCAAAGTTGAATTTTTTACTGTCTTTGATGTTTATATCATTAAATATTTAATCTTTTAGGTTGTAAGAACCTGGGTTTTATCCTTTCCAAATGAAAACTTTCTTTTTGATCGATTTGGCCGAACTTGCTCATGAGTAATATAAGTTTCCGCGTTTTTGCGTTTCTTTGCCATTTTAAAGCAATTCTTTTCCAGTTTTTCTTGACGTACCTAACAAGGGAATGTTCCAAAGCCTTATGGGGTTCCAGGAAGAAGTATCCGGTAACTTATGTTCAGTTCAAACGACGACTGAAGACTGATAGTGGACCGTAAGTTTGTGTTAGTTGTTTTTGTTGAGATTTAGGTTATAATGGTGAAAGGAATGGTGATATCCGGAAGAACTAAATGCAGATAAGAATGTTCTTGAAGAACTTTCTTATCTTTTGTTTCCTAACACATAATATTTGGGGTTTGGTGCTTGAAATTGTTTGAAGTTTGAAGCTTTTTGTTTTTAGAAGGGGCAAGGATTGTAGGCAGCACATTACATAGTTTTTTACATCAAATATTGGTTTTATAGTTTGATTTTTTGCTACTTTATATTGTTTTAGCTTCAAATTTTGTTTTTGTTTAGAATCAAGGTTTTATCTTTGAGTAACACTTTTTTTAGTTTCTTCATTTCAGAGGTAATAAAACATGGCGGAATACGATGATTGGTTTGGTTGGAGCGGGGTTTTTTGCAGTTGCGATGATTGGTGTTGGTTGCTCTATGGTTAGCGCTAAAAGGAAAGGAAAGAAGGTAATAGTATATAATTTTGTTGAATTTTAGGCGGTTGAGGATACGCTTTTGGCCAAAATGTTGCTGGAACAGATTTTTATTTTTTTGGAACTGTAAACAAAGTTTTTGCTATTTTTCGTTTTGTAAAGAAAGTTCTTGAAGTTTTATGTTATGTAAAGAAAGTTTTTGTTGTTTCATGTTTTGTACAACTTTCCGGCCCGGTTTATGGGCCTTGTGTTTCGAGGCTAAAATTATTGCCATTTTATGCCTTGTAAAGAAAGTTCTTGCTACATAGAGTATAATTTTTTGAATTTTAGAAGAAGGAGAAACTGAAAAAGGACAAAAGCAAGATGAAGGAAAAGAGCATAGAAGCGAAGCCCAAGAAGAAGAAAACCGTTAAAGTTGAAAAGAAGCCAACAGCAACAGCGTCATCCAAAGACTCAGACAAGCAAATGGAGCCTTCGTCGATGCCACTTTCCAATGCCAACAACGATGACGACCCAAATGTATGTTTTAACGGCTCAAATTCAAAATTAAATTTCGAGTATTTAGGTAACGCTTCAAATTCAAACGTTGTTTTAGGTAACAATCCAAGACCTATTGAATGACGACGAAATGAGAGCCAACCTGTTCGCTTTAAATGAGGTGGAGAATGTTGAAGCCGAGATCCCGAACAAACCCATGACCGCCCCACCTCAACCCCTCTCAGGAATGTACACCCAGTTCAAGGAGGTCGGCGTGACAATACCTGCAGGCACGTGCAAGGCCATGTTTGGGCAATACGATTTTGAAATGGGCGCAACCCCGAGCACTTTGTTTTATGAGTACGAGAGTTGTGGCATGAATAGGATTGAGGTAGGGTGATTGAAGTTGTTGGTTTGTGGCTTTAGGTAATAAAAAATGGATTTTGAAGAAGTTTTATAAGTTTTAGGTAATTAAAGATGGTTAAAATTGAATTTTAGGTAACATAAAGGTAATTTTTGCTAAAAACAGAATTTTGAGAGACAAAAAAGTGAGCTTTAACTTAAAATAGATTTTAGAAAGGTGATTTTTAGTTAAAAAATTGAGTTTTCAGGTAATGAAAAGGTGATTTCTAGCTAAAAAATTGAATTTTAGGTAACATAAATGTGATTTTTAGCTAAAAAATAGTATTTTAGGTAACAAAAAAGGTGATTTGTAGCTAAAAAGTTGAGTTTTTAGGTAACATAGATATGATTTTCGCTAAACAAACTGAATTTTAGGTAACAAAAAGGAGAGTTTAAGCTAAAAATAGACTTTAGAAGGGTGATTTGTAGCTAAAAAATTGAATTTTAGTTAACGAAAAGGTGATTTTGAGCTAGACAAGTGAGTTTTAGGTAATGAAAAGCTCATTTTAAGCTAAGAAATGATTTTTTAGGTAATAAGAAAGTGATATTTTAGTAAAATTGTGAATGTTTCGGTAACAGTTAATAATTTTTTTTAATTATTGATTTTCAGGCGATGGCAGCAGTAATGGTTGAGGCTGAAAAGAAGGGTAAACACGGATGCATACCCAAACTGAGGGGTACCAAAATTGTCAAAGAAGGTATCAATATCCGACTGCTTGTGACTGATAGGGCAAGAATCAATTTTAAAAAATTTTAAAATTTGTACTAAAATCTCTATATTAATGTTTTTAGCTCGGCACATCAATAGAAGGCGACTGCAAGTCAGCAGCTCTCGAGTTTGATGATAAAATTGACATTTTCTTCCAAACCCTACTGTGCCTCGAGGACTTACAAATCGCCCATATTGTTCATCGCGACATCAAGCCCGCAGCCTTCCGATATCATCTGGACGGACCCAAAATCTACCTAACTCTGTTGGGGCTGGCCCGAGTCAAACAGTACGAGAACCGAGAGCGGGTACCCTTCTTTGGCAACATGACCTTCTGCTGTCCGAACGCTCATCTGAAGAAGGAGCGAACGTTCGCGGACGACCTGATATCATGGTTCTATATGGTGTGCTGGACAATCGATAAAAGGCTGTTGGGCTGGATTGGAGTGGTTGATGTAAGGATAGGGTTGATTTTTTTTTGGGCGGGGGGAGGGGTTTGATAAATTTTTTGAAGAGCTACTTCAGCTCTTACTTATATCCTTGCTTCAAGGAAGTCGCTGAAGATTTTTTCTAGGTGGGCAGGCCAAAAAAAATTCTTTAACTTTTAAAACATAAAGAAAACGACCGGTAGTTTTGTAACAGAACTTTTGGCGCACCCTGTATTAAGCCACCCCCTAGTTTAGCTTCTATCGCTAAATTATTCTTATACCAACATTTTACTTACGATAACAAGTAATATCTTGCTTTACATTTTTTAGAAACGAGTCATCTATCAAAACAAGGTCGACATGTTCAATCCCATCTTCTTCAAATCACTGGTCGATCGAACGGTTTTCAAACCGAATGAGAACAAATTTCTGAAAGAACTCCAGTCGGCTGTCGCACCACAAACCAAAGAAATCTACGTCGAGTACCCAAAGGTTTTTGCGGTGATAAAAAGGTACAAAACCGAGTCAACAAAACCGACCAAACCTTCGTCCGGCAGTGCTGCCACGATAGGTGCATAAAATGGGGAATGATGGGTTTTTTGAATAAACTGTGTTTGTTTGAACGTTGAACTTGGTTTGAATATTAACGTTTTGGACGTGCAATTATACTTTTTTTTATTTTTTACCGTGTTGTTCTTGTTGTTTGTGTTCAATATAGTTTGCTTCTATTTGAGCTAGACTTGTAAATAGTCCGGGCCGTGTCTTTTACTTATTGTTTTGTAATTAGGGCTTATAAAGAAAGTTATTGTCGTTTTGTATTTTGTAAGGAAAGTTCTTGCCGTTTTATGATTTGTAAAGAAAGTTCTTTCTAATTTTGCGGCTCATATAAAAGTTTTTGCCATTTTATGTTTTGTACAACTTTTTGGCCCGGATCATGGGCCTTGTGACGTGTGCTCGTCCGGCCAATTTCAAGCTTGCTTCCGGGCCGAGGCCAGATATAATAGATGTTCTATCAGGTTTAATTTGAGCTATATGAGTCTTGTTTTGCAGCACAAGTTGTTTAGAATTCAGAATGTTTCTCATTTATGAGCTTATGTAGGTATTGTAAGACTTGGTCGGTTCTGTAGAAGTGTGCTGCTGCACATTTTAATTTTAGGTTTAAATTCATTATACAGGATTTCCACTATGTATTTATTTCAAATATGTATTTCAATAATTTCCAAAGATTTTGCTATATGAAAGTTTATTGATATTGTTAAATAATTGTATGAAGCAGGTATTAAAAACGTATTATTTGGGATGTGCGAAGTCACACTTGTCTCCAAATTTGCAAAACTTGAAGGCATAGTATTTGCGGCAAAGTTGGGTTCTGCGCCTTGGGTCTTTCTGGAAATAGTAAGTTTAGAACAAAGTTTTAAAAGTCTAGCTTAAGGTGCTTTATAGAAAAGTTCATAGTGAAGTCTTTGACAACCAATAGAGACAATAAAACATCACTGTAAAAATACTTTAGCTCTATTATATGTTTTCTGTCTAAACTTACGTTTTCTAGCGGAGCTCGTCTTTCTTCTTCGGTGTGGGCGAAGCAACAACTAGCCTCTCGTGTACATTTCTTTCCCTCTATTACACTTTTACACATTGTCGTCTTGTAGTTTCTGTAGTATCGTTCCAGCTTGATACTTTGTTTCCGAATCCTCTCATTCAAATCCGCCTGATCAGCTTCCACTGGCATTATGCTATACATTGGCCAGACCGGTGCTCCAGGCTTTGTTGTGAACTTCAGGCCATTTAATAATGGCATTTCTGTTTTCCGAATTGTTGACTTGATAGTCTTATTTTCACGGTCGAAGTAAATGTGTTCTTTTTGTTCACGATATGTGATTGTTTCATTTGTTGTTGTTGTATTGGCCGGTGTTTTGTCGTAGTCGTCCAACAAGTTGCCCATTAGTTCTACTACATGGGCCATTTCTTCATCATCTAATGCCAACTTTTCATTGCCCTTTGCCAATGTAGCTGAAGTTTTCGTCGTGTCTGGTTTTTTCAAAAAATTTTTAAATTTATTGTCAGGGCTTGGCGATGGGGTCCACAAAACTGAAGGTGGGGCTCCGTATTCAGGCTTTCTGCTTGGTGGTGAGCTACGTTGTGGAGCGTCACATTGGGGCGCTTGTGGACCCCAGTGGGCCGTGAAGTTGCAAGACGCGGGAAATTGGCCCCAATGTGCTTGACTTGAATACACTGGTTGTGGGTTAACACAACCAGGCATTCCGTAAGCCATGGGTTGGGCAGAGGCCTGCATCTGAGCGTTGACGGCCTGTTGATATGCCCAAAATTGGGCCAATTGTTGTTGGCTTGCAAAGCCGGGTTGGTGGCAGATTGGTTGGGGTGCTGGTGGGTATGGCACGACGTTCATTGGGACGTAGACTTGTTGTTGCACGTTGGTGAACATTTTTTGTATTTTTATTTAAAAATACGAAGGAACGTTGGTTATTTCTAAAAGTCAAAGGGTACTGTAATGTTGGCGATAGTAATGTCAAAGCGCGACAAAATTGCTCGGTAAAGTTACAACTAAGGGTAGATTTATCAAGATTTTGGGCGAAAAACGAGGGGACAGTTCTGGACGATTAAGCCAAATCTAGTTGCAGTTTGCTAATCGTTAGAATCTTTTTCTTATATATTTAAATCTATAAAACACAAATATTTTATAAAAAATTTATTTATTAACGACAAGTAAAACGAGGTCGTACTGCATCGATGTTGAGGATGAAAATGTGTTGGAACTCAGATTGAAGCCCTCTATTTATAGAAGTTGTGATCGGTAGACAAAACTGATCATATTGATGAAAAAGAGTAGACAAACTTGATTAAAAGTTTGTCTACGTTTACATAGTTGTCGTATACGACGTTTTACAATCCACCATCTTTGATTTTTGTCAGTACGTTTACGCAATTACCGCGGGTTCAAAGGTTTTTTCTACTGATTGTTTTCAACATTTGGTTGTCAGAGAAATCTTAAGGTATGTATGTTTAAGATCTGTTTTTAAGATGAAAATGATTCAAAAAAGAAAAATTACGGTTACTGTAAGATATCGAACGGTTCCACTGTTAATTTTGGAGCAGAATCAATCTTATGGTTCATTTTGTAGACGGCAGGTAAGAAAAATGTTTATTTTGTTACGTTTGGAATGATTACAGTGGAACTCCTGTATAACGAACACCCCTACAACAAAGATCCAGTATAACAAACAACTTTTATAAATCCATATCGTTACGCAGTACATTGGAAACCTGAGTATAACAAAGCTTCATAGCAAACAAATTTAACCGTTTGGAATAATTCATTATATAGGAGTTCCGCTGTTCCTAAAGGTAGATATTTAGTAATTACTCCTTTTTTGCCTTTGTCATACTGTCCATGGTCGTAACTTGTGTCGTTTTGAATTTGGGCTTGCAAGGTGTTAAAATTCTGTTATTTTGTTAAATAGTTTTATAAATACACTTCTCCATACCTACAAAATACAGAGGTGTGGACGAAAAACCATGCTTATAGGGTAGGATTGGATCAACTTCCTCATCTCTGAGGAAAAAACATTATTAAGTATATATTTTAAGTCCCAAACGTTCATAGTTTTCACTGTTCCAAGCTAGCTTCAAAAAACTAATTTATTTAAAAAAAACGAATCATTTCCAATTTTATGCCGTTGTAGCCGTGCCGCCGGTGGATGGTTTTGTTGCGTCGGATTTGTAACTTACTATGACCGCAAAAACCTTGGGATACTCGACGTAGATTTCTTTGGTTTGTAGTGCGACGGCCAGTTGAAGTTCCTTCAGGAATTTGTTCTCAATCGGTTTGGTGACCATTTTGTCGACCAGTGGATTGAAGAAGGTCGTGGTGAACATGTCGACCTTGTTTTGGTAGATCGATCGTTTCTAAAATTGTGATGAATTAAAATTATGTCTTTAAAATTACATATTATACTACGTAAGCCGGGTCTTCCAAACTCATATAAATTACCCGGCCCATGCCCTTCCAAAAACCAACCCTATCCTTACATCAACCACTCCAATCCAGCCCAACAGCCTTTTATCGATTGTCCAGCACACCATATAAAACCACGATATCAGGTCGTCCGCGAACGTTCGCTCCTTTTTCAAATGAGCGTTCGGACAGCAGAAGGTCATGTTGCCAAAGAAGGGTACCCGCTCTCGGTTCTCGTACTGTTTGACTCGGGCCAGTCCCAACAAAGTTAGATAGATTTTAGGTCCGTCCAGATGATATCTGAAGGCTGCTGGCTTCACGTCGCGATGAACAATGTGAGCGATTTGTAAGTCCTCGAGGCATTGCAGGGTTTGGTAGAAAATGTCAATTTTCTCTTCGAATTCCAGTTTTCCTGACTTGCAGTCGCCTTCTATTGATGTGCCGAGCTAAAATCATTTATTATAAATAGCATTTCCAGTTGTAACTTATGTTTAAAAATAACTTTTTTACAAAAAATGTTTAAAAATCATCCCTTACCCTATCAGTGACGAGCAGTCGAACATTGATACCTTCTTTCACGTTTTTCGTACCCTTAAGCTTCGGTATGCGTTCGTATTTACCCTTCCTTTCAGCCTCAACCATTACTGCTGCCATCGCCTGAAAAGCAATTGTTAAAAAAATTATCGACCGTTACCTAAACATCAATAAATTTGCTAAAAATCACATTATTGTTACCTAAAATACAATTTTTGGCTGTAAAAATCACCTGTTCGCAACCTCAATCTCTTTTTGTTACCTAAAAATCAGGACTATGTTACCTAAAATTCAATTTTTTTAGCTAAAAATCACCTTTTTATTACCTAAAATTTCTCTTTTTTTATTAGTTTAAGACCTCTTTTTTTACCTAAAATACAATTTTTGGCTGCAAATCACCTTTTTGTTACCTAAAATTCTATTTTTTAGCTCAGATACATCTTTTTTGTTACCTAAAACCACAACCCAACAAAACCCAATCACCATACCTCGATCCTGTTCATGCCACAACTCTCGTACTCATAAAATAAGGTGCTGGGTGTTGCGCCCATGACAAAGTCGTACTGTCCGAACATTGCCTGGAAAGTGCCTGCGGGTATTGTCACGCCGACCTCCTTGAACTGGGTGTACATTCCTGAGGTGGGTTGGGGTTTGCCAGTCATTGGTATGTTCGGGATCTCGGCCTCCAGATTCTCGACCTCATTTAAGGCGAACAGGTTGGATCTTAGGACCTCGTTTTCCAGTAGGTCTTGAATTGTTACCTAAAACAAGTTTCGGATTTGATTGTTACCTAAATGCTCAAAATTCGAAAAATTTAAATTTTTTAAATTTGCATACATTTGAATCGTCATTAGCATTGGAAGCCGGCATTGACGAACTCTCTTGATTGTCGGTGTCGGTTCTTGTCGCTCCTTTCTTTACTGTTTTCTTCTTCTTCTTACTCACGGTGTCTGTGCTCTTCTCCTTCTTCTCAGTTCGCTCTTTGTCCGCCTTTTCCTTCTGAAGTTGAAAAAAGTATTCCTTATATTGCAAAAACTGTTCCCAAAACATAGAATGGCAAAAACTTTCTTTACAGGCCATAAAATGACAACAACTTTCTTTCCAAATCATAAAATAGAAAGAACTTTCTTTACAAAACATAAAATGGCAAGAACTTTCTTTACAAAACACAGTGTCATAAACTTTCCTTACAAAAAAACAAATCGGCAAGAAATTTCTTTACAAACCTTAAAATGACAAGAACTTTCTTTCCAAACCAAAAAATCGCAAAAAATTTCTTTACAAACCATTAAACTACAAAAAAATGTTTTAAAGTTAACAGAACATCGTATAATTTGTCACACGCAGCCTGTTTCTCATTTGTCAATCACCTAAAAATTAACACAAATAAAATCTTACGTTTCGTCCCCGCCATTTCAAGATGCATATTGTACTACCAACTATACATAAAATCGCCAGTATAAGTAAGGCAAATAGCAGAGAATAAAATGTCACGTTCCGTCCAAAGTGATCAAGCCTAAAACAAAACAAAAATCAAAAAACCTAATTTCAAAAAAGTCGAATTTGTTACCTAAAAACTTAAATTTTTTTTAAAATTTAAAACTGTTACCCATCAATTTTTACTTAAAAACAATGATATTACGACCGGTAACAGGCAAATAGTATAAGAAAAAAAGATTAAAAACAATTTTAAAATGATTTTTACGATTTTTTGTTTGTTTTCACTTTAAAATATTTCATTTTTTGGTGATAAAAATGGGAAAAACAGTAAATTGAAGCTAAAACATTAGAATTAGCCATAAATAATATTTTAAAGTCAAATTTCAAGCTAAGACAATATAAACATACCTCTTCAAAACATACTCAACTTTAAAAAGCAACAAAAGTCAAATCTAAACCCATTTTACCTATCATTATTTTCGTATAGTTTAGGTAACAAAACACTCAAAACTCAAAAAAAACCTTAAAGAGCATAACAATCACATACAATCTCTTCTGATTATTAAATTCCAACATTGATTTTCTCTTTGTTACCTAAAAATTCAACAAAAGCAATAAAAACTACTTACTCTTCCTGGTGTTTCCCTTTGAACAAAACATATGTTACCGCATATGGTGGCCTAATGTACCACAAATCAGTACAACTCCTTGTTAAGTACGTCAAGAAACTCTGAAAATGGTTGTTTCAAAACGGGAAAGCAACAAATTTCCTTCAAAAATCAAATGCTGTCCCGAAACTTATCTTATCCATGCCAAAATTAATCAAAAAAGTCATTTTTATTTAAGAAATTTACAATTTTATGTTTTAAAAATATAAAAGGGTAATTTTACAACGATATTAACATCAAAAACCAGTAAAAAGATGCGACACGTTTCCTTCAAGAACCAAATGATGTTCCGAAACTTATATTATCCTTATCCAAATTGATAAAAAAAAACCGTTTTCAAATAATAAAGAGAAATTTTATATTTTTAAAACATAAAACATGAACTTTACTGTCGTTATAACACCAAAAACCCGTAAAAGCATTCAATTTTGCGACAGATTTCCTTCAAGAAAAAATGCTGTCCCGAAACTTATATTACCCTTGCCCAAATTAATCAAAAATGCCGATTCAATTAAGAAAGTTTAAATTTTACGTTCTAAAAATATAAAAGATTAATTTTACAATGATATTAACATGAAAAACCCGTAAAGACATTCAATTTCGCGACACATTTCCTTCAAAAACAAAACTCTGTCCAGTTCAGTTCCCTTTTTTCCAATAACTCCTGTGGCATTTCGTCTAAATTACCTTTTTTGGCCGATTATGGAAGTAATTTTGCAAATTTTTGATTAATATAGGTTTAAAATGTCATTTAAAAACATAAAAAAGTAAATTTTATAAAAATTTTAAAAATTTAGACTAAGATTTGGCAAATTTTTAAAACAATTTTTAAACAGTTTCAAAACTTGACAAACTTAAAAAAAGTAACATAAACTTACCAGGTCGAAAGCGATATTGTCCTTGATGATTTTAAACTTCTTTCCGCATGGTTTCTTATTTGTCATTGCGTACGGGTCCTTCTGAAATCCTCGACATTGTTTTAGGCTTCAAATCAAAAATTAAAAAAAAAAAATTTTTTTTAAATTCAAAACATTTTTAAAACTCCAAACCTTATTAAAAAACTCGGCTTTGAAGCACTTGTCCTCCTTGTAAGCGTAAAGAAGGTTGTCGTCAGGACGCAGTGTGTAGGTATAGTCGACACTGCCCCTGAATTTGGTGGTAGTGAACTCATTATTCTCGAAATCATGGTGATACACTTTTTTCTTTTCGAAATCAATAAAATCGGTACGATTGTGCAGGACTATCATGTAGCCGGGTGCCAGCTCCTTGGGGGCTTTCAGCTTTTCCATTGTTTCTGTGTTATAGGCTATGAAGTGGGAGCTGAAAGTCATGGTTAATGTAGGGCAAAGGATAGAAATTGCTGCAAATTTACTGATAAAGAAGTGCATTGGAACTAGACTTGACAGGAGACCCATTAGGCCTGGCAAGGCTCGGCTCAACTGGCCCGGGCCAAAAAAAATTTCAAAGGGTCCGGGCCGGACCCGCACATTTGGACTTGACTAAACATCGAGAACGGGCCGGGCTTGATCTAAATTTAGGTCGAACCGAGCCTGAAAATCAAGGCCCAGCTCAAAAAAAACCCGGCCCGTTGCACGTAAAAAAATCGACCGGGCCAGACCAAGCAAGGTTTAGATCAAGCCGGGGCTAACACTCAGGCCCGTCCCGATCCCTATGTTTAGCCTTGAGCGTCAAGCCTAAAAACAAGACTCCACGGGCCAGATTAAAAAAATCGAATAACTAGACGACCTAGCTAACCTGAAAAGAAGGTCAATAGGCCCGGACCCAAACCCTAGGCCGAAACAATTTTGAAACGAGGCCGGAATGTGCAAGCTTAACAGCCGGCCCCAAACCAAGGCTATAGAGGCCCAGCTTATTTCCTGCAACAAAATACTTTACTTGTCCAGCCACTCCACAATGAATTTAAAAATCCTGTACAACAAAACTCCTTTATAACGACCAAATTTTAAAACCTCGAGCAATTCGTTGTACAGGAGTTCCACTGACTTAGGGCCGGCTAATGCTGTCATTATTATCATTGCATTTGATAAGAACAATAAAATAAACCTACCCTGAAGTTTTTGCCAAGATTTTCCTACTCAAACTCGCGTCTGCCACTATGAAAAACAAGGCATGGCCTTTGATGTTGTAACTTCCTTTTCTGAAAATAGCAAGAACTTACATTACAAAGCGAAAAACAACAAGAACTTTCTTTACAAGTCATAAAATGGCAAGAACTTTCTTTACAATATATAAAATGACAAGAACTTTCTTTACAAATTATAAAATGGCAAGAACTTTCTTTACAAAACATAAAATGGAAAGAACTTTCTTTACAAAACATAAAATAGCAAGAACTTTCTTTAAAAACCATTATATAACAAGAAAATTCTTTACACAACATATAACGTCAAGAACTTTCTTTACAAAACATACAATGGCAAGAACTTTCTTTACAAAACATAAAATGGCAGGAACTTTCTTTACAAAACACGATGGCATGAACTTTCTTTACAAAACAAATTTTCTCTAAAAACCTGAAAAATAGTTTTTGTAAACAAAGTTTCTTCCAAAAACTGAAAAAAAACCTACCTCTTCTTACTAACTGTCTCCTCCGTCAAATTCACGTTATACTCATAGTAACCGCCATCCTCTTCCAACGTGAAGACGGCGATACCGGTAAAATACTTGGACACGTATTTGTGCAGGCAATCTTTGTAGTATTTCAGAACCACCTCTCCCATGTTCACGGATTTACCATCACAACTCGGGATTAGTAGGAACAAGATAAAGAGATAGTAAGTCACGAGCATCGGAACGACCGGTCGCTAAAACGGTAGAAAAGAAATGAGTTGGTTTTGAGAATGAGTATTATGTTTTTGGTACTCATATTGGATGATGTTTATGCAAAACATGCACTTTTAATGTTTGTGCTGTGCGCTATTTGACTATTTTTACAATTTTTATTTAAAAAGTTCAAACTTTTAAATTTGCATATTGAAGAATTAAAAATATTATGAAATCTACGTGCCACGGTGTCTTTGCGTCTAGAGGTGAGAAACGGCCGTTTTAATTTTTTCTCAAACCGGCCAGGCCTGGCGGTTGAAAAAACTCTAGGTTCGGCTCAGGTCTACAATCGGGCCGGGCCAGCTATGAGTAAATGTTGAAAAAAGAGCCAGCACCAGCCCTGTATAATGAATCTCTTGGCGATTTTTAAATTGTTCGTTATCAAAGACGTTTTGTTATACAGTACACATCATGCCAAAATAAAAGAAAAATGGAACTAAGGTGGCAGTGGCATTTCGTTAACTCAAATGTCTCAAATATTGATTCAAAAAATAAAATAAATATTTAAAATGTTGAATGAAACGTGTGAAATTATCAAATACTAGTTAAACTAAATCAAATTGTGAGCTGTAACTAGTATTAAAAAATTCGCTATGTTTCGGCGGTTCTTTGAAGGCCAAACTGGTCTTGATCCGTCAAAGAATCGCCCAGATATGACACTACAAGTTTACCACAAACGAATTTCATTTTCAAAATTCCGACCACTTAATTTCAAACAATTTTTCACAAAAAATAGAATTTCACACTTCGCATCGTTTTTTACACGAAATGTCACGCTGTCTTTATTCCCTCTTTTGGCATGACGTGTAGTAGCTTTAACTGCACTGTGTAGTGTTGGTCGCAGATTTAAAATTTGTTTGTTATACGGGGTATTCGGTCTACAAAAGTTCGTCATACAAGAGTTCCAATATTAATTTTTTAAAACACTTTACTAAGTCTTTATCAAATCTTATCCCCGATAAAAAGGTAAAAGACAAAGCACCTCTAGTGAAGATACTTATTGCATAATGCCTCGAGGTCAAAAAGTTCAAAGTTTATCTTAAACTCGCACAAATTTTTTAAAACTCAAATCGGGAGACATTTTGGGATTTGATAAGATTTAAATATATGTGCAGGTTTAGCGATGAATTTTCGATCGAACATGTTCATTAGAAAATAAACTCGGACTGCGGTGCGGGTGCGCGCGCATCATGATTTTAGTCATGGGGCGCACCTTTTTTATAAAAATGTAGATTTAGGGTAAGTATATGTTTAATCAATGATTGACAATAATTTTATGGTATTTTTGGATGTAATTGTAGTTAGCCAAAACTGAATTATTATTGTTTTTATTTTTAATTTGCTTTTAATTTTAGACCCCTTGGATGTCACAATATCTCGGTATCATGACCAACATGTATTTGTATCGAAACCAAATAAAGGGCAGGATTCTGGGTACCAGGACTTCTTCAAATTTTTAAATAACAAACTTGTGTACAATTTGGATGCCTTGATGTCATAACCAACATGAATTTGTATCGAAATCAAATAAAGGGCAGGATTCTGGGTACCAGGACTTCTTCATCAATAATGGAAACTGGCTACCAGAACTTCTTCAAAACAAACAACAGGAATCTAGGTACCAGAGCTTCTTCAATTTTTGAATAACAAGATGTAACTTGTGTACAACTTGGATGCCACAATGCCACGATGTCAGAACCAACATGTATTTGTATCGAAATCAAATGAAAGGCAGGATTCTGGGTACCAGGACTTCTTCATTAAAAAATTTATCTGGGTACCAAAGCTTCTTCATCAATAATGGAATCTGGGTACCAGAGCTTCTTCATTTTTTAAATAACAAAATGTAACTTGTGTACAACTTGGATGCCACAATAGCTCGACGTCATGACCAACATGCATTTGTATCGAAATCAAATGAGAGGACAGGAATCTGGGTACCAGGGCTTCTTCATGTTTTAAATAACAAGATGTAACTTGTGTACAACTTGGATGCCACAATGCCACGATGTCAGAACCAACATGTATTTGTATCAAAATCAAATGAAAGGACAGGAATCTGGATACCATAGCGTCTTCATCGTTAAAAAGGTAAGCAATATTTTCTTATAGTTTTCTGACTGCTTGCTTTTATTTTTTGTTTATAAAAGGTCAATTTAGGGTAAGCATACGTTTTATCAATGATTGACGATGAATTTTTTGTACTTCTAGATGTAATTGTAGTTAGTCAAAACAAAATTCTGATTGGTTTTAATCTGCTCTTAATTTAAGATTTCCTATTTAGATGCCACAATGGATCGATGTCATGACCAGCATGTATTTGTATCGAAATCAAATGAGAGGACAGGAATCTGGGTACCAGGGCTTCTTCAAGTTTTGAATAACAAGATGTAACTTGTGTACAACTTGGATGCCACAATTCCTCGACGTCATGACCAACATGTATTTGTATCGAAATCAAATGAAAGGACAGGAATCTGGGTACCAGGACTTCTTCACCAATAAAAAGGTAAGTAATATAAATTTCCTTATAAATTTTAAAATACTTGTCTTTACTTTTTAAAATATTTAAGTAATGTATCTTTAAGAGAGAAGAATCATAACTTTCGTCGTTTCAGAAATCTCACGGTGCCTACATCAATATACAGTTTTTTTAAATAACAAATTGTATCTTGTGTACCAATGTTGATCGATATCACGATAGAGAACTGGCACAATTAACATAGCTAACTCTACGTTCCTTAACAGATGACAAAAACATGTTACGTGTTTCAAAAGTTGAAACGAGCTGACAGATAGAAAGAAGACCTCACAACGGCTTTCAACATGGCCTACAAGGCTATTCTACAGCTTGTGTTAACAGCAGGTTTCCTGGCTGTGACACAAGCAAGATCAGGCATATGGACATAGTGGCTTCGTCACCCGTTCAGCCAATATAACAATGTCTCACATAAGACATTGTGCTTACAATCTCCTAGGCTTATCTGGCCATTATAATTACTTAGAGATTGTTTTTATCTTCTAGGAGTCTATATACCAACGTCTCATATATGTCATTGTGCTTCCAATCTCGGCTTATCTGGCCATTATATTTACTTAGAGATTGTTCTTATCTTCTTGGAGCATATATATCAGAGTAGGAGTATCTGGCAACTGTATTTACTTAGAAATCGTTCTGATATTCTAGCTTTATATTTATAATGTTTTCCTTATTATTATTTCTTATAAATAAATAATAAATCAGATGTTGCGTTGGTATGTTTTATTCAATTATCGCAAAAATAAAGGTGAAAAAACGAAATAAGATGGTGTTTCACTTCAAAAAAACCTTATTTTACACTACTTCAACAACTCTTGTACAATAAACCAGATTCTGTTAGTACCTTATAACACTGTAAATTTCAAGATCCTTATAGTACTAGAAGCTTCAAGTTCAACATAAACAATATAAATTCATATTCATCTTGTTGGTCGTACCAATGCAGACAGTGTGCGCTTTACTAAACCTACTAGCATCGTGGTTCGATTAGTACCATTTTCAAAGTCTTCCTATGCTGAGCAGACCTTCAACTTATCTTTCATCAATCTTTTCATCATTTTCTTTTTGTTCTACTTTCTTTCCATGCTCTTTCATTTCTTTTTTGAACAACTCATTGTAAACCCATGACAATTTGTTGCAGATTTTCAGTCGGTTCCACTCAACACCATAAAATCTGTCGCAACGGTCGTTGTGCCACGTTTAAGCATTTTGTTGCTCAAAACAGGACATCTCGGATATCTGGCTGAGAAATGCGACAAGATGACATACTTGACCTTCATTTTCTTGCCGATTGTCACCGCTTGACCTGTCGTACAGTGCCGTTTACGGTCCGCGTCTTCGGCGTACGCGTCTTCGAATGTGGCTTCGTGAACGAGTACGTCTGCACCCATGCCGTGGCGGACCAGGTTTTTGCATGGTTTTGTGTCGCCAGAAAAGACAATCTTTTTGCCGCATAAGGTGTGGAAAGCGTAGCCCGTAGCCAGATCAATGTGATCAACGGCGATTACGGTTGCGGATTCTAGGTAGGGTATGTGGAGGTCGAGGGATGACAACCTACAGTAATATATTTCAATATATTGAGCTCTGTGATAAGGGAATATAAAAAAGTACGGTAATTTTTGTCTTTTAAACTTATTTTACAATATCTTTGACAAACGCAACTTTTGTAACATGAAGCTTAAAAAAGAGAGAAGCAGGTGTATCCTGCTCGTATTACTATCAATAATATCAACAAAGGACTTACTCTTCTCCGTAGTCATCCGAATGTTTTGCGATTGAATCCACCCATCTTACTTTATATTCCAAGAAGTTGAAGTACCGTGAGTAGATATCAAAAAACTTTTTACAATAAAAATTGCCAACGATGGTCAATCGCTCGTATGGTATACCTAAAAATAGATATTATTCCACTAAGGTATATATAATTAGATTGAAATCCATTAAAGTAACGTATAATACACGTAGTAAAAGACAATATAACATAGTGTACCTCTACGCCAAAAACCCACCTTTTTGCTCAAAGACCTTGATCCTCTCCTCAACTACCGTAGTCAACCCGTAGATATGATCCAAATGGCCATGAGTAATGAACAACCCACTTAATGTAGTCATGATGTATGGTAGTTCATCTCCATACAATACCTTCATCTGACTGTATGTGCCTTCTCCACAGTCGATCATTATGGTCGAAGTTGGGGACAACCGTACCAGATAGCCGCTTACATTACGATATTTGGTTGGAGAAGCTGAAGCTGTGCCTAGGAATACTATAGCAGGGTAGGTGGAGGTATCTTTGGTATTGATATTGGATGAATCTGAAGTATATTGTAAATTATTAGGTTGTTCAAATAATTCTAGGGTCCTTAACTCCAAAAATGTTTTTTGAGTGAGGGCACAGAATTATTTAAACAACCTAAAAGGTCATGTTTTTAGATTATTACCTTCTCTAAACTTGTCCAAGACATCTTTGATAGCTGGATTGTCGTTTATTCTCTCCTCCAATTCAGTATGGGTTATTGAAAAGCAGAGTTCTTCATCAATATCATCTACTTTTGAGTCATTTTCTTTGTTTTTATTGCCTTTCTTGACTGTTTTACCACGAATAATGATACTTTCATAAGCATTTGGCCGGATTTTAGATTCAGCACTACTTATCGTCTTCTAAAACAATACTTTTCTTAAGAATTTTCCTTTTAAAATTTAAAGTTTTACATTGATTAGATTATATATTCTCCCATAAGTGGCTTAGTCTACTCTATTCTTCAATTCATTCCACCCTACCCTACATTGCCTTTCTCGGCCCTGCCAGGCCCTACCTTACCTTACCTTACCTTACCTTACTCTACTCTACTCTACTCTACCTTACCCTACCCTACCCTACCCTACCCTACCCTACCCTACCCTACCCTACCCTACCTTACCTTGCCCTATCATACCCTACCCTACCCTATCCTACTCTACCATACCTCATAGAAACCCCACATTGCCTTTCAGTACAATGCAAAGTGGAGTAGCCTTACCATAATCTACCTTACTCTACTACACCATTCCCTATCATAGCTTCTTTACGTACTCTTCTTAAGCTTAAAAGCAGCCGTAGCCAAATCTTTGCCAGCCATAGTTATAACTCCACCCTATAGAGTTTACAAGTCCACCCAACTATAACATAGAAACATCCCAAACCTACCCTATAAACCTTTCCAACTCTGTCATTCCACAATTTCGGGAAGATGTGGCTGTCGATCTGTCCCAGTATGTGTTGATTTTCATATGCTCCATCAAAGATTGGCATCGGTTCAGCTGAGCCGTTAACTATGATATGTTGACCATTCATATTGTCCATAAAGTTCTGATACCATTTAGAATTTAAAGTGGCTTCTGACGTGAAATGGACAATATGAGAGAGGGTTTTACCTTCTTGCAGGTGGTCCTGAAATTACAAAATTTTAATTTCAAAAAAATCTGGCATTTTTAAAATTTCAAAAAATTTTTAAGCAATTACCCTACCCTCGTTTTAATGAGTTTTTAATCCAAAATATCTAAAAACCGCCCTATAATATGATCTATACCTGCATAACACCACTGTTCATCAAGCATTCCAGTTGTCGTTCACTTTCGATTTCCAAAAACATTATCAATGGCAACGTTTCTTCTTCAACATCACATAGAACATCGTCCGGATTGATCACTGTCCCATCAAGTAGGGTTACGCTTTTTCCAGCTTTTAAAGCTCCAATCAGTGGTCCTTTTGGCCCTTTCATATTCTTCAACTTTACTGGGTCTATTTGACGTTCTTTTGGCTGAAAATTGATAAAAAATATCAAGTTTGGCAAAAATTGGAAAGATACGACTTAGGGTAGACTTTCCTTAATGCTATATTATTATACCATGATACTATGCCATCAGTGTTTTGCCCGGACCGGTCCGGAGCGTTTTTCACCGGTCCGGTCCGGCGATTTTTCGGGTACGGTCCGGTCCAAACTTCAAATTTTTGGGTCCGATCTGGCAAAACACTGTATGCCATGTTAAATCATAGCTAACTACGCTGTTATGTAGCAAAAGTTATGACAATGGTAGTGCACTATAATGTAAGATTGGTGAGAAATTAAAAAAAAGTAGAAATAGAGGTAGAACTAGAGCAGGGACGTAACTAGAGAGAAGGGGGTGCGTGTGTAAAAGTCACCTACCCTCTCAGCTAGACATGAGAAACGGGCCAGGCCTGACCAAAATCAAAAATGAACCCGGCCCGTTTCTCATGTCTACTCTCGAAAGCTAACAATTATAAGCTAAAGACAAGGATAAATGTAGACCAAACTGATTCCAGTCTTATTTTAAAATTTAAATTTAAAAAGCCATCCAGCAACGTTAAACCTACCTTAAGTTCGACCAAAAAAGCGCAATTTCGTCTTTTCACCTTCTTATCACCAGAACCTTTTCCATTCCCATTACCATGCCGATAAAAATCCCCATCCAATTCAATAGTAAAAACAGTAATAAGATCATCTTCATATAGACCGTCAACAGCAGTATTTACAACAACATTACATGTTACCTTACCATCGTCATCAAAGCCCATGAACGGTCGTATCGTATGGTGCACGTTATGCAAGAGTTCAGCTCCAAACACACGAACATCTTCCCTGTCATTACGGTCTTTTGATATTAGCATGCCTTTTAGGCCTCCAAAGTGGGACCAGTCGGCTGAAATGGTGCTATTTAGTACGGGTATGTTAATATCTAGTACAATGGTACCATACGTAAAAAAGTTGTCATTTTTAGACATACATACAACAGGTCATAACAAAATGTCATAACATAACAATTTTTGACCACCTCTTCCCATCCTCCCCTAAAAAAACTTGTAGCACTACCGTAATCAATACCGTACCTTTGGTAACAAATATGTCATGTATGTTTTTAGGTGTTAAAGATACAAACGGTAGAAAACGCTGCACAGATTCTGGTATGTTAAACATGTAGGTCTTACTGAGAGTACGAAGCAATAAACATGGGTTAAGCTGAGAGGCTCCATTGCTCAAGACCTACAATACATAATATCATTTTTAGTGAAAATAGGTCAAGTTGTAAGCATGTTCCTTGCTATTCTTGAAATAGATATGACAAATCAATCATATTTAAAAAAAATTCTGTATGCTTTTACGTAATTTTACACTTAAAATTAATAATTCTAACAAAAAAAAATTTTCGACCAGTCGATATATTTTTTTTCAAATTTTTTCAAAAAATTAAGAAATTATTTATAAAATCATAATTTTTAAAATTCTGTGTGCCTTTTCATCATTTTACAGTTAAAACACTTTTCTATCCCAAAAAAATTTCGACCGGTCGATATTTTTTTCAAAATTTTTCAAAATAAAATGTAAAAAATCAATCGTACAATAAGGTTTATGAATTCTGTATGCTGTCACGTCGTATCATACCTAAAACTAACATATCTAGCAAAAAAAATTCGACCGGTCGATAATTTTTTTCAAAATTTTTCAAAACAAGTTATAAGAAATGATAAATCCTTACCTCTAAAGTCACCACATTGCCCTTCTTAGCACCCATAGCAACAATAACAAGTAGTTTCAACAAGTAACAGTAACAATCAAACAAAAATTCAACAAGAATATACAACTATGTCGCTATTTACAATCTAAAACTACGAAATTACAAAAATTACGAAATTTCACGTCAACTCGTCCTCTTAAATACTACTCCCAGCTGTTATTTGTTATTTTTGGGCGGAGTTTATCTTACTTTATCGCGATTTCAACATCAAAACGCGAGAGAGTATGGAGAAACGAGAGAGTGAGCCAGAGAGTGGTGTTTGGTTAGAGAAAAGTTAATCAACTTTCGAAACAAGGGTTTGTAGGCTTAAAAAAATACTACATTTGTACAAAATAGTATTTTTAAGATTAAGGTAACATATAAAATGGCAGTTTATGAAATCTTGGCATTTTCAAAATACCAAAAAACCAATTTTTATTTGGTTGTTCAAATAATTCTGCGCCCCCTCTCAAAGCAAACTTTCCCAATTTTCAGGGTTGAATAGCGCAGAATTATTTGAACAACCTAATCCGTCCCTAGGGCTGAGAAACAGACCTAGACGGAATTACTTTGAGGCCTGGCCGCTTATAATTTTTTTTGTAGGCCAGCCCGATCATAGGGCCGGGCTAACACGGGCTGGGGAGGGAAGGAGGTCAGTAAAAAAAATTTTTTTGTCCACAGGTACCGCCTGTGAAATTCTGTTTCATTTCGGCTCTAGGGAAATAGATCCACCCCCGTTTACCCCGTCCCCTCCCTTATAGTCCATGCCCAACCTATTTTACCTTTAAACCTATTTTACCTTCATTATTACTGTAAGATTTCGAAATTCCAAAGCATTTTCAAACTCAAAAACAATATTTTCGTCGCTTTTTTCTCTGTAAACTCCGCCTTTTTTGAGCTCAAATTTGATAACATTGGTTTAATTTCGCAATTTCAAGCCGGAAAAAGGGTGCGTTCGCACTTACTAATGACAAACAATGTCATATAAAAAAGTTTAATTATCTTTTTGAAATCATTTTCAATAAAAACAAGAATTTTTGAAGTGATTTGACCGCGCAAGCTGCAAAAAATAAAATTTTCATCGTGCAAATAAGCTTGACAAATTTTTAGAAGGCTCTAAAACAATATTTATAGCAATATTGATCTCTAAAACAGTATTTTCGTTAATTTTCTTTTAAAAATTTCACAATTCAGTTTACAGAACTCGTATTTTACCAAAAAGTTTGTATTGACTGACAGGATACGAACCAACGGTCTTTGGCATGAAAAACTAACTCACTACCACTCTTCCATAACGACACGCCTTCTCAAAAAGTTTAAATTGAAGAAATAAGACATAAAACATAACTAAAAGCAAACTTAAAAAATAAAACAAGTCATTTAAGACTTTAAAATTGTGTTCTTTTGCGAAAATTAAAAAAATTCGTTTAGAAATGGAAAAAACGTCAAAAATCAATCAAAAAACACCAAAAAATCGACCAAAACGCAGTAAAAACAAACAAAAATACAAATCCAGATACCATAACAAATTGCATTATGTATAAAACTCTACAAATCCACCTTCATGTAATAAAATTAAGTTTATTTCGATAAAAAAATTGAAAAAGCGTTAAAAACTAGACATGTATATAGAAGATAAACTGATATAATATCACAATATATAAAAATTTGTTGTAAAAATCTAGCTGATATGTTCAGGTGATAGTTACTTAGCGACTGCGACGCAATGAAAGTAGAAAATCGGTTTTTATAACTGTATATACTGGTACATCTCCTCATCGTATATACTTTTTGTAGTGTTTTACAGTGATATAACTGTTTTTACTGTATTTTACAGTAGTATGACTGGTTTACATTACTATGGGTTGTAGTGTTCTACCAAATATTTTTCGAAATTCGATAAAAAACTAAAAATTCGCCCAAAAAAATTCAAAAATACCCAAAAATCCCTAAAAATCGCTAAAATAATCATGATAAGACGGTAAATTTCAAGAAATAAAACATTTTACAACGTTAAACAGCCCGGTAACAGACTTTATAACAACATATACATCACGATTTTCAGCGTCGCATCATTTCGTTCATCGTTGGAGCTTTCTTTTGGGCTGCGGCACCTAGGGTCAAGCCGTCCAATCTAAAATAATATAAAGTTAAGAAAAAATTTAAATAGAAACTTAAAGAAACATTTTGCAGAAACATGTAAATTACTTATTAAAGCTTTTTTAACAATATAAAAAACTGAAAAACCAACAAGATCTTTAAATCTAAGCATATTATCCATGAATCTCATAAACTGGCCTACGTTAATATAATTTATTATAACTCTATAGTTCATGCCAAAACAAAATTCAAGCTACTGTAAAAATACTTCTAAGCCCCTTAAAAAGGAAATAAAATTGCATATAACGGCTCATAACTCAAAAACTAAAACCTTAAATCGTGTTAAATTACATTTAAAACCATCACAGCAAGCTTTAAAATGTCATACAACTATAAAACACAAAGCTTTATGCTCCTATACGACTAAAACCCCTTATATTATCCTTGACCCATGAGACAAAGCTATGTTAAGAAAACGCGTAAAAACTCAACATTTAATGCCAATACCAATCATGTCCTAGATCATTATGTTATTCTGTACTATTACAAGTATCATGAAATCAATAAAAACTTTAAAATCTAGCTCTGAGCCATCAAAACGTCATTATATTATCCATACCAACTCCTCAAACTACCTATATTAACATAACATTTCATAATCAGGCTTGCACACTGCATAGGGCATTGAAAATTTTCCTGTCCTGGCCCGTACATTTCAGTTCCATGCCCTGCTATATGCCCAAAACTGTGCATAACTCAAAACCTGTTGTCTATATTACTCAAAAACAAATTTAAAATTTAAAAACAAAGCTTACTGTTTCTCCATAAAAGACCATGCATCATTTGTATTCGTATTTCCGTTTGTATTTACACCGTTACCCGCAGTAGAGGTTTTTTGAGCGACTGGCTGTGGTTGAGCGACCGGTACAGCTGGTGCTGAGCTCATGTTTCCGAAAATGTCATCAAAGTCGTTGGATTGACTGAATATTATAAAATTATTGATTTCAAATCACATTTTAAATTTAAACATTTTAAAATTAAAAACTTCGATTTTTAAAAATTTTGAATCTCAACTTTTTAAAACTTTTCAAAAACTTTCTTACCCAAATCCAATAGTTTTACCCTGAGGCTGATGAACAGGGCTTTGAACTGGAGAGCTGAAATCTCCAAACAAATCCACGCCTTGGCTTTGTTGAGCTGGTGCACTAGCCTGACCAACATTCTGTTGTTGTACTGGTGCTGATCCAAAAATGTCGAAACCAGCATTGTTTGACACAGATTGTCCAACTGGTGCACTTGAAACACCAAAACCACCTGATCCAGCCGGAGCACCAAAAGTTCCGCTTTGACCACCCAATAGTCCATCTAGGCCACCACTATTTCCATTAGTACCATTACTATTGTTAGCGCTAGTACCATTTCCAGCCGGTGCACCAAAGTCCAAGTCAAACAAATTGCCTTCTTTTTGAACAGGACTAGACGAACCACTTGGTGGTTTTGGCCTGTTGTGAGCCGATGGTGCTGGTGCTTGAACTGGGGCACCAAAAAAGTCAGTGTTTGGTGCTGAGGCTCGGGTTAGGCCGAGGGTGTTGTAGGCGGATGATTGAGCGTTATTGGCGTTTGAGTTGCCTCTAGCATCCGCAAAATCGCCAAATTCATCGTCTTCTTGATGTTGTTGCATTTGACTGTGCTGAAAAATTTATAAAAAATTAAGTTTAAAATAAAAAAACTTAACAAAAATTCATTTCTAAACATTATACGCATGTAAGCTTACATAAAAATCGTTAAAAAGCCAAAAAAAAGTATCCAAATATAAAATTATCCCTTCAAAATGGTAAAAATAGCATACAAAAAAAATAAAACCTTGCATTTTCACTAAATTAAAACAACTTTCTGCAAAAATACAAGATCGTAAACACATAAAATAACATTTAAAAACCGACGCTTCTTCCACTTTAACCAAAAAATCACATTTTCCCTGACCGAGACCGAACCTTTATGATTTTATTTCAAAGCCTAACTCACTACCCCTGAGCCACTAAGACACATATGTCATAATCATTTCAAATTGTATAAAATTATTAAAATATCATACAAAGCTTACAAACAAAGCAAAAATAAAAGTTTTAAGCCAAGAGTTACAAAATCAGATCGTACTTACATCTGGAATTCCAAGTTCCGGCGACGAATTTCGTTGTCTTCCATCGTCAAAGTCGAAAGCATTTACTTCGCGCGATGATTTTGGTTCACTAAACAAACAATTGTAAAAGTAATATAGGTATAGCTAGAGCAGTATAGTGGCCTAGACTAATTTTATGCCCTGGCCTTCAAGACCACCTATGCCGACCCAGCCCCTTTCAAAATGGCTTAGGCTTACCCCGGCCCACTTTTAAGCCTATGCTTAAGTAAATGACTTTAAAATCAAATTCGTTTAGCCTTTTGCAAAACAAATCTTTCGTTGTAGGACACAAGCTGGTCTCTGAGACCTTAACTTAGGTTGACCCTCAGGCCCACATGATCTGGTACTATCAAGCTCCCTTTTTGTTTTATCTAGATCGTCTTGCTCTTCAATTATTCGACCAAAAAATCATTTTCCCTTCGACAAACAACAAAAAGAAAAGAAAAACTCACGGTAGATCGTCAAATTTGTCTTTGCGGCTGAATCCGCTAGACGACTTCTTGTCCCATGAGTCAAAGTTGTCTGACCTAGATGAGCTCATGCCTCCTCTCATCATCATATCTTCCTTCGAGTAGCCTTGATACTTGTCCTTGTTTTCTCCGCGCGCTTTTCGTCGTTCTTCCATTAACATTTCGTCGTCTTGCAAGAGCTCGATAATCTGTTTCACTCTGTGACGGACTGAAAATTGCAAAAATTTTCATTTTTTTCGGATTTTCCAGATGTGTAACCTTTATCTGAGTTGCTTCAAAGTAAAAAAAAAACCATTTTTAGGCAACAAACTTCTCAAAAATTAAAAATGGAAATCCAGGTTCAAAGCTACGTTGGAGTGTCCTAAAAATCAGAAAACAAATAAAAAACTCACTGTTAACACCTTGATCACGTCCTCGTTCATCTACACATTTGTAATGTTCCAGTGATCGCATTTCAAACAAATGATCTCTGGCGTTTGCGATTGTACGTTCATTTCCAAGTTTGAGTAGTCCTTGTAGGAGCATGAGTGACTAGAAATTTAAAAAAGCTATTTTCGTCATGAAAATCGTTTAACAACGGCACAGTAAAGTCATTTATTAGACTAAAACTTTCAGCCCAATTTTATCCGACTTCACCATGCAAAACCCTTCATAACTTTTAAACTACCACAATATCACAAGACAAGACACCTTCCACAACATACCTTATAAACCCGTCTCCATGCCAGTTTATTATCCTGGAGCATTCGTTTCCAGATCATGCCCATAACTTCAGGGAAGGCGTCGTATTGATGGGTTAACTGAGCAATTTCTTGAATTTGTGGTCCTGTTGGTCCCCATGGATCTTCATTCGTCGCTTCTCGTACCTTCAACTCCACCTCCGTAAAGTTTAAAACATATCCTTGACTGAAAATGGCACGGGTTTTATAGTGAAAAGATGTTTTTCGGGGTTATGATCTACTTGATCATAATTAATATAATAAATAAACGTTTTGACTCAAATAACATAAGTTTTACGTATCACAAATTCATTTTATATCTGCTTTAGACTCTTTGTTACCTAAAAAGCCAAAAATCAGACAGCTTTTTTCAATAATTTAGTCCAAAAACCCAGCTTTGATCTTCAGATATACCTACTCATACTTAATGTCCTAAAACTATTCCATATCCCTTCACTCCCTAATTAGTCTCCCAAACCGTGTTTCACATCATTCTTCACATACTTAGTTACCTAAAAATCAAAAAACTTCAAAAAATAATTAAAGACTCACGCTTTATCAGCCAACTTTCGAATCTCATAGCTATTCAATGTGCTTGAGACTTGTTTAGTGAAGCTGGCCAGGCCCGAGAATAAGTCTGACATGCTGAATGCTGAAAAAGGTTTCTTTAGAACATACAGTAACTTTATGTTACGACAAACAATATTGTATCAATTGTAAGTGGTTAGAAATGGCAAAAAGAGAATTGCACCGTGCAATTTCAAGAGACTGCACGGTGCAATCAAAAAAAGCAAATTTTTTAAAATATCATAATATAAAACTGATTACAGTAGTAATATGACGAGTTTAAACTAACTTTCACCACTTTGAGCATTAGATGAAGTTCCATTCAACGAGTCTGAATTTGCGGCACGTAACGACGCTGGAGTACGATTCTTCATAGTAATAGAATTTTAGGTAACAAACAAGCCAATTTTTCCCAGTTAGACTATTTTAAACACTGCTCACCAATTGTTTTAAAATTTTGTTGTTTTAGGTAATAAAGCGATTTTTTAAAATTTTGATATTTTAGGTAACAAAAATATTATTTTAGATAATAGTCCAATATGCTGATTTAGCAAAATTCCTAAACCTTCAAAAAATCGCTTTTCGAACAGCCTCAGGGCATTCGGACTTTTGATTGATCAAAGGGACTTTGAAAAAGGTGGACAGATGGAAATTGTTTATCCGGCGGGCGTTATAAATGACTTGTCTCACTTTTAAACGTGTTAAATCGCTGATTTTTGACTGTTTTATAGAACTTTGGTTTAGAAATTTGGCAAAAGTATAAAGATTAATTTTTTTAAATTTTAAGCCTAATTTTAAAGAAAAGGCTATATTATGATAGGTTATTTGAGCGGATTCAAACTTTTTTAGAATTTTAGTACCTAAACTAATCTCAACCTTTTTAACTAATCATAGCCCCTTCTAAAAAGTAGTTAACATCATAAAAATTAGCCATGACATCATCTTTTTATATGCTCTACAAACGTCAACTTGGCAATTTCTTAAAACATTTGCGATTACTGTAGAATTACTGTAAATTCAAGTACCAAAATTTTAATTTTTACGCCAAGTACTTATTCAGATCAAAAACCTATGCCAAAAAATCATTTGTCCACCTAAATTTCAAAAATTGCCCTGAAGCGTTTCCAAAAGCAAATGTCCAAATTAATTCGTTGAAACGAGCCGGAAACCGAAATAAACCTAGTTTTTATTCACACCATCCCGTTTTGAGTTTGTTTCTAGTTTCGGCATAAAACAAATGACTTGTACGTTTAGGTTTTTACACATAATCAGTACTACTTCAGCTGTAAAAAGTTTTGGCATAAACCGAACCTTCTTTTGTTGGCTAAAACAATGTTTTGATGCGAGAGAAGATGTTTTTGATCATTATAAAAGTAATTTTGTTACCATTTCTAGAAAATAACCTATTCTATTTTCTACAAAAGTTGGTATCGTTTTTTTTCGTAAAATATCCGAGTTATGACTCGATAATGTTATACCTACATATTCGGCTTGTCATTAAACTTGTAGCAATGATTTACTTCGAAACAAAATGTTCTTTCTATATTACTTTAAAAAATATAAAAATTTTAACATTTGACTTGTCTATATTGTTTTAGGTCATATAATCCCCTTTAGTCCAAAACTCGGATATTTCACACGATTTTTAAAAATTTTCTCCCTCAAAATTTCAAAATAACGTAAACTTTCTAATAAACTTCATGAAAGCATCTTTAACAGCCAGAATTTTCCACTATTAACCCTTCTACATCATTTACCCTCATTCGTTACCTAAAACCATAAAACAAAAAATTGAAAATGTTACCTTTCCAGAGTCGTTACCGCAAATCCAGACTTATCGTTGAATAGAAATCCATATAATGCTGTAAAAAACACGTCTAAAGGCACACGAAAACGAAAAGCTAATTATATTATTCATGGGAAAATTGGATTTGAAGGAGAAAAACTTGATGTTTCAAGTTGTTTCTTGGCTTCAAAAGGTAGAATAGTATTTTTCTGGGACTTTTCTTAATTTTTAAACTGTAAAAATAGTTTTTAGAGGTAATAAAATTGTGTTTTCGATCAAAAAGAGAAAGGACATCAATGAAACAAAGAAAAATAGACAAAAATAGATGTAAAACCGTAAAAAATAATATTTCAAGCAGTTTTGTGGCTTCAAATAATAAAGGAATATTTTCTACAAAATTCGTCAAGCTTTCTGAACAATAAAGATAAACTTTGGAGATAATTGCGACAATTTATTAATCGAAAAAGTCAAATGACATTAACAAAATTAAGAAAAATCCCCAAAAAATAGCCCAAAGTCAACGTAAACTGACAAAAAATAGTTTTAAAATCCTAAAATATCCCTTAAAATACCCAAAAATATCTAAAAAACATATTTCGGCTTCTGTAAAATCAAGAATTGACAAAAAAGCGACCAAAATCAAGCCGAATTATTAGCTGACACGAAACGCCACATCACCCGAAAAGAGAATAACGAAAAGCGCAAACAAAATTCTTTTACCAAAGTATCTCTATTATTAGTGCTCTAATACGTTTTTTTTCAACTTGTCGCTATGGAAATGAAATCTTGTCCTAATAAACAAAGAATCTACATGTTCTCTGACTAGTAGCTGACTTAATTCTGTTTCTAACTGGTGTTTATTGGGGGAGTTGTGAAATGTAACTCGTAAGATGTAAAAAAGTAGGGACTAAAACGAAAAATCGAAACAAGATATTGTTTTAGAAGACCTATACAAAGCAGTTCAACATAAGATATACATTTTTTCACAAAAATCTAAAAAAACTATAATACATATAAAAAATAAAATGTTCTTCTACGTCATGTGTAATATAATTTTCAATTTTCAGTGGGAACTTGAGACGTACAACTATTTTTAAACTAAAAAATCTTCCAGAACACTATTTCTAACTATTTTAAACTTCAAAATTTTGGCGTTTAGCAGTAGTTTTAATATAATAGCTAAAAATGTTATGTTAGGCATCATCAAGATAGTATAATTTTGATGACAAAGTTTATATGATTAAAATGCGAATTTTAGCCTAAATTTGAAATAAGTGGTCCAAAACTAAATGCAGATTTTGAAAAAATTAATGAAAGTTTTGTAAAATACGGAATTTTTTATTTTTGGATTGTATATTATAGTAGACCCTATTAGATGTCCTTTATGCTTGCAAAGAAGTTTTAATATTGTACCAATGAAATTTTTGACTGTTTTATAAAACTGTTTTGAAATTACTTCACGAATCTATATCTGTAAAATTAGTTTCGTAAAATACGATATCGAATAGCCAGATATTTTACATTGACTAATCATATCTACGCCACAACTTCACAGTCAAGCCTCATATGCCCCTAGGACAAAAAACCCCAATTTTAAATCAAAAAACTCCTGGATATCAACCTTAATTAATACCACAAAACCAACTTTGACAAAACACCAAAATTTCGAAGAAACTTAAAAACAAACGAACATGACGAATATGCATTAGATTACATGGTAAAAGGCTCTTTCCGCGAGGTATACGTCGAGATTTGGGGGGTTTGAGAGAAAAAAGGGATTAGCGACGAAAAGGACTTTGAAATCGCTCTAAATGAGTTTAGTTACTACTCTTTTTACCATGGTATTTGGGGTAATAAGTGGATTTGATTGCACAGTGCAAAATTTGAAATTTAAAAATTTTGGGCGGTGCAGTAGTTTTAAAAGTACTGTGCCGTAAATTTTAAGATTTTAAGATAACGGCTAGAGTAAGAAAGCCAATGCCTGAGGTAAGAAGCTAAATTTTTTTGATAAGCTCTAGTATAATAAGTTTAAAAATGGCAATTTGTCTTATCACTTATAAATATTTTCAAAAAAAATGACAAAATATAAACCATCTTATCAATTTTTCAAAAAAAAACTTGATTCCAGCTACAAAAACTGATATCATTATCATAATTTAAAGCTCCGAGCCCATTGTTATCAGATGATATAACGTTTTTGAAAAATAAATATTATAAAAACGAATTGGAGTGTCTGAAGAAACGTTTGAAAACAGAATTTACAAAGTAATGTGATGGAAGCGACAAACTTTGATTTCTTATTGCTTTTGATTTGTAAATATTACTTTAGTTGATTAAATCAATATGATTTTTAGGAAGCGACTATTTTTAAAATTTTTAAAATAAAATTTTAGTTTTTTGCCTTTATAACAACTTTCTATCCTGCTACCTTTGTCCTATATTGTACAGTGGTTTCTCTTTTTAGTGAACCATTCGTATAAGCAACTCTCCTTATAGTAAAAAAGAAATTTGGTCCCGCCAAGTCAATTTGTACTAAAACGTCTCTCTGTAAAGACAGCACCCCTTATAGTAAACACAAAATGTCGGTCTTTTCAGGTTGCTTATATAGAGAGAGTACTGCATATTCTTTCCTGGCCTTACTCTTGCCTAACACAATCTCTATCCTAGTCTTAACCTAGCCCTATCCTATCACTGTCTTAGCGCTATCTTAGCTGCGCCGTAGCCCTATTCATTCTTGTCCTAGCTCTACTTTTTTCCTTGTTTTGGCTTAACGTTGCCTTACCCTTGCCCTCATCTGATCCTTGCTCTGCCCTGGCTCTTGTATTGTCCTTGCCTTACCTTTGTGCCACCCTGACTTTTGTCTGGCCCTTGCTCTACCGTACTGTACCATAGCCCTTGTCTTGCTATTTCTCTACCTTAACTCTTGCTTGCCCTTGCTCTACTATTGTTCTACCCTTATCCTTGCTTTACCCTTTCCTACGTTTGCCTTACCCTAACCCCTGTCTTGCCTTGGCTCTACCCTTGATATACCTTAGCCTTTGATTTACCATTTCCTACCCTAGCCCTTGTCTTGACCTTATTCTACACTTTCTTCTACTACCTAAGCTCTTTCTCTACTTTTGCCTTACCCTAGCTCTAGTCTTGAGCTTGCTCTGCCCTTACTTGCTCTGCCCTTACCCTAGCTCTTGTCTTACCCTACCCTTCGCCTACTCAACCCGTCTTTACCTTGCTTTATCATTGTTTTACCCTAACCTTTACCCAACTCCTTTAAATTTGAAAAAGTAATGTAAAAAACACCAAATACAATAAAAAATAAATCACAATATCCAATTACACCCAAATATTGATCCAAACGCGACAACTGCTCACTTCGCTTTTTTTGGAATTTAACCTGCCTTTCCTTCGCTTCTGCCCCTGCCCCCTCCTTTCACGAACTCTTAATTTACAGAGCAAGGTCGAAGCCCGCACTTGATCGCTTGTTATGGTCAACACGGGCTAAAAACAATCGGAACAGCATACATTAACATAAAATAGTTATGCAGAACAATGTTCATTACTTGAAATTTTGATATGTTTTACAGAGTAATT